TAAAGTGATTTTTCCACTGAACATTTCCCCCCCTCACCCACACTCCTGGTTGAGGGCATACCTGGGAAACTCACTCCACCCCTCCCTGCTCTGTAACTAGCTCAAGAATAGTGTGATGTGCCTCTCACAATTCTCTCCTTTGGCCACCAGTCAGGCTCCACTGAGAGTCTTGTTCTTCTCTCTCCTTCTCCCACCCCCCAAAAAAAGATTGGCAAACACAACATTGAGCTTGGTCTCAGTGCAATGACAGTCAGCAATAGCAACCTTACAGAACTTGGAGAAACAGTCAGTTTCTCAAACCTAAATTCTATTGTCAAACTATTATTTCTATTGCGAGCCAATTAGTGAGGTTTCTCGGTTTGTATTAATTTAAGGTTTCGATATAGCAATCTTTATATTGACTATTAAATCATGGCACTATATAAAGACACTAACCTAACACAAAATACATGCAACACTGACCGACAAAAGGAGTCAAGCATCATTCACACTGCAGGTATCACACACTCATGCAGTAAGAATAGCAATAACTTTTTATTCATCCTACAGAAAGGACCAGATTTTACATTATAAAGAAACGGTCCGTTCCTTAAACTCTGCTCTATGTTCAGGTGCATGTTAAAGATCTTGTTACAATATTAATAAAGCAGAGTTTCTCATGGTGAGCTGGTCAACAATTGGTCATTCAGTTCATGGCTGATTGAAACACTTTGAGATATTTTGATGTTATAATGCGCTTTAAAAATGAAAGTTCTTCCTTTCTCACTTAAGTGAGGTGTCACCAGGCATCGGTGGAGCTCTATTCCAGTAATATAATAATAATCCTTGCATTTGATATAGCGCTTTTCACATCTTCTAGACGTCTCAAAGCGCTTCACAGAATATGCTGTAAAGTGAATTGACTGTATATTTGTGGGCGAAACGCGGCAGCCAATTGTGCACAGCAATGTCCCACAAATAGTCGTGGATTGAAAATGACCAATTTATTATTGTTTTGTTTTTGGAGGGATTATTATTAGGCTGTGGAGTAAGGAAACTTGCCCAAGGTTTCACCCTGCCTGGAATTGAACCCAGGTCAACTGCTTCAGGAGGGAGGGGAAGGAACTGGGAACAGAAACAAGAACACAACCCAGCCCTGAAAGTGTTCAACGCTATAACATACACACATTCTTATATGGATCACCAATTCCTGTAATGTCAGCAAAGACACAAAAAGTAAAAGCACCGGGATGCAAAGCGGCTGAAATTACTGAAAACAAACAGTAGCTTAATACAAAGGGACATCGGAGGTGGTTAAATTGCTTAATTCTTCTCTTTGGAAAACCTGCTCAAATCATGCTGCAAATCTGCAAAGTGCCTTCCAACCTTTAAATGCTATTCTCAACTCCCAAGGTCTAAATCAAAGTCCAATCCTATAATATGGAACAAACCAACTCACTCAGATTTCCGAACAGAAAACTGCAACAAATATTTGCATTCTCAGGTTCAGGTCATCAATTTGGGGGATGTATAAAGAGAGAAGGGCAGCGAAGCTTACCATGAAAATACAGGCACTACACCCTGACCGTAGTGAAGCGCTTTGAGGAGTTTCAACTTTATAAATGCTACATCAAATTGAAGAATTATTGTACTCATAAGTTACACAAGAGGTTGACAGTGCTCGATTCTGACTTCTCTCATGTTGATGGTCACTACACAGCAGATCACAGACTGGAGATAAAACACTGTCAGAGAGAACAGAGGCTTTCGGGTTTGAGGGCAGCAATCTAATGGAGTTGAAATAATGTCAAGCTGACAGCAAGTGCTTTATAACAGGTCATGTGAAACGCCCGACTACTCCGGTGCCTGTAAATTACGCCCTGCTATCAGTCATTTAGCACGGGTTTGTGCCAACAGCAGATGTCGATGCAGACACCAACTGCTGAGATTCTCCGGGTCATTGATTCACAATGATGTGCAAATAAGATTAACTTTCACAAAATGCTCTGGAGACATGGAGAATGTGTACATCCAGTGTGCATGACTTACATTTTGTGGCTTTACAGCTAAAAATCTCCAACATCTACACTGGTTAAGGGCAGCTGTCAGGGCAAGGTATGAAGAAATGCTGTTGACATTTATCCAGTGAGTAAATGATCTCAATATGAAGTAATGACCTGGGCTGATAGAAAAGAGCGGATATATTTGTCAAAAGTCACAGGGCAATTTGGCAACATTTTGCGGGGGTTGATTGGTGCTATTGAGGTACATTTTACTATCAACCTACATTTTTTCACTTTATTGATAAAAACTCAACATGAGGTATTAACACATATTAGATTGTTGCAAAATATATAAATTTCAGGAGGACATCCCAAGGCGCTGGGAAACACACACACAGAGAAAGAGAGACACTCACATGGACAGTCACAACAGCAAGGTTTCCGAGTGGATGTGCCTCCAGAGCCACTCTGCCCAGAGGAAACAGCGCAAGAGGCCCGGGGCCAGAAACTTCATTATTTAGGTTTATAGGGTATTCTAAAGAAAAATTACAGCCACACCTTTTATTATACTGCCCCAGTCAGCCTCCTATTCACTGGGAGCTCGGCGAGGTTCACAGTGGTGGAATTTTAGGTTCCGTTAAGAGCACAAGACACAAATCATTTTCACAAATCATCTCTTAAAATACCAACCTACAAGTAACCTTTCTTCAAGTATACCTCTAACACAGGATACTAGAAAAAGCATGTTACAGGGATCCCTTTCCTCAACCCTCACCTCAGCCTTCCAATCTCCCTTGCTCCATTAAATTAATACTACACCTTCTTTGAACCTTCTTCTCTAGATCCTCCCAAGTATCTCAAAATGCACACAAGGTGGGATACATGGAATTCTCAGTTCGCTTTGAGAATCAATTCTCAGACTCATAAGCATGGTGATGGGTTTCTGCATGTGCCAGACACCCGGCTGACCAAAACAACAAAATGCACTGTTAGCAAAACTTTGCTGGTGCAAATGGATGTCTCATTCTCCTACAAAAACAATTCCTAGACTCAACAATAATTACTTGTGAAGCACTTTGACAACATGGATGTAGGCAAGTTATTTAACTTTAACAGACTGCAGAGTCTAAGAGAATCGACACAAATACAAAATAAGCCTCAAGTGGAACAAGTTACTGGCAATTCCCTTCCCAGATAGTAGAATATAATGAGTAGATTTGCATCAAGTGGAACTACCTTCTTGTGAGTAGTCAGCACATTTCAGGTGTAGAAGAATAAGGGCAACAAAAGTTATTCCTACATCTGACTGTTTTAAAAATGAGCTGTGTGGACGTATAATGTATGGGACATTCCACACTTGCTGAAGCAATGACAACTGTGGGACAGAACAAGTTAGCATAAAACAAGGAAGATAACTGGACATAACCTGATGCTTTTATGTTAGTTACTTTTTGAGGAGGGGAGGAGAGGTAGGTAACTGGGGAGTAGTTTCAGAGTTTCCTCTACCTGAAGTCACCTCCCTCAACAGATCAGATTTGCGAAAGCGCGGAGGCAATGCCTTTACTGTGGAATAAAACAAAATTGTTGCTGTGACAAAGAACTGCAGCAAAAAGCAAAACAGGGTAACGTGATGAACGAGGAAACAGGCTGAGTCCTGCTATCTGTACAACACAGGTAGAGTGGGTTCTATTCTCATTCAAGAATGTTTTTCTTCTCCACTAATTTTCACATATACATATAGCAACTCCCAGAAATAATATTTACTGACTACCCTGAGCCCAGTTTACATTTCAATCACAGCTCTATAATCCCAACCCGACTGACTACAGATTCAGCATAGCAAGGCAGCAATTTAAAATTGAGCTGTCCACCTCAATGCAGATCTGGAAGTTTATGGGAAGTATCAGGGCTGCAAAGGCAGATAATCTTTCACGAAACAGCCTTTACCAAAAAGAAAGAGCAGGAATTATTGCTGGGAGTCGACCATGTAGTAGGCTGTAATTTTTGCACTGTTAGGCTCTAGGATAGACATTAACCCAGTAAGTACATTGCGGAATTACATGAGGGAATCATTTTGCAATCCAGGAAACAGTATCACAGGGAAATTAAGATCCTGTTGGGTAACATTAAGGAGAGGATAGCGAGACAGCTATGATAACCCAACCTCACAAGCCATCAATACAAGGATTTAGGTTACAAGACAGCACATCATTGCCATAAAGCATTACAGTACTAAATAATTGATCGGATAATCGCTTTGCACTTGAACCTTAAAGACGCCTTTCCTGGTTGGTGGGTGTGCAGCCCTGAGCCATGATCATGACACATTACAAGAGCTCCGAGTGTCCTTGAATTGAATTCACAGAGCAGTCCTCTCTGACTCACCCTGCTTTCAGGAATGCAGCCTATCGCATTAGAAAGCATCACTCATTCTTAAAACACACAGTACACACGCAGCTTGAATGGATTAATGGATTAATATCTTCAAGTCCCCACCCGTTTTGACCAAGTCATACTTAAATGGATGTTATGTAATGACAGCGCCAAAACTCTTATCCAAAAATACAATTTATGTACAACAACTTGAGCCCCTCAAACAGGGTAGTGTCCCAGAGCGCTTGACAGTGGCATAGTACGACCCTGTGCCGGGGGGAGGTGATTGTAGGTGCTGTCGAAGAGCAAGATCTTCAGTACGACCTGAAGATGGGGAAGGAAGGGGCAAGGCTAGAGGAAGTGTTTCAATTTCGGGATATAGTGGCTGAAAGCATAGCCACTGATGGAAGAACAGAGGGCATGAAGGACATGCAGGAGGCCGGAGCCAGTCGAGTGGAGGCAGAGGGTAGTGGATTGAGAAGTAAGCAGGTCGGAGATATACTACTGTATGTACATCCTTTCAGCCATAAAATACAATCAATTCACTTTACAGTATATCCTGTGAAGCGCTTTCAAACGTCTCACTGATGTGATGAGGCTCTATATCAAATGCAAGGATGATTATTATTATTATTATTATCCTACCTTAAACTCCCGGCTCTGTTGTGGAGTGTATTGTGATGTCCAAAGGGCCCGGACCAAAGTAGCAAGCTGCTCCGTCACCTCCCCTTTCTCCTGCTGGGATTTGGGTGGAAATAACACACCATTGGACTTGGGGCTCTGGCTCTTGCCCTTTTCCTCAGTTCCTTCCTCCGTTTCCTCCTCCTGCTCCCCTCGGTTGCCCTCCGTATCTCTAACCCGGTCCCTGTACTGCTCTAGGGCCAGGAACTCCGCGAACAGCTCAGTGTTGCTCAGGCACTGCAGCACGGCGTTCATAAAGCAGGTATTGCCATGGTTTTTGAGGCCAGCCAGGCCGGGTGGCTGCCAGCGATCCCCGGAAGCCGGAGAGAAGCAGCTGTCGGAGGAGTCGCTGTGTCCGGCCGCACACCTGCCGGCAGAGGCCACGGCATGTGCAGCTCCCATCCCCGGGCTAATGCCGCTCATCATCATGATGATAGAAGCCGAGGAGAGCACCCCAGCCCCGGCTCCCACTCCCATCTCAGCCCCCGCGGCTCGGAAGTCCTTGAAGCCGCCATCATCCTTCTCATCCTCGGCCGAGGCTTCTTCGGTGCCAAAGTGAGAGAGGGTGGACAAGGTCTTGAGCACTCGGCTCATGAAACTGCCCACGGATCGCACAGACCCTCGCCTGAAAAGTTTCTTGCTAAAAGACTTCTTCTCTTTAGCTGCCGACTTGGACATGTTTGACATTTGCAGAATAAATTAATATGCATATATATATATCCACGTGTGTGTAAAAGTGATCTTTACAATACAGTAATTCCAATTGAAAGAAAAAATAAGTAACTGTGTCTGTATGTGCAGGAAATCTACCAATTCAAAGGGGGAAACATTCAATAAGTTTTGTTTTTCCTAGTTAAAAAAACAAAGTAAACGTTGAAGATTGTCGTTTGAAGCAAAACAAAACAACGCAGTTTTTTTCTTTTTTAAAGAAAAGTACTTTCCAACCACCACAAATGAAGACCCCCCCCAACAGTGGCTTTGGACTGCGTGTGTGTTTTCTTTTATAAAAATATATATTTTTTAAAACAAAAAAACTTTTTTTTTGAAAAAAAAGGGAGTTCTAAAATTAAAAAAACAAATGGACCTTTTAAAGTGAAAATCCCGTCGCTTAAAGGCAGAGACTTTACTGGGGTTGTTTCTGTTGAGTTGCAGTGGAAGATGCGGAAGGGATGGTACAGTATTAAGATTGCAAAATAAAATGAAAAATACTTTTTTTTTGCAAATGGAAAAATGCCCAATTACATATATATATATACACACACATATAAAGAGAGAGTAGACAGACAGAGACACAAACAGAGAGACACAGAGAGAGACAGAGACAGAGAGTCACAGAAACAGAGAGATAGAGAGACAGAAATATAATCTATATAGTTAAATCTTGGAATTATTTATCCAAAAAATCCTCAGCAGCAGCAGCAACCTGGCTGTGGGTGGCTGTGGCTGTGGGTGTGTATGGCTGTGGGTGGCTATGGGTGTGGGTGGCTATGGCTATGGGTGGCTATGGCTGTGGGTGGCTATGGGTGGCTATGGGTGTGTGTGGCTATGGGTGGCTATGGCTGTGGGTGGCTATGGCTGTGGGTGGCTATGGCTGTGGGTGTGGGTGGCTATGGGTGTGTGTGGCTATGGCTATGGGTGTGTGTGGCTATGGCTGTGGGTGTGTGTGGCTATGGCTGTGGGTGTGTGTGGCTATGGCTATGGGTGTGTGTGGCTGTGGGTGTGTGTGGCTATGGCTGTGGGTGTGTGTGGCTATGGCTATGTGTGGCTATGGCTGTGGGTGTGGGTGGCTATGGGTGTGTGTGGCTATGGCTATGGGTGTGGGTGGCTATGGCTATGGGTGTGTGTGGTGTGGCTATGGCTATGGGTGTGTGTGGCTATGGCTGTGGGTGTGTGTGGCTATGGCTGTGGGTGTGTGTGGCTATGGCTGTGGGTGTGTGTGGCTATGGCTGTGGGTGTGTGTGGCTATGGGTGTGTGTGGCTGTGGGTGTGTGTGGCTATGGCTGTGGGTGTGTGTGGGTGTGTGTGTCTGTGGCTGTGGGAGCGGCGGGCGGGGAGTGGTGCAGGTTTGAGTGTGGGGACAGATTGCAGTGAGAAGGTTGTGATTGTGTGTGAGAGAGAGACTGACTGTCTGTCTGTCTGACTGACGGCCTTTGGTCGCTGAGCTGGAGCTCGGGCTCCCGCGGCCGCATCGGGGGCGCGAGGGGAGGAGGGAGGCAGCGAGCGGCCGCTTCAGTGAGGCGCCGGCTCCGAGGCTCCGCTCCCAGCCGCCGCCGCCGCCGCCTCCTCCACCACCACCACGACCACTACCTCCTGCCGGCTCTGGAGCTCGCTGGCCCGGCGGCGCATGGTTTCCCCACCGCGGGGAGGGGAGTGGGTCGGGTCGAGGGCCGCTCGCTGTGGCTGTGGCTGTGGCTCGGTCTGACCGTGGGCTGGGATCCCCTCAGAAGCCTGAGGCCCGCGGGTAGGCGGCGGCCTGGCGCCCCGCTCGATGCATCGCCTCACGGGCAGGTGGACAGGTGGGTGTGAGGTAAACTCGGCTCCGCTCGGCTCCTCTGGTCGCGGCCTCTCGCGCCCTCCTGACGGCAGACAGTCCGTCCGTCCGCGCGAGCGCCGCTCTGACTTCCACCTGAGGGGGCGGCGGCGGCGGCGGCGGCGGACTGCAGCTCAGCGCCCGCCCCTTTCTCCACGGCAACCGCCGCGGCCGCCCAGCTCCCGCCCCCCCGCCGCCGCCCATTGGCCGCTCCGGCCCCCACCCCTCCCCAGCCCGGCCCGCTATTGGGTGCCGGGCACGCCGATCCCGGCCGGTCGCCCGCCATTGGGTCGAAGCGTCCGACCCTCAGCCGTCATTGGTCGAGCGCGACGCCCGTCACTCGCCCGTCCTCCCGCCTTCAGCAGGGAAGTGATTTAAAAGGACAGCCACGGGATTTAAAGGGGCAACGGCTTCAGAGAAGGGGGGACTGTGGGTGGGGGGACTGGGGGTCTGAGGGTCTGGGGGACTGAGGGTGGGGGGGACTGGGGGACTGAGGGTGGGGGGGACTGGGGGACTGAGGGTCTGGGGGGACTGAGGGTGGGGGGGACTGGGGGACTGAGGGTGGGGGGGACTGGGGGACTGAGGGTCGGGGGGACTGAGGGTCGGGGGGACTGAGGGAGGGGGGGGAGTGGGGGAGGGGGGGAGTGAGGGAGGTGGGGACTGGGGGACTGAGTGTGGGGGACTAAGGGAGGGGGTGACTGAGGGAGGTGGGGACTGGGAGAGGGGGGACTGGGGGAGGGGGGGACTGAGGGGGGGGACTGAGGGAGGGGGGGACTGAGGGAGGGGGGGACTGAGGGAGGGGGGGACTGAGGGAGGGGGTAAAAGAAATTATATGTTTTCCCCCATTTCTTACAATCATTGCATTGCATCTTTCGGAGCCGTTAAACCACGTTAACCGCCGTTGAGGTTGGACGTTAAAGATCCCACGGCAGTTTGTGTCTCCCGGTGTTCCCGGCTAACAATCCTCCACATAACATTGCTCATTCACTGCCGGCTTCTGTGTGGAACTTCGCTGGAAGGAATTGGCCAATTCCAAATTTACCCAGAAATCGTGCACTTTACAATAAAATCCTGTGAGATCTGCTCCCGACGTGAAAGGCGCTCTCGTCATATGCAAAGATTATTGTTCTTTATTGTAAGGCATTCATTGCATTTGTATTGCATTGCAAAGCAAAAGAAAAACTACAAAAAAAAACAGCCACTGCAATTTACAGTAAATCCTGTGAGACTCTTTTGCATCTTCTCGACATAGGTGAAATCATATCACTAATATTAATATAACTTCCCAAATTCCTTCTCAGTTTAGCAGCTGGTTTCCCACAGCTCTGAAAGAGAAACAGTTTGACTCCGTCTGACAATTGTGTAAGATGTTTTCCAGTTGTCAGAGTGACAGTCAGATTGTGAGTTGTGTGTGGGTGTGCGGTGTGAAAGGTTGGCCGGTGCAGCTGGCTGTCCTCAATCCCAATGTGTGGAAAAAACACAGGAAACGCCCCCTCTCCCCCCCCCCCCCCCACCCCCAACACACACAAACACACTTAAAAAAATTAGGTTAAACAATTTCCGGGTTTTGTTTATATTTCTGAAGATATTTCGCTCACAAACCCACAGTCACTCCACTTTACAGTAAATCTTGTGAAGTGTTTTGAGATGTCTCATTGTTGATAAGGAGCTATATCAAATGTAAGGATTATTATTAATATTATGTTTTTATGCATTTTATTTAAACTGATGACATCAGTGAGGAATTACTGGGTGGTGACAAGACAGGAAATATTGAGTGCCAATTAAGACCAATTAAGCACGTAATGTTGCAATATCGATCTCTCAAGCTTCTGGTTATTAATGATCAAATTACAAGTGATACTCTCCAGCTACCCCACATTCAGCTCTGTAACCCTCCCAGCTAGTGCACTGTGTCACTGACGGTGCCTCTACTTCAGCTCCCTTAATAATAATAATAATAATAATCCTTGCATTTGAAATAGCGCTTTTCACGACGGGAGGACGTCCCAAAGCGCTTCACAGAACAAACTGTAAAGTGAATTGACTGTATATTTGTGGGCGAACGTGGCAGCCAATTGCGCACAGCAATGTCCCACAAACAGTCGTAGATTGAAAATGACCAATTTATTATTGTTTTTGGTTGCACCCTGGAGGGTGCCTTGGGACGTCCTCCCGACGTGAATATAATAATTTTGTTGTTGTTGGAGCTCAGTCACTCGCCTTGTCCAGTCTGAGTCACTGATAATCTGTACTTATCCAGTCTTCAGGAGGTTACATTCTCGTTGTTTGTCAACCTCGAAAGGGTAAAAACAGGGTTAGGCCCAAGGGTAACGCGAACCTTCAGGCCCCAAGTGGATTGCAGACCGGCAGAGCGACAGAGCCGGGATAATCAATAAATCAGTCTGATCAGTAATCTTAGTGATTATCGTCAGTCTTAGGCATTGGCCTCAGGGTCACAGCCTGGCTCACACACTCATATTCTCACCTCGGGGGGGGGGGGAAAGATTGTGGTTCAAGCAGCACATGTCTGTCCAGGCTGTTACTCCAGCCCAGTGCTGGGGGGAGCTCGGTATTGTCCGATCCTTCAGGTGGGACGTTAAACCGAGCTCCCTCCTGCCTATAAAAACAAACATGTTCTTTTTCACTGATATTATTGCGAGATGTTGTAGGCGAAAATGGCAGACAATTTGTTCACAGAAATATCTCATAACAGCTCAGAGCCCCCCCCACCCCACCCCCAAACACACACAGTCACACACAGTCACACACACACAGCTCCTGCCTTCAATACAGGATCTCAGCTGACTGGCGTGACAGCAAACTGCCGCTAGAGGGCAGCTGAGTATTGGCTTTAGCCAGTCAGTGTCACCCTGTCAGTCATCTGCTTACCTGTAATGTTTACCTGTAATGTTTACCTGTAATGTTTACATTTGTGTCTACCTGTGTTTATCTGTGTATTTACCTGTCGGTATAGCTGTGTTTATCTGTATGTTTAACAGTAATGTTTACCTGTGTATTTACCTGTGTGTTTATCTATGTGTTCAGCCGTGTGATTACCTGTCTGTATAGCTGTGTGTTTAACTGTGTGTTTACCCGTAATGTTTACCTGTTCTGTTTACCTGTAATGTTTGCCTGTACGGTTTACCTGTAATGTTTACCTGTACGGCTTACCTGTGTGCTGTTAGCTCAGACAGACCCTCCGCCCCTCAATAACGACACCAGGTGGAGCTGTCAATTATTCTCAGTGTAAATGTGTGCCTGTGTCCCTGTAGTGTTAGTCGGTTTCTGGCCACAGCCAGAGAGTGTGCGTGGCTCTGAGCAGCCGCGGGGACTGAGAGGAGTCTGTCCTTTATCTCTGCCAACACTTCTTCCCTCGCTCCCCAGGGACCTGACACCTCACTGCCAGTCCCACCCGACACCAGGTACTGACTGCTCTGCAGAGAGAAAGGTGTGAACGGCTCACAGCCAAGGTGCAACTGTAATTGTGATTAATAGTAAATTTGCAGATGTCACTTTCTGCTCCTCGGTCGCTGTGTGTTTACCTGTTGTGTCTACCTGTGTGATGTCCTTGGGCTGTCCTCCAGCGTGAAAGGCGCTATACAAATGTAATCTTGTATTGTGTTGATTACCTGCGTGTTTACCTGTTGTGATTAGCTGTTATGATTACCTGTAATGCTCATTGACTCCCGGTGGCTGTGTGAGTGTGTCTGTCCACATATATATGTGTTTCTATCAGTATGTGAATCAGTGTGTGTGAATCTGTGTGTGTGTGAATTTGTGTGTGTGAATCTGTGTGTGTGTTGAGTGCATGTGTGTGTGTGAGAGAGTGTGTATCTGTGTGAGTGTGTATTGAGTGCAGGTGTGTGAGTGTGTATTGAGTTCATGTGTATGAGTGTCTCCATTGCTTTTGTTGCTGCATCAAATTCACAATGAAGTGAATCGATGACAACTGGGAACCAGTTTCTGTCCATCACTTTTACAAAGTGAAGTCTCACCGACCTTACACTGATCGGGATCCCAGCGAAGTGACTGTGCTCAGTTCACGGCCGAGATAATTTAACCTTCCCAGAGACAAGTATGACCTTGAATTCCGCGTTCACAAACTATTGTTATTTGACAGTGATACCCTGTGAAGCGCAAGGAGACTTTTCCAAGGTCTATAAAAGTGCTGTTTCTCAGTCTGGCGCAGTGGTAGTGATCTCACCTCCGAGTCAGAAGATTGTGGGTTCAAGCCCCCGCATTGGGACTTGGAATCGCTTAATCAATGATGCCACTCCAGTGCAGTGTTGGGCGATTCAAAAAGAGAAGGGACTTTCTCTCTCTCGCCCAATGTCTTGGCCGACAATCCCCCAAATACAAAAATTGGTCACTCGCTGTGTGTGGGGACGCCGCTGGCCACAATTGGCTGCCGCGTTTCGCCCGCAAAATACATAGTCACTACACTTTACAGTGTATTCGGCGAAGCGCTGTGAGATGTCTCGAAGACGTGATGAGACGCTATCATTATTAGTTATAACTGTGTAACTCCCCCGCCTGCCCGCCCGCCCGCAGTGACTGAGGCATGGAGTCGGTGGGAGCCATGGAGCCGGGGAAGAGGAAACTGTCGGCGAAGATCATGGAGAAGCTGCCGGTGACGGGACCCCAGGCTCTGAGCATGAGTGAGCTGGCCCGCTGGTATTGTTACAACACCAACACGCATGGCTTCCGCAGGATAGTGGTGTCACGTGGTCGGCTGCGCCGCGGGGCCTGGTTGCTGCTGACCGGCTGTGCCGCGTCCCTCATCGTGTGGCAGTGCGCGCTGCTCGCCAGCGCCTACTACACCGTGTCGGTCTCCATCACCGTGCACTTTCAGGAGCTGCCGTTCCCGGCCATCACCATCTGCAACATTAACCCCTACAGGTCAGCCTGCCCCACCCTCACCGGCCCCGCGCTCGCCACCCTCGCCGGCCCCGCCCTTGTCGGTCCCGCCCATGCCCGCCCCGCCCATGCGCTCGCCGGCCCCGCTCTTGCCGGCCCCGCCCTCGCCTCCTCCCGCAAGCCCCGCCTCACGCCAGTACCGCCTGCCACTAGCCCCACCACCCTCACCTCACCAGCCCCACCTCCTGCCAGCCTCACCCTCACCAGCGCCGCCTCTCATCGCCAGCACCACGGCACGGGGACATTTACGTGGAGCTCTCAGTTTGGTTTGGAGACTCTTACCTACGGTGATGGGTTTCTGCGTGTGTCAGAGGCCCGGCTGTCAAAAAAAATGGAGGGTGGGCGAGATAGATGGATGGAGGGAGGGAGGGATGAAAAGAAGAATGGAGAGAGAGAGGGAAGGAGGGAATGAGGGAGGGAGAGAGAGGGAGGGACTGCTGAGGGACTGACTGTGACCCAAACACAGGTACAGTGCGACTAGATGGCTGGTGGGGGAACTGGAGAAAGCCACACTCACGGTGTTGGACGAGCTTTACAAGTACACGGACGCCGAGGACGATGGTGGTGAGGTCAGACCCCAGCACGAGGCGGAGCCCGGCGAGGGCAGCAGGCCCAGCTTGTTCCAGAATATTCCACTGCTGCAGATCCAGGCCAGGGGCCCCGAGTACAGCATTGTGTCCAACCTGCTGAGCAGGCGGCAGCACCGGGTCAACGGTACAGTCAGCACCCACTCGCTCGGCAACGCCGATATCCTCAACCAGGAACACCTGGTCGGCTTCAAGCTGGTACGTCTGAGCAGCTCAGCTCGTAATCCAGATCTTCGTAACACAACAGTCCGTAATATAAGCCGCTCGCCTCGCAAGCCAGAGGACCTGGGTTCGATTCCCGGGCAGGGCAAAACCTTAGCCATGTTTCCTTACTCCACACACGTGCCTCTGTTTACCAGCAGTAAATGGGAACCCGGATGTTAGTCAATTGGTGGATTGCTTTCCAGTGGTAATAATCGCTCCCCCCAAAAAATCTTTATGGTATGTCCTATGAAACACTTTGAGACGTCTCAGTGAAGTGATAAGGCGCTATATCAAATGTAAGGTGCTAACGTGTGTGCGTGTCTGTGTGAATGTATTTGTGTCTGCGTGCGTGCGTGTGTGCGTGCGTGTGTCTGCGTGTGTGTGTTGCCCCCACTCCCCCCACGGTCAGTGTGAGGGGGGGGACATTGACAGCTCTGACTGTACCATCTACACCTTCACCTCGGGGATGGCTGCTGTGCAAGAGTGGTACCAGCTGCACTACTACAACCTCCTGGCTCAGGTGCCCCCCGAGGACAAGCGGGCGATGGGCTACTCCGCCGATGACCTGTTCCTTACCTGCCTGTACGACGGCCTCCCCTGTGACTCCAGGTTTGCCTGTGTGTGTGTGTGTGTGTGTGCGCGCACACCTCCTCCCTCTCTCCGCCTGTGTGGGTGTACATCCCCCTCCCCCTCTCCGCCTGTGTGGGTGGTCATCCCCTCCCCGCCTGTGTGTGTATGTGAGTGTACACCCCCTCCCCCTCCTCGCCTGTGTGTGTGTGTACAACCCATCTCCCTCTCTGCCTGTGTGTGTGTACGCCTACTCCCCTCCGTGCCTGTATCCATCCCTGCTCCGCCCCACCTGTGTGCGTGCGTGTCCATCCATCAACCCTACCTCTAACCATCCAGCCCTCCCCCACCCCCCACATCTGACGGGTTACCGGGTCCCGGTGACGGTGCTCAGACTGTCACTGACCTCGCCGGGCGTTTACCGCAGGAACTTCAGCCTCCACCAGCACCCGCTCCACGGCAACTGCTTCACCTTCAACGGAGGAGAGAATGGCCGCGTCCTGATCACTCGCACCGGGGGCAGCCAGAACGGTAATAACCCCCCCCCCCGCCATCCTGTCTCCTCACTCCCTCCCTCCCTCCCTCACCTGCTCCCCCTCTCACCCCTTCTCCCCCTCTTGTCTCCTCACTCCCTCCCTCCATCACCCACAACAACAACAACAACAAGATTGCATTTATAGAGCGCCTTTCATGTCGGCAGGACGTCCCAAGGCGCTGGACAGTTGGGTCGGGACCCGAGCATTGGGGGGAAATGGTCAGGGTGAGGGGAGGGAAGGGAGGGAGCGAGGAGGGGGTAGAGGGTCGAGAGGGGAGCTGAAGGCACTCCCACCCTTTCTCATCACCGCTCTCCTCTCTTCTGTCTCCTCGTCCCCCTCCCTCGCCCCGTCCCTCTCTCACCCCCTCCCTCTCTTAACCCCCTCTCCCCTGCTGTATCTCCTCACCTCCTCCCTCCCTTGCCCACTCCCTCTCACACTTGACTCTCTCCTTCCCTTTACCTTTTAACCTCCTGCGATTTCCCCCACTCACTCCCAGCGCTTGCTACGCTGTTTGCCGTGTGCAGGGAAGGGGTGTTGAGGCGTCTGTCAATCACGGCCTGTCCCCTTCCCCACTCCCCCCCCCCCCTCCAGGTCTGAAAGTGACTCTGCACCTGGACGAGGACGAATACAACCCCTACTTGGTCACCTCGACGGGGGCCAAGATTGTGGTGCACGACCAGAGTGAGCATCCCTTTGTGGAGGATCTGGGCATCGCGATCCCGGCCGGAATGGAGACCTCCATTGGCCTGGACTTGGTGAGCAGCAGCAGCAACAACAACAACAACAACAACAGCAACTTATATTTATGTCGGGAGGACGTCTCAAGGCGCCTGACAGTCAGGGATTTGGAACCCGAGTTGGGGTTTGGGATCAGGAGGGAGAGGGGGAGGGAATGGGGGAGGGAGGGAGGGAAGGAAGAGGTCAGGGAGTGAGGAGGTGAGGCAGGGGAGTTGGGGAGGGATCTCAGGAGGATTCACTGAGCTTCTTCCCCACTTCCCACCCACAGACAGAATCTCACAAGCTGGGTGGCCCCTACAGCGACTGCATTGAGGACCTCCCAGAGGACAACCTGTACAACAAGTCCTACTCCCTGCAGGTCAGCCAGCACCTCATACACTCACACTCGCACACTCACATTCGCACACTCACATTCGCACACTCACACCGCAATTCGTGCACCGCAACATCCCCACAAACAGCCAGGAAGTGAGCAAGTGATTTTATCTTGGAGATTGTCGGCGAGAGAGAGAGAGAGACTCCCTTCTCTTTTCGAACAGCGCCATGGGAGATCTCCTAAGATTATTTAAGAGGGAGATAGACAGATCCTCGAGAAGGGAGGGACGGGAATGGAGGAAGGGCAGGCAATGGGATTGGAAGATCAGTCGTGAATCATGATCCAATAAACCAGTGGAACCGGCTGTGTGAGCTGAATGGCCTCCCCTCCTGGGGGCACGCGGTGTAGTTGATGAGTCAGGGTTACTTTGGTCGGATTCTCCAATTAAATATGCCGGCCAGAGGCTGCATTCTTGACCTTCCTTCTCCCTGACCTTTAAGGTGAGAGTTTGAGTGAGAGTTCCAGAGAGCAGGGCTGACACTGTGGTTAACAACAACAACTTGCATTTACGCTGTGCCCCTCACGCAGGGCAGCATCCCAGAGCGCTTAACAGTGGCGGAGCACGATGCCGAGCTGGGGTTGGAGCGGAGGGGGGNAGATGACTGTAGGTACGGTCAAAGAGGAAGGTCTCAGGCATCAACTGAAGATGGGGAAGGAAGGGGCAAGACGGAGGGATAGAGGAAGAGAGTCCCAGAGTTTCGAGGCGTAGAGGCTGAAAGTGCGGCCACTGATGGTGGAACGGAGGGCAGGAGGGACCAACAGGAGGTTGGAACCAGTCGGGCGGAGGCAGCGGGTAGTGGGTTGGGGAGTAAGAAGGTCAGAGAGGTAGGGAATGATTCTCAGTGTGACTGTGATGTATCCCTGTTGTGTTGCTTCCAGATGTGCCTTCATTCCTGCTTCCAAAAGGAGATGGTGCAGACCTGTGGGTGTGGACACTATGAGAAGCCATTGCCCCCAGGAGCACAGTATTGTGATTACAACAGGTTCCCGGGCTGGAGTGAGTCTGTTCCATCGCTGTCATTATACCCCATGCACACCCCGCCCCCACAGACGCACGTGTGTTTGCCTGTCTTTGTTCCCTATTCCTGACTTTCTCTCCCCTCGTCTCTGGAAGGGGTTTGACCCCTTCCATCCACTGGCTTACCAGCCGTCACGCATGGATAATAATACTAATAAACCTTGCATTTGATACCGCGCTGTATCACGTCTTCAAGACATCTCAAAGCGCTACACAGAACATACTGTAAAGTACAGTGACTGTGTATTTTGTGCGTGAATTCAGCTGCCAATTAATTGCGCACAGTGTGTATACAGTACACGGGGGTGTGGGGGCGGGGGGGGGGGGTTCGCAATGCGGGGCTGAGACTGGCTAAGACCTGGTTTCCTGTCTCCGCAGTTTACTGTTATTACCGACTTCGGGATCGGTTTCACCGGGAGCAGCTGGTGTGCCAGGAGCTGTGCCGGCAAGCCTGTCAGTGAGTCACTGCCACCACCACCTCCACCCTGCACAGCGGCTCAACCAGGGCTAGTTAGTGGGGGGGGAGGGTAGTTAGTGGGGGCGATGGTTAGTGGGTGTATAGTTAGTGAATTGACTGTATATTTGTGGGTTGTTAGTGAGGGGGGTAGTTAGTGGGGGGGGTAGTTAGTGGGTGTATAGTTAGCGAGGGGGGTGGTTAGTGGGGGGGTTAGTTAGTGAGGGGGGTAGTTAGTGAGGGGGATAGTTGGTGAAGGGGGTAGTTTAGTGGGTATATAGTTAGTGAGGGGGGTGGTTAGTGAGGCGGGTAGTTAGTGGGGGGGGTTAGATAGTGGCTGTATAAGTGAGAGGGGTGGTTAGTGAGGCGGGTAGTTAGTGGGAGTGTTAGTTAGTGGCTGTATAGTTAGTGAGGGGGGTGGTTAGTGAGGTGACTGGGGAGTGGGTTTGGCTGACACCCTGATGCTCACTCCCTGCCTGTGTGTTTGTGTCTCTCTGTGTGTGTCTGTGCGTCTGTCTGTGTCTGTGTCTGTGTGTGTCTGTGTCTCTGTGTCTGACAGCTGTAAGGAGTGGACATTGATGACGAGTGTTGCCCAGTGGCCGGCACAGAGCGCTGAGGTGAGCTTGGCTGGAGGCTCGGATAAGCTGCAACTGTGTTGTTGTTGTTGTTGTTGTGTTTCACACACTCTGTGTTGCTCTGGGGGTTTCTGTCAGATTCTCAGGCCTGGAAACCTCACTGTTCTGTTAGCTGAGAATCTCTGTTCTGATTAACTCCGGCCCCTCCATGTGTCGCACTCCCCCCCTGGTGCTCCGGCACCGTCATTAATCATTATGGTTAATCACTGGTTAATCTCTGCTGCACAACACGGTCCAAAACTTACCCCAAATCGTCAAAGTCGGGCAACACACAGGACAGCTCCCAGCAAGGGTGGTTGGTGGTGGGGGCGGGGGGAGTGGCCCCCCCCATCTGTCTCTCACACCTGAAGATGGGGAAGGAAGTGGAGGGTTAGAGGAAGAGTGTTCCACACAGGCACAAAGGGAGAGAGACACACGCAGACACACATGCACTCCACAGTGGGTGGGGTGGGGTCTCTAAACCAGGACCCTCTCCCTAATTTTGTTGTTCCCCCCACCCCAACAGGACTGGGTGCTTCGTCTGCTGAGCTGGGAACGAGGCCGGGATGGCAATAAAACACTGAGCACGTGAGTCTGAGCAAGAATCCCACCAGATCCAAACCCGCCAGCCAGCTCTACTCTACTGGGGGTGGGCATTTATGGAGTCCTGTAGCTCAGTGGTTAGAGCACTCGCCTCGGAAGCGAGAGGACCTGGGTTTGATTCCCGGGTCAGGCTGAAATATTGGGCAAGTTTCCTTACTCCACACGCCTCTGTTTACCAGCAGTAAGTAGGAAGCCGGTTGTTAGTTGATCTGCAGATCGCTTTCCCAGGGGTAATAATCCCTTCAAAATTTTTTTTAAAAATAGTAATAATAATTTGGTTACTCAAACCACGACTGTCTGTGGAACACTGCTGTATCCAATTGGCTGCCGTGTTTCACCCACAAAATATATAGTCACTCCACTTTACAGTATATTCCGTAAAGCGCCTTGAGACGTCGAGGGTTAGATCTGTGTTATTTGGGGTCTTGTGTAAATACAGAGAGGAAGTGCACGGTGTGCGGAAGCGTTGACAGTGTCTCCTCTCCTCCCGCCCAGGAGCGAGCTTGCTAGCCTGGACATTTACTACGCGGATCTGAGCGTGAGAAACATCACAGAGAAACCAGCAAACACTGTGAGTGCTGCCGGAACCCGGTTGGTAGTCGGTTGGCGGATTGTTTTCCGGGGGTAATAATCCCGTTTAAAAAAAATGATAATAAATTAGTCGCTTCAGTCCATGACTATTCGTGGGGACGTCGCTGTGCGCAATTAGCTACCAAGTTTGTCCCACAAAATACAGTCAATTCACTTCACAGTGTATCCTGTGAAGCACTTTGAGACATCTGGATGACCTGATAAGGCGCTGTATCAAATACAAGAATTGTTGGAAGCAGAATCAGTTTCAAAAGGGAATTGGAGAGGTATTTGAAAAGGCACGATGGGCGGAATGGCCTCCTACTGGGCTGTGAAATTCTATGATGATTATTATTATTATTATTATTCTGATGGAGACGTCTCTGTGGCTTCAGATGGTGACACTGCTCTCGAACTTCGGGGGGCAGTTGGGGCTATGGATGAGCTGCTCCGTGATCTGTGTGATCGAGATTGTGGAGGTGTTGCTGGTGGACGCGCTGTGGGTGTTGGTGAGGAGCGCTGGGCAGAGAGTTCGCCGTTGGTGGCAGAGGCCGGAGCAGGAGGAGGTCCCGGCGCACGGCACGGCTCATGGCATTACCGTCTACCTGGAGGACGAAGACCCCCCGACCTTCAACGCCGCCCTGCGTCTGCCCCGGCAATGCCCGCCCACAGCACCGCCACCCAACTATGAGATGCTGCAGCAATGCCACGGCTTTAACGGTGGCCCCGAAGAGGAACGTTTCTAGCCGTGCTGGGCAAGGGGAGGGGGGGTGAGGCGCGGGGGGGTGTGGTGGGCGGGCGGGTGGGAGGGTGGGTGTCTGACCCAGCTCGGCCTTGGGGATTGCTGGTGCGCCGCACAGTCGTGCATTGCCGCGTGTCATCACATCCGATAAAACTCAATAAAGTATCTTCCTCACACCCAGCGCCGAGTCTTTGCCGAGTTCCTGGTCTCGGCAGCCAGGGCTGTGACTGGTCTCAGTTCCACACCCTCCCCCTTAACCTCACCCCCACCTTTTCCCACCCGCCCACTCCCCATTGCTTCCACCCCCCACCCGCCCCAGAAGAGCAGAGAGACCGAAGGGTTAATGTACACTGATCTGCAAATGTGGGAGAGTGAGGTGACAAACAGTGTCAAAGCAAAGCTGTCGGGTTGTAAGAGTGATAAATAGGGGCTGAGAAAACAACAGCTCACAGGTCAGAGCCCACGGAATAATCACTCAATGCCATTACAGGCATAGGGCCCCCTCCCCACACTGACCAGTCAGTGAACCTAGGGGTTCACACGCATTCACACACACCCACCCACACACACACACAGACGCATTCACACACGGCCACATAATAATAATGTCACACACACGCACAGGCTCACAGGCACAAACATCAAAAAAGGAAACCGGACAAACATCTGAAAAGGGAAACTGTTACAACAACCTGCATTGATATCGCGCCCCACACACATCCCAGAGCTGAGGACCTATTAACAGGAGTGTTGCCGGGGGTGGGGGGTGAGTCGGAGAGCTCCCCCACAGCCAGCACAGGGCATGGAACAGCTCCCTTTCCCCCACCCGCCCAGAACCTCCACTGATACACATCAGGGGCTGTAAGGATTAGTTCGATATAAAAGCCGGCACAGCCACGATGGCCGAACAGCCTTCTTTTGTGCTGTCAGTTTCTCTGGTCAACGGCCATACCTATCATCACCAAACACCCGGCTGAAACCCCAAATACCTTACAGCCCACCTCAACCTGAGCCCCCAGACCTCAGTCTCTCACCGTGACCCACCTGAGCTCAGGCTGGGAGCTGGAGAGAGATTTTCCTTATCTCTTGACTCGAACCTCAGTTCCTAGTCACAACAGAGCAGCCTATCCAGGGGTGGGGTTCGCAGGTGCCAACGGTTCCCTATCAATCTGACACCAAGGAGGAATGAGAAAGATCATCAGGCCATCTCTCTGCCTCTCTCCACCCCCGCACCCCGCCCCCCCTCACCACCCCACACACACACACAGTCACAGAGTCTCAGTGCCAGCATTGCTCACATCTCCACAGCCTCACTCTTCACCCACCCTCCATTCCCTCCCAAACCATTCCCTCCCAAATCCCTTAAAAAATAATAATAATTCACCTCACAAGCGAGAGACCTGGGTCCGATTCCCGGGCAGGGCAAAATGTGGGGCCACTTTTCTAACTCCACACGCCTTGGTTTACCTGGCAATAAAGTGTCAACTCACAACTGGCAGATCATTCTCACGGGGGTAATTCAAATAAAAAAATTGGTGATTTCAATCCACGACTGTTTGTGGGACATCCACTGTGGTGAGCAATTGGCTGCCGCATTTTACACGCAAAATATACAGTCAATTCACTTTACAGTATATTCTGTGAAGCAATTTGAGGCGTCTTGAAGATGTGATATGGCGCTGTATCAAATGCCAGGATTCTTATTACTATATTATCAAACTTGCTATTCCCCCATTGCTGGCCAGGGTGGGGGGGTGGGGGGGGTGGGGAGAGTTGGGTGGGGTGGGGAGGGTGGTGGAGAGGTGGGTGGGGTGGGGATATCTGGGGGGTAGGGAGGGAGGTGTCAATGGTCAGGGTCCGTGAGAGCCCCTTCAAGCACTTTCTGTGCTGTGATTAAACAGCTGTCCCTCTGTGTGTATCAGTGAGTTTGTGAGTCTCCAGTGTGTGTGACAGTGAGTGTGTATGTCCCTGTATCTGTGTATCCCTGTATGTGAGTGCGTATGTCCCTGTGTGTGAGTGAGTGAGTGAGTGTCCCTGTGTGTGAGTGAGTGTCCCTGTGTGTGAGTGAGTGTCCCTGTGTGTGAGTGAGTGAGTCTCCCTGTGTGTGAGTGAGTGAGTGTCCCTGTGTGTGAGTGAGTGAGTGTCCCTGTGTGTGAGTGAGTGAGTGAGTGTCCCTGGTGTGAGTGAGTGAGTGAGTGAGTGAGTGAGTGACACTGTGAGCTTGTGAGTGAGTGAGTGAGGGTGTGAGTGAGTGAGTGTGAGTGAGTGAGTGAGTGAGTCTCCCTGGGTGTGAGTGAGTGAGTGAGTGAGTGTCCCTGTGTGTGAGTGAGTGAATGAGTGTCCCTGTGTGTACGTGAGTGAGTGAGTGTCCCTGTGGGTGAGTGAGTGAGTGAGTGAGTGTCCCTGTGTGTGAGTGAGTGAGTGAGTGTCCCTGTGTGTGAGTGAGTGAGTGTCCCTGTGTGTGAGTGAGTGAGTGAGTGAGTGTCCCTGTGTGAGTCCCTGTGTGTGTGGATGTCACTGTGTGTGTCTGTATGTGTGGATGTCACTGTGTGTTTGTGTGGATGTCCCTGTGTGTGAGTCCCTATGTGTGTGTGTGTGAGTCCGTGTGTGTGTGTGGATGTCACTATGTATGTGTGTGTCCCTGTGTGTGGATGTCCCAGTGTGTGAGTCCATGTGTGTGTGAGAGTCCCTGTGTGTGTGTGTGTGAGTCCCTGTGTGTGTGTGTGTGAGTCCCTGTGTGTGTGTGTGAGTCCCTGTGTGTGTGTGTGTGTGTGAGTTACTGACACCCTGTGTGTGTGTGTGTGTGTGAGTCCCTGTGTGTGTGTGTGTGTGAATCCGTGTGTGTGTGTGTGTGTGTGTGTGTGAGTCCCTGTGTGTGTGTGAATCCCTGTGTGTGTGGGTGTGTGAGTCCCTGTGTGTGTGTGTGTGTGAATCCCTGTGTGTGTGTGTGTGTGTGTGTCCTGTGTGTGTGTGTGTGTGTGTGAGTCCTGTTGTGTGTGTGTGTGTGTGTGTGTTGTGTGTGTGTGAATCCTGTGTGTGTGGTGTGTGTGTGTGTTGTGTGTGTGGTGTGTGTGTGTGTGTGTCCTGTGTGTGTGTGTGTGTGAGTCCCTGTGTGTGTGTGAGTCCCTGTGTGTGTGTGTGTGTGTGTGTGTGTGAGTCCCTGTGTGTGTGTTTCTGACGCAGTCAACCCCTGGCTGTGGCTGTGGCTGTGCACAGATAGTTGGAGGTGACCTGGGTGGTGTGGGGGTGTGTGTGTGGGGGGTATGGGGGGGGGGGTATGGGGGTGTGGGGGGGGGGGGGTATGTGGGGGGGGTATGTGGGGGCGTGGTGGGGGGTATGTGGGGTGGGGGGTGTGGGGGTATGTGGGGTGTGTGTGTGGGGGGGGGTATGGGGTGTGGGGGGGGGTGTGGGGGTATGTGGGGTGGGTGTGGGGGGGGGTATGGGGGTGTGGGGGGTGTGGGGGGGAGGTGTGGGGGGGGGTGTGGGGGGAGTTGGTGAGTGTCAGTTTGAGGACCAGGCGATGGGGAGCAGTGAGTCTCTCTCTCTGTGTTACACATTCACTGCTGTGACCCGGACTTCACTGACACACTTTTGCTGTACGTTTCTCGGATCTTTCGGAAGCGCTTAATAACACGAGGTTTGTGCAGTATGTGCACAGAGCGAATGCCCGTCTTGGTGTGTGTCTCCGCGTGTGTGTCAGTGTGTCACTGTGTGTGTGTCAGTGTGTCACTGTGTGTGTGTCAGTGTGTCACTGTGTCAGTGTGTCAGTGTGTCACTGTGTGTGTGGTGTCAGTGTGTCACTGTGTGTGTGTCAGTGTGTCACCAGTGTGTGTGTCAGTGTGTCACTGTGTGGGTGTCAGTGTGTCACTGTGGGTGTCAGCGTGTCACTGTGTGTGTGTCAGTGTGTCACTGTGTGTGTGTCAGTGTGTCACTGTGTGTGTGTCAGTGTGTCACTGTGTGGGTGTCAGTGTGTCACTGTGTGGGTGTCAGTGTGTCACTGTGTGGGTGTCAGTGCGACACTGTGTGGGTGTCAGTGTGTCACTGTGTGGGTGTCAGTGTGTCACTGTGTGGGTGTCAGTGTGTCACTGTGTGGGTGTCAGTGTGTCACTGTGTGGGTGTCACAGTGTGTGTGTCAGTGTGTCACTGTGTGGGTGTCACAGTGTGTGTGTCAGTGTGTCACTGTGTGGGTGTCACAGTGTGTGTGTCAGTGTGTCACTATGTGGGTGTCACAGTGTGTGTGTATCTCAGTGTGTGTGTCACAGTGTGTCTCAGTGTGTGTGTATCTCAGTGTGTCACAGTGTGGGTATCTCAGTGTGTGTGTCTCAGTGTGTATCGGTGTGTGTCTCAGTGTGTAACGGTGTGTGTCTCAGTGTGTAACGGTGTGTGTCTCAGTGTGTAACGGTGTGTGTCTCAGTGTGTAACGGTGTGTGTCTCAGTGTGTATCGGTGTGTGTCTCAGTGTGTAACGGTGTGTGTCTCAGTGTGTATCGGTGTGTCTCAGTGTGTATCGGTGTGTGTCTCAGTGTGTATCGGTGTGTGTCTCAGTGTGTAACGGTGTGTGTCTCAGTGTGTAACGGTGTGTGTCTCAGTGTGTAACGGTGTGTGTCTCAGTGTGTAACGGTGTGTGTCTCAGTGTGTATCGGTGTGTGTCTCAGTGTGTAACGGTATGTGTCTCAGTGTGTGTGATTGTAGGTAACCAGCTTGTCTTTGCTGTAAATACAGATTTTTAACGCCCTGAAATGCCCGTTAGGTGTAGTGATTGTTGAAACACTCCAGTGTTTGAGCTTAAAGTGCAGTAATGTCTCTCCTCCCTGAGAGGCGAGCGCAGGGCGTGGTGGTGGTGATGGGGTGGGGGCGGCTGTTACTGGAACTGAATGTACAAAAGCAGGTGCGAGAGCTCACAGCCAGTTCCTAGTCACACAGCGTGAGGTACCCTCAGTCACACCACAATGTCCTGCCATCAGAGACCAGCAGCCCTGAAGCTGTCCCACACAATCCTTCTCGCAATGGCCAAGCTATGTGTGGGTTGAGCTGGTTAGACTCCAGCAGTTACCCCAACACACACTCTGGGCTCCCCCACCGCAAGCCTTGGCTCTCGCCAACCTGCGCCTAATACTCTCTGGAATTAGGTAAGTAGGATGTGTCCCTCCAGGGTGCGAGAGAGAAAGAGAGAGAGAGAGAGAGTGCATTCCATTCCAGCAATCTATCTATCGGGGATTTCCATGTGCAGTTGGGATGTGGGGAATTCTCAGTCTGACTTGGAGACTCTTAAGCAACGGTGATGGGTTTCCATGTGTGTCAGACACTCAGGCTGGGCAACAAGAATTCCCTATTTTCTGCCAAATGTCTGACAGCCCCTTCCTCCCTGTCACTCCTTCAATTATTTCCCTCACTCTACCCACCCGCCCCACCTCTTTGTCATTCTCTCTATTTCTCTCTGCATTATCTCGTGCCCTCTGTTTTTCTCTCTCTCTCACACACGGGATTGCTGGGGGAGTCAGTGAGATGCTGTCTCTCTCACCCTCTCTCTCCCACTCTCAGACCCTCTCTTTCACCTTCTCTCTCTTTCTCTCTCTCCCAGGAGGATGCTGTGGGTGTCAGCGAGACGCTGCCTGTCCCAGGCCCTGCGGCGGCTACAGGACGGGCCGGGTGAGAGTTACCGGGAACTGCTGGTGTGGTACTGTGAAACCACAAGCACCCACGGCCCCAAGCGTATCCTGACCGAGGGGCCCAAGAAGCGAGCGCTGTGGCTGTTGCTGACACTGTTGCTTGGTGGGGTGGTCTGCTGGCAGTGGGGGGTCCTGGTGCAGAGGTATCTGTCCGGAGAGACCATCTCGACCCTCCGCACCGGCTTCAAAGCCATGGTTTTCCCCGCGGTCACTCTGTGCAACGTCAACCCTTTCAGGTGAGTGGCCTCTTCCAATGTCTACTCCAATAATATATAATAATAATATAATTATAATAATATAATTATAATATAATAATGTAATAACATAAAAGTAATATAATTATAATAATCCTCAAATTTGATATAGCTCCTTATCATGTCTTCGAGATGTCTCAAAACGCTTCAAAGAATACACTGTTAAGTGTAGTGACTGTATATTTTGTGGGTGAAACGCGGCAGCCAATTGCGAACAGCAGCATCCCCACAAACAGCCGTGGATTAAGTGACCAATTTATTTTTATTATTTTGAAGGGATTATCACCAATGTCTATTCATTGGCTCCCTATCGCCAAAACAACAACACAATTACATTTACAGAGCGCCTTTCACATCGGGCAGACGTCCTAAAGCGCTGAATAGTCAGGTGTCGGAGCCCGAGCATGGGGGAGGGGTGGTGTAGGGGTAACGGAAGGCAGAGAGGTAGGAGGGCGACCAAAGGCACGATCGAAGAGAAGGGTCTTGAGACCGTCCTTGAAGGAGGCAAGGGAGGAAGCGAGGCGAAGCGACCGTGGGATGTTCTGGAGTGTGGGGGCAGAGAGGCTAAAACCCCGTCCACCGGTGGTCGGGTGGGAGACATGGAGCAGTCCGGAGCCCACTGAACGGAGGGAGTGGGCAGGTTGGTAGGGAGTCAGCAGGTCAGAGAGGTAAGAGGGGGAAAGGCCATGGATGGCCTTGAAAGTGAGGACAAGGATCTTGAACTCATTTCTTTGGGGGATCGGGAGCCAATGGAGTCGGGCGAGGCTGGGAATGATGGGGTCACGGAGCCTGGTGCGCGAGAGTACACGAGCTGCAGAGTTTTGGATGATCTGCAGCTTGTGAAGGGAAGAGTTGGGAAGGCCGATGAGGAGGGAGTTTCTGTAATCGAGCCTTGATGTGACGGATGCAAGAATAAGGGTTTCGGCAGCCTGAGGGGTGGTGGAGTCTGGCAATGTTGCAGAGGTGGTGGTAGGCAGTGCCGGTCATGGTGCGGATGTGGGGGAGAAAGGACAGTTCAGGGTCAAACAAGACACCCAAGTTCCTGACTGGCTTAGTGAGGTTGAGTGCAGCCATGGAGGCTGATGCTGCCAACGCCCGAGGTACGGAGGCTCTGGCGCGAGTCAATCAGGAGGGCCTCGGTCTTGCTGACGTTGAGTTGAAGAAGGTTGTCCCTTGTCCAGGACTTAATGTCGGACAGGCAGTCAGTCAGGACGCCAGTAGTCCTGGAGTTGAGGGTGGAGGCCGAGAGGATCTATTTCAAGATCCTCTCACTCGTCTTCAAACCCCTTCACGCCCTGGCACCTCCTTACCTCTCTGACCTGCTCACTCCCCAACCCACTACCCAATGCCTCCGCTCGACTGGCTCCGGCCCCCTGTGTGAGTTGTTGTTGTTCAAATGTCTATTCGGGGTAACTCTGAGGACAGACGGTGGTGGTGAAGAACGTGGGGGTGGGGGGTTTGGGGGGGATTGTGATTGTGGAATGCATCTCAGCTGCTCTCCCACCCTCAGGTACTCTCGCTCGCGGGGGCTACTGCAGCCACTGGACCGGTTGGCGGAGTTGGCACTGCAGCGTATTTACATGTACAACCAGAACAGGACCCTTCCCCCACCCATGGACGACCTGGAGGATAAGTGGAGCCGAGGCGGGGCTGGCCTGGGTCCTGGCCCCCTGGTGCCCCTGGTGATCATTGAGCAGACGGAGAAGGGGGAGGAGGTCCTGGTGCGGATTTTGGGAGATGCTGAAAGTGACGTCCCTCGGGACGCCAAGCTCGGGAGGGGCCCACGCAGCTATAAGGTGGCCCTGCACCTGGTGAGTATCTGACCCCTGACACCGGGGAAACCCTGTGTAAACCACAAAACACACAATCACTTCACTTTACACTATATCCTGTGAAGCGCTTTGAGACATCTCAGCAACCCTGCACTTAATGATGTTAACGACCAACCAAACAAACCAATGGGCAACTGTACGTGTGTTTAGATAGTTTACACTCGCCAGTAATAGTGTGTGTGACAAAATGGTCCAAACAGTGCGGTTCAACTGGGTGTGGAGAGGTGTCCCACACACACACCCTCCCAAACACACATCCTCACAAGCACACACACACCTTCACACTCCTGTGTGCGTGGCGTGGTGCCTCCTGCCCGTGTGACACTGTTGGTGTTTCGTGCAGTGCAGTAAGGATGGCCGGGACTGTCTGTACAGGAACTTCACCACAGGGCTGCAGGCAGTCAACGAGTGGTACTCCCTGCACTACATGAGCCTGATGGCCAATGTCTCACTGGAGGACAGGACAGCGATGGGCGAGCACGGACAGGACTTCATCCTCTCCTGTAACTTTGGCGGACATCCCTGTGACTTGCGGTGAGTGTGACCTCAGCCGCTGGGCCTTCAGGAAGGACTTTGGGAGCTGGTGGAGGGGGGGGAGGTGGAACCTCACAGATGAGGGACTGAGCAAGATCCACAACCTCCTCATCCCAGGTCAACTCAACTAATCAAGGCCTCAAATTAGCTCCACATCCCCCAGAGGATCGAGTTCAAGATCCTCATCCTCACCTTTAAAGCCCTCCACGCTATTTCTCCTCCCTACGTTCATATCCCCCGACCAACCCGTCCACTCTGCAAACAATAACAATAAACCCTCAAAAAAAATGCAGTCACTAAACCCACGACTGTTTGTGGGGGGCACTCACTGCTGTGCGCAATTGGCTGCCGCGTTTCACCCACAAAGTATACGGTCATTTCACTTTACAGTATATTATCTGAAGAGCTTTGAGACATCTCAACGATGTATCCAATGGCAGGATTTTTATTTCTTGGCAAACTTTACCTCCTCTCTCAGGAACTTCACGCGTCTCTTTCACCCGACCTACGGCAACTGCTACATCTTCAACTGGGGCTCGAGCGGCAGTGTCCTGACCGTGTCCAACCCCGGAGCCGAGTTCGGTGAGTTCCCAGCGTTCCTTCACTGTTTGTGTCCGGAAGACATTAACGACTGTGAAACTTCTTCAACCTCCAGCCTAACCTGTGTGTGCGCGCGCGCGGGGGTGGGGGGGGGCAGTGTATGTGTGTGTGTGTGCGGGGGGGAGGGAGGGGCAGTGTATGCGTATGTATGGTATTTGTGCACCTTCACCTTCAAGGCCCTCCATGGCCTCGCTCCTTCCAACCTCTGTGATCTGCTACCCCCATATCAATCTGTCCGCTCCCTCCGCTTAGCAGGCTCCGGCCTGCTCCAGGTCCCCCGCCCTGCCCGCCCCACCATTGCCGGTCAGCCTCTCTTACCCCAGCCGTTGAAACTCCATCCCACGGTCCCTTTGCCTTGTTCTCTCCCTTGCCTCCTTCAAGACTCATCTCAAGACCCTCTTCTCTGACCACGCCTTCGGTCACCCTCCAACCTGTACCCTCCTTGCTCTCCCTCCCTCCTGATCCCAACCCCCAGCTTGTGTCCAAATCCCTGACTGTTCAGAGCCTTGGGACGTTCTCCGTGTGTAAATGTAACGTATTGTTGTTGTACACAGGGCTGAAGGTGGTGCTGGACATTTCTCAGGAGGATTATAACCCATTCCTCTCCATGGCAGCTGGGGCCAAGTTTATGCTACATCAGCAGAACACGTTCCCCTTCCTGAGGGACCTGGGCATGTACGCCAAGGCCGGCACCGAATCCTCCATCACAATATTTGCGGTAAATGTAGTAACTGGTGTTGGCCAAGAGCGGGGGGGGGACTGAGGGTGGGGGCTGGGTGTGGGGTTTGCGGGGTAAGGATTGAAACCTACTCTCTGTTCTATCCTCCGTATGTACACACGCGCACCCAACACAACACGCACACCCATCATGCACACAGTACAAAAATGACCACCTTAGAGCAGAGAACTGTACCTGATTGATCCTGTGTCTGTGCTGTGATCAGGACGAAATAGAGCGTCTGGGAGGAGTGTACAGTCGGTGCAGACTCAACCCCTCGGCCACAGAGGTGACCACTCTCTACAACACCAGCTACTCCATGCAGGTACTGCCTTCACTACCGGCCTCGCATAGAGAGGGGGTCCTCCATTGGGGGTGGCCGTGCCTTCAACTCTGCAACTCTCTCCCTCAATCCCTCCGCCTCACCCCTCCCTCCCCACCTTCAAATCCCACCTAAAGACCTTCCTTTTTGATCGTGCTTACGGTCACCTCCCCCATGTGATGGGCGCTGTGTAAATCCAAGTTGTTGTTGTTGTGGGTTTGGGTGTGTTTGTGGCTGCGTGCTTGGGGTTGAGTGTGTAAGGTGGGTGTGACTAACGCTGTGTGTCTCCACTCTCACCCAGACCTGCCTTCGCTCCTGTCACCAGGCTCACATGGTGCGACTGTGTGGCTGTGCCTATCACCACTACCCCCTGTCCGAGGGAGCTCAGTACTGTAACAACCAGGACCACCCTGGCTGGGGTAAGCAAACAGCCTCCACCACTGCCCACCCCACTCGGGTCTGTGTCCCCAAGGCGCCTTATCTTCAAGACGTCTGCAAGCGCTTCACAGGATATACTGTAAAAGGAATTGACTGTAAAGTATATTTTGTGGACGAAACGCGGCAGCCAATTGCGCTCAGCGACGTCCCAAACAGTCATGGATTGAGTGAGCAAATATTTTTTGGGGGGGAGGATTATTACCCCCAGAAAGCGATCCGCCAATCGACTAACAAGCGGGTTGCTACTCACTGCTAGGTGACCAGAGACATTGACTGAGTGTGTAGACACTAACCTCCACTCTCACCTCTCCAGCTTACTGTTACTATCACCTCAAGGAGCAGATCGAGAGCGAGAACTCCGAATGTCTGACAAGCTGTATTCCACCCTGCAAGTGAGTACCTGCTCCAGCCCTCGTCCTCCCCTCGTCACCGATCTGTAAAACCAGAGACAGGGAATACTGTGGACTAATGCTGTGCTCTCGTTCCCCAGTGATACCCTCTATCGTCTCACCATCTCCATGGCAGAATGGCCATCACAAGCCTCTGAGGTAAGCTGACACAGCTCAGAGTCTCAGCTGAGCCCACGCTCAGTGCTGTCATCTTGCCATCGACTGCTCCTCCCATCACACACCTCACTCACCATCTCAGCAGCCTCTAGCGGTTACCAGAGACAGACAGTGACTGCGCACGAGAGTGTGACACACACACGGTGAGCGAGAGAGAGAATGAGACACACCACGGTGAGAGAGAGAGAGAGAGACGCACACACACACACACACGCCTGGGAAACAAACCCAGGTCCTCTTGCTTGCGAGGCGGGCGTGCTAACCACTAAGCAACAGAACTCCATAAAAGCTGCTGTCTGTCTGTCTGTCTGCTGACCCAGGCTGTGCCTTTCACTTTCAGGAATGGATCTATCAAATCCTCTCATACGAGCGAGATTCCTCCCCTAAAGTCACAGTGAACAGGTGAGTGGGTGTGAGGGAGGTTGAGGGTGTGGGGTGGAGGTGGTGGGTGGGGGTGGGTGTGGAGCATACAGGAGATTTGGGTGATGAACGCTCTTTGGACAATGTGATCTTTCCTGGATCCCGACTTTGGCGTGTTCTCGTGACATTTTTTTATAATAATAAATTATCATTTAATAGTAACATTAATTATCATTGAAAGCCCTGGACACACGGCTTTATTCAGTCAGGGGCTAAGCTGCACAGACTGGGAGGGGTTAACTCCGGGGGATTGAATGTGATTAAAAACAGAAATCGCTGGGAACGCTCAGCAGGTCAGGCAGCATCTATGGGGAGATTTCTGGTTTTATTTCAAATTTCCTGCAGTATTTTGCCTTTTGAATGTGATTCACTGTTTTACAGAAATAGCATCCTGAAGCTAAATATGTACTTCAAGGAGAATAATTTCAGAACAATATCAGAGAGCAAGGCTCAGACAGTGAGTAATAGTCTGTGGCTCTCCTCTCCCACCTCGGCCCCCCTCCCCACCTGCCCACCCTCCCCCCTCCGCCCCCCCCACCCCACACACTCACACAATCACACAAGCAATATAGCACCAGACAAAAGTGAATAGTTTATAGGAACAGGAGGAGGCCATTCAGACCCTCTAGCCTGTTCTGCCATTTTATAAGATCATGGCTGATCTGTACTTCAGGTCCAGTTACCGACCCTTTGCCCCGTATCCCTTGATACCGTGACCTGACAAATATCTATCTGCCTCCGTCTTGAAGATGTGAATGGATCCAACCATAATCCACAGCCTTTTGGGGGAAGAGAGTTCCAGATTTCCACTACCCTCTGGGTGAAAAACTGCCCGATTACACTCCTAAATGGCCTGGCCTTAGCCGCCTTGTTCTGTATTCCCTCCAGAGAAAATAGTTTCTCTGTATCGACTCTATCAAATCCCTTTATTATTTTACATACTTCAATCAGATCAGCCTCAACTTTCCAAACGCAAGGGAACAGAGACCAAGTTCATGCAAGGGTCCTCGTAATTTAATTCTTTTAGTCCTGGTATCATTCTGGTAAAATAAGACTAACCAACAACAAAATTACATGTGTATAGCACCTTTCACTTCGGGAGGTCATCCCAAGGCGCTGAACGATCAGTGTTTCAGTCAGGAGCTGGGGGTCGGGATCGGGGAGTGTGGAGGGTAGGGGCGAAGGAGGGTGATCAAAAGCACAGTCGAAGAGGAGCTTCTTGAGACAAATCTTGAAGGAGCCAAGGGAAAGGGCGAGGTGGAGGGAAATTCCAGAGGGTGGGGGCAGACTGCCCCCCAAAAACAAACTGTGAGAATTCACATTGACCCGGAACAGCAGAGCAAGCGAGAGGTTGTGTGTAAGGTTACACTGTGTGTTACTCACCTCCAGTCAAGCAGCCGAGCAGAACCCCAGCCTCTCACGCTGTTTCATTATGTCCATCACTTGTCACAACACAAGGCAGGTTCATGTCATCAAGCCCTTCTGCCCAACTGATCTCCTACCACAATCTCCCGCCCATTTTGTGGGCGAAATGCAGCAGCCGATTGCGCGCAGCAGTGTCCCACAAACAGCCATGGATTGGGTGACCACGTTTTTTTTGAGGGATTATTACTCCCGGAAAGCGATCTACCAATCGACTAACAACTGGGTTCCCACTTACTGTTGAGTAAACAGAGACATGTGAAGTAAGGAAACCTGCCTAAGGTTTGACCCTGCCCAAGAATCTAACCCGGATCCTCTCGCTTGCAAAAAGCGAGTGCTCAAACCACAGACCCACACAAAATCATTAAGAATCCATTAATACAATGCATTAAGCGCTTTGAGACATTGACGTGTTAAGTCGCTGTGTCAAACGCAAGGATTATAGCTTATAAGAGACACCAGTCATATAAAGATGGTCAAAAGGCAAAAGACTACAGATGCTGGAAATCTGAAACGAAAACAGAAGTGGCTGGGAACACTCAGCAGGTCAGGCAGCATCGATGGAGAGAAAAATTGAGTTAATGTCAGAGATGAAAGGTCATGGACATGAAACGTTAACTCATTTTCGTCTCTCTATAGATGCTGCCTGACTTGCTGCTTGTTCCCAGCGACTTGTTTTTATTTTATATTATATAAAGATGCTCCCCGCTCGGGTCCTGGCATTGTGTTGCGTCCACTCTCTGCCCCTAACACTCTGTCCTGTTTGTTTGGCAGTTAGTTTGGCTGCTGTCCAACCTCGGTGGCCAGTTTGGCTTCTGGATGGGGGGCTCAGTGCTGTGTATCGTGGAGCTGCTGGAGGTGATGTTGGACTGCGTGTGGATCATGGCCATACGCGGGGCCAGGCTGTACATGGGTCACAGACGCAGGCGCTCGCTGGCCCGTCACCCTCCACCTGTGCCCACCGTGGCTCAGTGCGTGGAGGAGCAGGAGCATCGGGCACAAAGTGAGAGGCCAGTCCCCAGCACGCCCCCACCACGGTACGACTCGCTCCACATCTGCTCGCTGACAGAACCTGGACCCCCTGAGGCGGGGGGCAAGATAGTGGTCGAGGTGGGTGGTGAGGAGGCAGGTGAAGAGGTGGGTGAAGAGGGCTGTAGGCTATGAACTCTCCCCCACTGCGTTTCACGCAGAGGTACATTGGCTTGAGGGAAGAGCCCCCTCTCCCCCGCCCCTCCCCGGTCAGGCTGGCCACCCCCCCCTCCACATGGCGGGGGTTAATTCAATGTCGGGAGGGGGGGGTGAGGCGAGGGGGGGGCGAGGCGAAAAGTGGGAAATTTCAGGGCTGGAATCTCAATAACTAAAAGCTGAGCCTGTTTGTAAGTCACAACAGGACAGCGACAGAGGAACCAGCTTGTAACCTTCCAAAACTGGGGAGGAGGGCAAGTGTCAGGGGAGGGGCATGTCAGGATGGGGGGGAAGCGTCAGGGTGAGGGGTAAGTCGGGGGTGGGGTAAATCAGGGGACTCTGGTGCTGCACTCTCTCAATAACCTAGAAACGAGGTTTCTATGGGACGTTGCTGCTGTTAAAATGATAAAAACACAAGTCACTTTCCACATGTGGTCTCTGTGGCCACATATTTCTAAATATGTAATTTATTGTTAAATAAAAAGGAATTCGCTCAACATCATCGTTTATTGTTTGTCTCAACTTAGTTGGTTCTAATGCCTCCTTTCTCACCCCCCCAACCCCCAAACTGAAGCTCTCTATTCTAACCCCATTCCCCATTCCCTGCTCTCTCCCCATCGTGGCTGTACTGGGGCTCACTCCCCCACTGGAGCTCTCTTCTCTCATCCCATTCCCTACTCTCTCTCTCTCCCCATCGTGGCTGTGCTGGGGCTCACTCCCCCACTGGAGCACTCTTCTCCAACCCCATTCCCTGCTCTTTCCCTGTTCTCTCTTATATTACTGTTTTACACCCTTCTCCAATTCCTTTTAAATACTGTCTTGACCACAACCAGTACTCGTGGTTCCCATGTTCTTACAACCAACCACCCGGTAATTGCTCTCGCAGGTCTTATAATATAATAATCCTCACATGTGACATAGCACGTTGAGACGACTCAAAGTGCTTCACAGAATACACTGTAAAGTGTCGTGACTGTGCATTTTGTGGGTGGAACGCGGCAGTCAATTGCGCACAGCAATTTCCCCACAAACAGTTGCGCTTGTAAAGTGCCTCCATCACCCGCAGTAATGTTCCGCTCACAGCCTGGAGGTGACCCAGGATTGCTGGTCAGGACACCTGAAGAAAAAACATTTCTTCCCTGATGGTGTCACGGGAGCTTTAACCCTGACAAGTCTCTCTGCTGCTTGTACTCTAAACACTGACTATGGAGTCTCATGTGCTGCTTACGTACCACAAGGGGATTATTATCATTATTGTGCTGTGTCAGCACTCTCACCTTCCCACTCCCCTTACACACAGCCTCACACACACCTCACACATACATACATAGCCACACACACAGTCTCACACATACATAGCCACACACACAGCCTCACACATACATAGCCACACACACAGCCTCACACATACATAGCCACACAGACACAACCTCACACACACACACACACATAGCCTCAGCCAATATTGTACAATTCTCTCAATGGCAAGAGAGAAACTATTCCAGGAAGCTGCTGACAGACAGATAGACAGACAGACGGGGCTGTTTATCTCTGCAGGTGATGAGGGCTGCGAGTGCAGGAGGTAATTAACCGAGTCTGACACCTCAAAGAGGAGCCGGGCTGACAGTGCTTGGCCAGGGGAGCTGCAGCGAGTGAGCTCAGGCCACAGCCGGCTGGCTCAGGGAAACATTCACAAGCATCAGCGGGATCTCTCTGAGAGGAGAGGAGGAAATCACCGTGTCCAAACATCTGCAAACAACCCCGCGGCTGAGCTCAACACCGGCACAATCCACACCCCACCCCACACATCCAGCTCTTTGCCAGCTTCACTTTATACCCGTAATAATATATTAATAATACTTGCATTTCATATGGTGCCTTATCAGGACACGTCACTGAGACTTCTCAAAGCACACAGACACACAGTGACAGACTCACCAGGTAAAGCTCCAACCAGCCTGAAGCCGAAGCTGACACAAATACTCAGAATGAAAGTTGTGTTTATTCATTTGCGGCCACCAAATATTCATCAAAACCGCCAGCCCCCCCGCCCCCGGTGGCTTGCGGGGCAGTGCGCACAGCAGTGTCCCACATCCAGTCGTGGATTGAGAAACCAAATTATTAGTATATTTTGAAGGGATTATTACCCACAGAAAAGTGATCCGCCAATCGACTAACAACCGGGTTCCTACTGACTACTGGTAAACAGAGGCGCGTGGAGTAAGGAAACTTTCCTAATGTTTCGAATCGAACACAGATCCTCTCGCTTGGGAGGCGAGTCCTCTAACCAATAAGCTACTGGGCTCCACGTGTGGGTGGGTCGGTGGGAGGAAGTCACACATTCCCCAGTCATGGCAGGGCAGGGGAGGGGAGGCCAGGGCAGGGCTGGGGAGGGTAGGGCAGGTCAGGGCACGGTGACTTCTGGTGCCGAGCACTGGACGCGGCAGTGAGCTGGGATGTGATTGGGGCTGTGGGAGAGCCCCTCAGTAATCCAGGCACCTCATGGCGATCACGGCGCTGCTCAGCCTGCGGGGGAGGCCCTTGGCAGCCTGACGCACCTCCTCGGGTTTGGCTCTCAGGAGGCTAGATACCTGCTGCAGAGCCCGGGACGGCTGTAGCCCCAGTGCGTCCATCACGTTGCTCAGGTAATCTGCCCCCGAGACAAACAGGAGAGAAAACAGGCATTAATGACCAACAACAACAACAAATGGCATTTACACGGTGCCATTCACGTCGGGAAGACATCACAAGGCGCTGGACAGTCAAGGATTTGGACCCAAGTTTGGGGTTGGGATCAGAAGGGGTGGAGGGCGGGGAGGGTGGGGGTAGGAGGGTGACCAAAGCGCAGTTGAAGAGGTCTTGAGATGTGCCTTGAAGGAGCCAAGGGAGGGAGCGAGATGAAGGTAGTGTGGGCTGGAGTTCCATAGGGTGGGGTCAGATAGTCTGAAGGTCCGACCACCGATGGTGGGGCGGGCCGGGCGGGGGACGTGGGACATGGAGCCCTCTGAGCGGAGGGGAACGGACGGGTCTCTATGGGGTTAGCAGGTCACAGAGGTAGGGAGGAGCGAGGCCAGGGAGGGCTTTGAAGACGAGGATTTTGAACTCTATCCTCTGGTGGATGGGAGCCAGTGGAGCCAGGCGAGGGTGGGGGTGAGAGTTGCTGCCAACAGGACCACAAGCAATGAGGAAGAGAGGCGAGCGACAGGGAATGTCAGGTCAATGCCCCTCACAACCCCCACACAGTGTGAGAGCCCCCCCCCCCACACACAGTATGAGAGCCTTACCCAGGTCAGTGACCAGCTGTTTGGTGGAGTGTGGTGTGAGCTCTGGGATTTGCAGGATGCTCTCACAGTACGTGTGCATGGTGGCCCTGGCAATGGAGCCCAGCCAGTAATCAGCCACGTTATCCAACTCCGGCAGCTCGTCCCCTGGAGACCACAACAGCAACAACTTACATTTACACAGCGCCCCTCACGTAGGGTAGCGTCCCGGAGCGCGGGACAATGGGGGAGCAAGACGCCAAGCCGGGGGGAGGTGACCTTAGGCCACGGTGGAAGGGGAAGGTCTCCAGCCGCGACCTGAGGAAGGGGAAGGAGAGGGCGAGGCGGAGGGATTGAGGGAGAGAGTGACAGAGTTTCAGGATGTAATGGCTGAAAGCGCAGCCGCCGATGGTGGAACGGAGGACACAAGGGAAGAGAGAGAGAGAGAGAGAGAGAGAGAGAGCGTACGCTCAGTCAAACCCAAGCCCCACAGCCCTCACAGTGGCCCTCGGCTCCCCCGTGCCTGTGCCCTGACCTTGCTCGGGGGGGTAGGGCAGTTTGCCTGCGTGCAGCGCCAGCTCCAGCCCGGGGTCCTCCTGGGTGACGAACGGCTCGAGGTGGAGCGGCAGCGACATGATGTACTGCCCGATCTGAGCAGGACAGAGCGAGAGAGAGACAGTCACTACACATCCTAGCCTCACAAGTCACCATTGCTCCCAGCCCCCGCCTCACTCCTAGACCCCACCGCCCCAGTCTCCTTTCCCCTCAGCCCCCACCTCACCCCTGGCCCCCACCACCCCAGTCTCCATCGCCCCTCAATTCCCGCCTCCCCACATCCCGCAGATTCGCCCCCTAAATTCCCTCAGCCCCGCCCTAGGCCCCGAGTGAGTGAGTGAGTGAGGGAGGGAGGGAGGGAGGGAGGGAGGGAGAAAGGGAGGGAGGGAGGAAGGCAGGCTGCGGTGACTGAGAGCTCACGTTGCTGATGTACTCCAGAGGTGAGAGGCTGAACGTGGGCAGGTCGTCTGTCATGGTCTCTCCCGCTGACCCCGAGCTCCATGCCTGCCCCAGGCAGAAACAAAAGAAAACACAGTCACCACACCCGCTTGCAAGTCGCTTACTCAGGGAGCACCATCGCGCCTGTCAGCATCGTTAAAAAAAAGAGCAAATTGGGTGTGACTTATTGTTAAATCAGGGTTTGGTTTTGTTGACGCTTCGAGACACTCCCTGCCCCCAATGCAGCGTCTCATCACATTGTTGAGGAGTCTCAAAGTGCTTCACAGAATATAGTGTAGAGTGGAGTGACTGTATAATATTAACTTGGTTCTTTTCTGCCCCCACAGCGCCTGTGAGCAACAATAACAGCTTGTGTGTGTGTATATATATATGTAATCACGCTCCCCTCACCCAGGGAAGCCTCCTGGACCCTCTCTGTCCCGCAGCACCGCACGCTCACCTCCATCTTGGGCACGAGGTGGAGCTGCCTCTGGATGGGCAGGAAGACGGAGTCGAAGGCCAGCTGGTAGGCCTGCTGGTTCAGGCGCGTCAGTGCCCCCCGCTGCTCCCCCAGCAGCTGCTTGTTCCCCGTCCCCTTCTCCTGCCGACAACACCAGCAGCCAGTGAGTGTGACCGGGAGCCCGGCACAGGCCAGCCCCCAGCCCAGCAAAGCACAGTCCCCAGCCCCCACCACACCTGGTCCGACTGTCATTGAGAACATACTCCCGGACAGAGAGAGTGAGAGAGAGCGGCAATCCCGCAAAGGGGGGTGGGAAGGGAAGAGATCGAGGGAGGGGGGATAGAGAGAGAGCGAGAGAAGGGCGGGGGGGAGAGTGGGGCGGAGAGAGATGAAGGGATAGGGGAGAGAGAGAGCGAAAAGGGGGAGGGAGATGAAGGGATAGGGGAGAGAGAGAGCGAAAAGGGGGAGGGAGAGAAAGAAGTGGAGAGGGGGGAGAGAGAGCACAAGAGACATAAAACAGACGCCCCCACCAATCCCCTCGTATGCCCCCACCTTGAGGGTGTAGAGCAGGTCCAGCAGGCTGCCATACAGGCTGGGGTTGCCCCTCTGGAGGTAGTTGTACTCCTGCCAGGGGTTCCTGGCCCCCACCTTACCCCCGGGCTCGGGGCCAGCGCCCAGGCTGCGGGGGCTGTAGGCATCAGACAGGTACTTCGACCCACTCGTCAGCAGTCTGTCAACACCAGGGGGTTAATGACTGGTTAGTGACCCCCCACCCCACACACTCACCCCCACCCACACGCACTCACACACAATACACTGCCATCAGTGCACCCCGCCCACCCGCCACCCCCACACACACATACACTTTGCCATCAGTATCGGCTGTCACCCCCCTCCCCCCCCCACCACCATTCATCTCCAACCCCAACTTCTCCCACATGTTCAACATCCTCCCCCCCCCCAACGGCACACTCTCACCTGTTGGACAATTGCTGTTCAAAGTCTCCACACTGTCGCAGTAGCTCCCCACAAGTGGCAATGATCCTGACATTAAACATACACATAAGTCACACACATGTAAAATAATAATAATAATAATGCTTGCATTTGATATAGCGCTTTTCACGTCGGGAGGACGTCCCAAAGCGCTTCACAAAACACAGTGTAAAGTGAATTGACTGTCTATTTGTGGGCGAACGCGGCAGCCAATTGCGCACAGCAATGTCCCACAGACAGTCATAGATTGAAAATGACCAATTTATTATTGTTTGGTGTTTTGGAGGGATTATTATTAGGCTCTGTGTGGAGTAAGGAAACTTGCCCAAGGTTTTGCCCTCTGCCTGGAATTGAACTCAGGTCTCTCGCTTGCAAAGCGAATGCTATAACCACTGAGCTACAGGACTCCACGATGTCCCATTGGGGACAAACATCATGCTCATGTTTGGAATGTGAACCCATGTCACACACCCGTGTGTAACCCTGACACATGTCACATCCGTGTGTAACACTTACAAACGTCACACGCCTGTGTGTAACACTAACACACAGGCGCTATCCCATTACCTGACGCAGCTCTGGAACGCCGTCCAATCCTCCTGGAACAGGGAAGCGCTGGGCGTGTCCTGGAGACGGCACTTCTTGCGGATCGACTGCAGCGTGGTGGAGAAATCCGACACGTACCTGGGAACATACACACACGGCACTCAGCCACACGGCACTCAATGGCACACATTCACCTCAATCTTTTCCCGGCCTCCCCCGTATGTTCACCTTCGCCCCTCCCCCCAAGCCTTGAACGTAGAGGGGAGCGTGGCTGGGGCCTGGGACAGTCTGGGCGATGTTTCTGGTGACAAGCACACAGATAAGATAACCTGAGCTCACGCTGAGACGCTGGAACACAGTACAAAGGAGCCCCAGGTCACTGGCAGGACTGGGGACGGGGAGGGTTGGCTGATAAGTGCATTTGGCCTTGACACAAGAACAGTGGGTGCCTGGGAGCCGGAGGGGGGGGGGTAGGGGGAGGGATGTTACACAATCAAGGTGATGGTCATGGCTTTATACAGCCACCACATCCCGGGCACTGTGACAACCATTAACCTTCTAACCCAGGCCTGCAAACCTGTGGGGTTGGACTCTCTTCCCCTCCTCCCCACAATGAGATGCCCCTACCCCAATAGGACGCCTCAGTCCCAATTCCCGAGGCCCGGAACCTCTATATTGAGCACAGCCAGGCCGTGGGTGTAGGTGACTGACGGGAAGGTTCAGTGGGAATTAATTGGCTCAGCAATGTGTGACAAAACGAGAAGTGTGAGGGTCAAGTCAGCCAGGGAACAGGGTAGAGCTTTACGTGGGGTTTCAGCCAGTGATGGGAGCAGGAATTGTCTTAGGTCCAAAACACTCATCAGGGAGAGAGAGATAGAAAGAGGGACAGAGAGAGAGAGATAGATAGACAGAGGAATAGAGAGAGAGAGACACAGAGAGAGGGAGAGAGATAGAGACTCAGAGAGAGAGAGACACACACACACACACATATAGAGAGAGAGACAGAGAGAGAGAGAGAGAGAGGTCAGCAAGGTGCCCAGACAGGACCATGAGGAACGAGTTACTTTGAGAAAAGTGCCTTCAGGGCTTTAAGCAGCCCACAGGCCCCAAGGCCATCGGTCAGTTTGAGACATCTGTCCACGGCGCCGCTGGCCAGGCTGAAGAGCTTGCTGACCGACTGGCTGAGCTCCTGCACACAGTCCAGCAGCTCCCCCCGCTCCTGCAACAACAACAGCTTGCATTTACACAGCCTCTCACATCAGGGGGACGCCCCGAGGCGCTGGATAGTCAAGGGTTTGTAGCCGAGCTGGGGGTTGGAGTCAAGAGGGCAGAGCGAAGGGGAGTGAGCGGCGACCAGAGACATGAGCCCACACCGGCTGTGTAACCCAACATGTCATCACAACACTTCACAGCTAACGCACACAATTTGTTCACAGCAACGTCCCCGCAAACAGCCACGAAGGGAGAGACCCACTGTATCTGGGGCTTTGTTGGCCAGGACACGGGAGGGAGAGAAAAACTACTTTCCTAACAGCCGCTCTCTATAAAAATAATCCTTGCATTTAGTACAGCGCCTTATCACTTCTTGCAGACGTCTCAAAGCGCTTCACAGGATGTACTGTAAAGTGTAGTGACTGTGTAGTTTGTAGTTGAAACGCAGCAGCCAACTGCGCACAGCAGCGTCCCACAAACAGCCGTGATTGATTGACCCAATTTTTTTCGGAAGGGATTATTACCCCCGGAAGCAATCCGACAATCAGCTAACAACCGGGATCCTAATTACTGCTAAACAGAGGCATGTGGAGTAATGAAACTTGCCTAGGTTTTTGCCCTGCCAGAAAATATCAGGGAAAGCTTGATTGCCCCCCCACCCTCCCACCCCACCCCCGGAGGGTGTGTGTGTGACTGACTTACCAGGGGGACGGCGCTGATCTGGATGAGCAGGAAGACCTCCTCGAGCTCCCCGTACTGTAGCAGGTACGGCTGGTAGGGCTCAGCAACCGCAGTCACCAGCTCAGTCACCTTCAGCAAGTTCATCTCCCCTGTGACAGATACATAGTGAGAGTGAGACACGCCAACACCACACCCCTCCTCGCTTCCCCTCAACCCCCACACCTCGCCTCCCCTCAAACCCCCCTCGTCTCCCCTCAAAACCCCTTTGCCTCCCCTCAACTCCCCCCTCGCCTCCCTTCAAGCCCCCTCAACCCACCCATCGCCTCCCCTCAAACCCCCCTCAACCTCCTTCATCTCCCCTCAATGCTCAACAGCCCCCCGCCCTCCCCACCCGGTTGCTGCTGTCACTGACCGAGGTGTGGCAGCATGGCAGCCTCCAGGCTCTTTGCAAAGTGTGTGGTGGAGGCGTGCAGGTCCAGCAGTAGGCTGAGCTTGTCTTCGCTGCTGGCTCTCTCCAGCGCGGTGCTCAGGTACACGGGCACCGAAGGCACCAGCGCGCTCAGCGTTTGGATCTGCAGCACCGTCACGATCTCAGAGGCGTTCTGGAAAACCTGTGGGGAACAGATGGGAGATTTGTAGCTCAGTGGTTAGAGGCCTCGCAAGCGAGAGACCTGGGTTCGATTCCTGACGCCTGTTTACCAGCAGTAAGCAGGAACCTGGTTGTTAGTCGATTGGTGGATCACTTTTCCTGGGCTAATAATAAAAAAAAATTTGGTCACTCAATCCACGGCTGTTTGTGAGACGCTGCTGTACGCAATTGACTGCCACGTTTTGCCCATAAAATATACAGTCAATTCACTTCACAGTATATTCCGTGAAGCGCTTTAAGACACCTCAAAGATGTGATAAGGCTCTGTATCAAATGCCAGGATTATTATTATTACATGTTTCGGGTCACACGAGTTCCAGAAACGTTCGTCTACAAAACACATACACTCACTGCCGGTCACAGAGAATCCTGTAAAGCAATTCTGGGGTAACTTCCGATGTGAAAAGCCCTGGAACAAACCTAAGGGTGATATTATTGTCACTCACACAATGAGAATCTCCCATGGGCTCAGTTTTCATGTGTCAAACGGATTGTCGGTCATATTAATAGAATCATACAATCATACAGCACAGAAGGAGGCCATTCGGCCCATCATTTTAAAAGAGCTTCCAATTCAATCCCACTCCCCCGCTTTCTCCCCATAGCCCTGCAAACTTGTTCTCCCCAACTTCTCTCTTAAAAGTTGTTATCGAATCGGCTTCCCCCACCTTTCCAGGCAATGCATTCCAGATCCGAACAACTCGCTGTGTGAAAACATTTCTCCTCACCTCCCCTCTGTTTCTTTTAACAACTATTCTAAATCAGTGTCCTCGGGTTACCGACCCACCCGCCAGTGAAAATAGTTTCTCCTTGTTCACCCTATTGACTTCCCTCATCATTTTGAAAACTTCTATTAAGTCTCCTCTTAACCTTCTCTGCTCCAAAAAAAATAATCCTAACTTCTCCAGCCTCTCCTGATAACTGAAGTCCCTCATTCCTGGTAAATCTCCTTTGTCCCCTCTCCAATACCTTGACATCCTTCCTGAAGTGTGGGGCCCAGAACTGAACACAGTCTCTAGCTGAGACCTAACCAGTGTTTTATAAAGATTCATCATAACTTCCTGATGTTTGTATTCTATGCCCAAATTTATAAAGCCTTAGTATCCTGCGTGCTTTTTTAACAGTATAATAACGATAATAATCCTGGCATTTGACCGCCTTATCACATCGTTGAGCCATCTCAAAGCCCTTCACAGAATTTACTGTAAAGTGAATTGACTGTATATTTGTATAATTGATTGTTTCTCCCAATCTACTCTATCAAAACCCCTCATAACTTTGAACACCTCCAGTAAATCTCACCTTAACCTTATCTGCTGTAAAGAGAATAATTCTAGTCTCTCCACATAACTAAAATCCCTCATCCCTCATCCAAGCGCTTTGAGATGTCTCAAAGACCTGGTAAAGCGCTATATCAAATGCAAGGATTATTATCCCTGGCATCCTCGACACAAGTTCTGAAAAGGTCTAGGCGACCGCACACAATGTCCAGCACTCGAGAGGTTAAGCACCCAATAGCTTTTTGTTCTTTTAAACAGTGTTCTCAGAGCAGATTATTTTTTAAGGTTTGAATTTTGCCCTCAGGGAATGCATTATTTCTACAGTTTACTGTTCATTCACTGAATGTGCTGAAAAGTCACTTTTACATTAACGTGATAAAGCCGTAGCTTTCCATGCACGGAGCGGACAGGCTGTCAGCAGACCCCAACGCTGCCTGGGACACCCACATAATCTGCTCCCCTCACACCATTCCAGGTGGGGTGGGGGAGAGGGGCGAGGAGGATCGAGCACCAGCACAAACACGATGGGGAGAGAGAGAAAGAGAGAGAGAGCAGGGAATGGGGTTAAAGTAGAGAGCTCCAGTGGGGGAGTGAGCACAGACACAGGCACAGACACGATGGGGAGAGAGAGCAGGGAATGGGGTTAGAGTAGAGAGCCCCAGTGGGGGAGCGAGCCCCAGTAAAATATTGTAAAACAGATTGGTTGTGTATTCTGTGGACAAAACGGGGCAGCCAATTGTGCCAACAGTGTCCCACAAACAGTCATGGATTGATGATGATGGAGCAGAGGGAGTGAGGAATGAGCAACAAACAACAACAACAACAAGATTACATTTGTATAGCGCCTTTCACGTCGGGAGGACGTCCCAAAGCGCTGGGGTGGATGAGTGTGAAGAGCAGCAGGAACAGGACTGGGAACACTCTGAGACTCCGTTGGCACATGTGGAGTTAAGAGAAGGTGCGAGCGAGTCAGGTTGTGGAGGTGATTTCATCAGGACTGGTTTTAAGAGGAAAAAGCCTGATATCCATTTAGATAAGAGAGCTATTATTACTGAAGGTGATGCCAGAGATAAGGCCAAGTGTTCAGCACAAATGTAACAAGTGGTGTTTGCGCAGACACTAACCCACAACAAGCCAATTAAGGGGGAATGGAATTGTTCCGGCACATACCTTTGATGGAAATTTACCCCCACGCCCGATAAAATAAATGTCCGTGACTTAATCGCAGAGATAAGAGATTATAAACTTAATATGTACACAAGATTCTGGCTCTCTGCCCCTTCCCACAGCTCCCACCCCCTCTCTCTCTCTCTGGATTTATTCTCTTAGTGACCGCCTGACCTAGTGGAAGGATTAGTGCTGTGCATGACAATTATTTGGTAAAAATTGAAAGCAAATCCTTATAATCTGACACAGGGCTTATGTATCAAAATATCTGAAAGTGCTTCACAGTAATTACTGCAAAGTGTAGTGACTGTGTATTTGCAAGTGAATGTAACATGGCAGCCAGTGTGTGCACCTCTCGCTTGTTTTCAAATCTCTTTATGCCCTTGTATCTCCCTACCTATCACCCGTTGCCTCCACTCGGACGGCTCCGGCCTCCTGCTTGTCCCACGTGCACTCCACTCCACTCCAACAATGGTAGCCTTCAGACACCATCTCCAAAACTCTGGAACTTTCTCCCTCAATCCCTCGACATCGCCCCCTCCCTCCCCATCTTCAAATCCCGCTAAAGACCTTCCTTTTTGATGGTACTTACGGCCACCTCCCCACTCCCTCTCACCCCTGGCTCGGGGTCAGACTCCGACACTGTCAAGCGCTTTGGGATGTTACTGCGTGAAGGGAGCTATATAAAGTTTTTGTTTATTTTTGTTGTTGCACAGCAACATCCCCACAAACAGCCATAAAGCGACTGATTTCGCTGGAGGATTGATGGCCCGGACACCGGAAGAAACTCCCTTTTCTTCCCAGTCTCACAGAACCCTTTAATATCCACAGAACAGGCACAGCTGGGACCTGGCTTTATCATCTCATTTGAAGTACTCCGTCCCCGACAATGCAGCTCTTCCCCAACACTACATTATGGAGTCAGGCTGGACTGTGAGCCCAGACTGGGGGCTTGAAACTCACTCAAGAGAGGCTCCACTCCCCCCACCACACACACACTTCGAGAGTGAAAGGGAGAGCATTATTTTTTGGCCAGTCGGGTGTCTTGACACACACGGAAACCTATCACCGTTGCTTACGAGTCTCCAAACCCAACTGAGAATTCCACACCTCCCACCTTCACATGGAAATCCCAGCGATAGATAGTTGGGATGGGATGTACACTCTCTCTCTCCCTCTCTCTCTCTCCCTGGAGGGAGGGCCCCTGCTTACCCAATTCCGGAAAGTATTAGGCGCAGGTTGGCCAGAGCCAAAGCTTGGAGGGAGCCCAGAGTGTGTGTTGGGGTAACTGCTGGAGTCTAACCGGCTAAAACCATTTAGCTTGACATTGATATCACTGTCTGGCAAGCATGGAAAAGAAAAAAAAAAGGAAACTGTGTGAGAGTGAGAGAAAGACAAATAATAATAATAATAACCTTTGCATTGAAACAGCACCTTATCACGTCTTCAAGACGTCTCAAAGCGCTTCCCAGAATATACTGTAAAGTGAAGTGACCTATTATTTTGAGGGCGAAACACAAGAGTGAATGAGATAGTTAGTGAAAGAGAGAGAGAATGAATGAGGGAGATAAATAATAATAATAATAATAATAATCCTTGCATTTGATATAGCGCTTTTAAGTGAATCAGAGAGAACAAGTGAGCGAGGTGAGTGAGCGAGACAGAAGCAGATCACTGGGTGGTTCAGGACCAGTGAGAGTCGAGGGCTGGTCGGCACAGCCGGTAACCAGCTGCAGATCGTAATCAAACAAACTGCAAATGAGCCGTTCGCTCATAGTTAATGACTCATTCTGTGTGTGAGCTGAGCTGATCTTAGCTGAGCCGGGTGGGGAATTGTCAACACGTTGTCCCATTGCTGCTTTGAGAATATGGGAACACCATGAAAATAATGTAGTCAATCAATCCACGACTGTTTATTGGAAGCTGCTGTGCGCTATTGCCTACCACGTCTCGTACACATAATACAGTCACTGCACTTTATAAGCATATTCTGTGAAGCGCTTTGAGACATCTCAACGACATGATCAGGCGCTATATCAAATGCAAGGATTATTATTACAATAAATTGAAATGTTGGGCAAATTTCCTTACTCAACACATCTCTGTTTACCGAGCCATAAGTAGGAACTTAGTTGTTAGTCGATTGGCGGATTGCTTTTCTGGGGATAATAATTCCTCCAAAAAAACAAATTTTCAAAAAAAATATTAATAATTTGGTCACTCAATCCACCACTGTTTGTGGGGATGCTGCTGTGAGCAATTGGCTGCAGTGTTTCGTCCACGGTCAAGACACTTCACCGTATACTTTGTGAAGCGCTTTGAGGCATCTCGAAGACATGTTAAGACGCTGCTTCAAATGCACTGTTGCTTCAAAGGATTAACATTATTAGAAAAAAGGGCATAATGTGATAATGGGGGGGGCGGGGAGTGACTGTACTAGGTTATATATCACATTTGGCAACTGTCATCAGAGTCTCACTCCCCCTTTTCACAGATCCCGGGGAATTAGGTGTATACTCAGGTGTAGTAACTGTGTATTTGTCGGCAAACATGGCAGCCAATTGGAGGACAGCAGAGCCTGTAACAATAAACCGGAGTCAGCGAGCTGTGCCCGGCTCAGAGAGCCTTACCTGATTGGTCCACTGAAGCTGTGTGTGCCACGTTGCCAGGAGGGTATCGTAGAATTCCGTCAGCTGGTGCTCCAGCCTGGTCTCACTCTGTGCCAACTCCTGCCACACACACAGCAACTGGCCCTGGGGAAGTGACGCCAATCAACCAGTCAATAAACCACACGGTCAACCCAACCACCCACATCCCCAACCACACCCCCACATCACCAACCACCACGCCAACCACCCACATCCCCAACCACACCCCCACATCACCAACCACCACGCCAACCACCCCCCCAACCATCCATATCACCAACCACCCCCAAAACCCCACATCACCAAACAAATACATCCCCATCCCCCACACTCTCCTCAAGAACCACCCCACCACCTACCTAATCCAACTACCCACACAAACCATCCCCCAACCCCTCCCCATCACCCACCTAAACCCAACCATCCCATACAATGAATGCTCCCCCCACCCTCTCACCCACCCCCACCAGCCCCTTTACAGTGTGAGGAACACTATGAGCAGGAGGCGGTGACTGACCTTGTGACACTTGTAATAATACGTCAACAGCTGCGGCCGTCGGTCAATCTCCACAAACACCTTCACGAAGAGCTTGGCCTGCTCTGTAATACACAGCGACAGGGGTCAATCAGCACATCTCACTCCCCCCCTCCACCCACCTCCCTCCCTCCCTTCTCTCCGACCACCTGCCGTCTGTTTCAGCAATTTCTTTCCCTCCCCGCTTCGCGCCCCGCCTAAAGCACCGGGATCAGGGCAGACCAGAGGCGATTTAACGTCTCATCTGACAGGTTGCACCTTGTGGGGCTTCCCTCAGTATTTGAAGGCACATAAAACATACAGTCCTCTCTAGTCCTGCTCCTCACCAGTCTCAACACCTTACGCTTATTATATTGATCCTAAAAAATTACATTTGTGTTTAATACAGTGCCTTTCATATTGGGAGGCCATCTCAAAGCGCTTCTCAGGCTTCACTGCAGCATGTAGCTTCGTCCACAAAATATACAGTCACTCCGATTTACAGTGTATCCTGTGAAGCTCTTTAAGAAGTCTCAATGACGTGATGAGGTGCTCTATTCAAATGCAAGGATTATAACTGTGTCAGTCTGTGTGAGCAGCAGATTCCTGGTGTGGATTGGGAACCCACGACATCATGGTGCACGGTGGGAAGGGTCTCCAGCTGACAGTTTCTGAGGCTGAAACGATGAAATAAAGCAGGTGTCCTTCACCTTGTGGGCCTGCGTGTGTGTGTGTGTGTGTGTGTGTGGGGGGGGGGGGGGGGGGGAACTTGCGCGTGTAAATTGCCGTACATAAAAGCAGTCACTGCACTCGACGGGCATCGATGTTTAAGGCTACAGTGCAATGAGCGTCAGTCTGAGCCTCAGTAAGTGTGCTGCTGCCCCCTGCTGGTTTTCTGGCTGCTCCACACCGAGTCAATGACCTGACTGACACCGCCTTACACAGAACCTCGACTCGCTCCTCCCACTCTTCCCAGAATTCACTGTGACGTGTAGTGACTGTGTGCTGTGCAGCCAAACAAATGTGCAACAAATTCAACACATTTTGTAACCGCCGACATCCAGGCGGGATTGTCAGCCAGGAATCACTGCACCGCACAGTGTCACCCCCAGGGGCTGGTTCCCCTGATGGGACAGTGTCACCCCCAGGGGCTGGTTCCCCTGATGGGACAGTGTCACCCCCAGGGGCTGGTTCCCCTGATGGGACAGTGTCACCCCCAGGGGCTGGTTCCCCTGATGGGACAGTGTCACCCCCAGGGGCTGGTTCCCCTGATGGGACAGTGTCACCCCCAGGGGCTGGTTCCCCTGATGGGACAGTGTCACCCCCAGGGGCTGGTTCCCCTGATGGGACAGTGTCACCCCCAGGGGCTGGTTCCCCTGATGGGACAGTGTCACCCCCAGGGGCTGGTTCCCCTGATGGGACAGTGTCACCCCCAGGGGCTGGTTCCCCTGATGGGACAGTGTCACCCCCAGGGGCTGGTTCCCCTGATGGGACAGTGTCACCCCCAGAGGCTGGTTCCCCTGATGGGACAGTGTCACCGCCAGGGGCTGGTTCCCCGATGGCACAGACGTCAGCCCCACTAGCCCGCGCTGCGCAGTGCCTCACCCACAGACTGCGAGTTGAAGGCAGCTACGATCTGAGGACTGGCGAGCGCCTCCAGGCGGTTCTTTAGCGCCTCCAGGTGGACGCACTTCTCGGAGTAGTCGGGGGTATCCGCCAGCATGGCCAGGCTGCTCTGCATACTCGTCAGCTTGGCTGAGATCGTAGCTACATCCTGCAGGTAAGTCAGGCGTCAGTCAATTGTGGTCACTGTGTACACAGAGAGCTCCCCAACACCTCCCACTGGGTGCGCCCCATCACCTCCATCTTTACAAGGAGAATCGTAGCGTAGTGGTTAGAGCGCTCGCTTGCAAGCGAGAGGATCTGGATTCGATTCCCAGATGGAGTGAAACCTTAGGCAAGTTTCCTTACTCCACATGCCTCTGTTTACCCAGCAGTAAGTAGGAACCCGGTTGTTAGTCGATTGGCGGATCGCTTTTCCAGGGGTAATCATCCTTCCAAAACAAAAATAAATTGCCTGTGTCTTGAACGTCTCCTCGATGTCAGCACTCAGCGTGCTCCACTTATCGGCCTCCTGTAGGGCATCGGCTGCCGCCTGCATCCGGGACTTCACCTCATCAATCTCCACCAGCACCTGGGTCACACAGCACAGTCATCACACACTCAGCACAGCTCACATCACACACCGATACCAGTCACACCAGTCACTGAGAGCAGGGAATCCTCCCACTCAGCTCCTGTTAACTCCGCAAGTCAAAGCTCTAATGGGTAGGTTGGTCCTAGCAGGACAAGCAGTGGGAAAGCTTGCCACAATGCTCTCAATGGCAAGCCATGAGATGTTAGCTGGTTAGACTCCAGCAGTTACCCCAACGCACACTCTGGGCTCCAAGCCTTGGCTCTTGGCAACATGCGCCTAATTCTCTCTGGAATTAGGTAAGCAGAATGCATCCCTCCAGGGAGAGAGAGAGAGAGAGAGAGAGCACATTCCATCCCAACAATCTATCTCTGGGATTTCCATGTGTAGATGGGATTTTGCATGGAATTTTCAGCTTGGTTTGGAGATTCTGTAACATGGTGATGGGTTTCAGACTGGGCGAAAAAAAAAATATTGTCCGACAGAATAGATTCCCTCCTGCAGCTCAATTGGAAAGGCGAGTGCTTGGCCCCGGTACCTGCATGGACTGCGCTGTCTCTTGCTCAAATTTCCGAATGTCTTCTTTCACAAGGATCATTTGGTCCTTTAGGAAGGAAGCCTCCTGCTTCAGAGCCTCCACATCCCTCAGGGCACGGGGCATGTTCTGCAGCGCCTGGTGACTGGTTTCTGTGTGACATGGAAGAGAGCGCGTGAGAGAGGGAGAGAGAGGGTGTGAGAGAGAGAGAGAGAGAGAGAGAGGGTGGGGGGAGAGAGAGAGGGGGAGAGCCGTAGTCACACAAGCTTAACATTAGGAACGTAGGAATTGCTGGATGAAAAAAGATCTAGGTCCATCCAGTTCGCCTTAGTCCTGCCTGGGAATCTAACCCAGGTCCTCCCACTAGAGGCGACTGTGCTAACCACTATGCTACAGGACTCCACATGTGGCTCCAATTAGGAAAATAATCTGGACGGGCACTGCCCACGGTGTCCGGTATCAATGCCAACTTTAAGACTTTCTCCTGATGTGAGAAACACACATTATTATTATTACTATCTATCTGGCATCCAGTTCCCTTTCGAGTAGTTTTATTTAGGAACAGGAGTAGGCCGTTCAGCCCCTCAAACCTGTTCCGACACTCTGTAAGATCATGACTGACCTGTACCTCAATTCCAATCTGGCCTCAGTAACCAAAAGAAAGCAAGCAGGGGGCTGTTGTTGGGAGAATAACCAGAAACAAGGGGCAAACGAACCTTCAATGGCGTTGTTGACCTCCTGGATGAAAAGCTGCAGTTTCATGACCAGCGTAGCAGCGTGACTGTCCACCTTTCCTGTCCCGTCTTTCTGCACCGCCTGGAATGCTCCGTTCACCCAATCCTTCACCTCAAAGTTGTCGTCCAGGAACTTTGAGAAATCCATTTTCTCGACGTCCTATTTCCCCGATCCCTCCCCACCCCTCTCACAAGGATTAAACCTCTCTCCACAGACATGCAATGTAGTTGTGGCTGTGGGCTTCACTATTCAGACCTATATAAAAGAACAATAAATTACACTTACACAGTACCTTTCACGTTGGGAGGACGTCCCAATGCGGTGAACAGTCAACGGTTTGGACCTGAGCTGGGGGTTGGGATCAGGAAGGGTGGAGGGTAGTGAGGGTGGGGTTAGGAGGGTGACTAAGGCCCAGTCGAAGAGGAGGGTCTTGAGACAAGACATGAAGAAAGATCTCAGCACAGGTTACAGACACTAACTGAGCATTAGAGTTTGACCAGCTGGGTGCAGAGGGCGCCCCTCCAGAGAGAGAGAGAGAGTGTGCATTCCTACCTAGACCCGGGGGAAATCTCCGCGGGTGGCCGACAGCCCCTGGTTCCTTTTTGAAGGGTAATAATCCCTTAAAAAAGAATAATAATGTGGTCGCTCAACCCACGACTGCTTGCGGGGACGCCGCTGTGCGCAATTGGCTGCCGCGTTTCACCCACAAAAATATACAGTCAATTCGCTTTACAGTATATGCTGTGAAGCGCTTTGAGACGTCTCGAGGAGCCGAGAGAAGGCGCTGTATCAAATACAAGGCTTATTGTTGTTGTTGTTGTCACTCTCAGCCCAGTGGGGGGCCTTATCTGTGGCTGAGGGAGTGTCACCCCCGGCCTGGCACGACTCCCTGACTAATGTTCCGGCCTCTCCTCCTGGGTTCTCCCCCCAGCCTCAGCCCCCACTCCCCCCTCAAACCCCACAGAAATATGTATGTGTATTCGAACCTGAAGCCTCCGCCTGACTCCACAGCGGCCACGCAACCGGAACAGCTGCACCAGGCTGACGAGCGCCGCCGCCATCTTGGTAAAGGAGAGCGGCATACACTGAGGCTGGCAAAACAAAACTGCCCTGCCGCCATCTTTGTAAAGGGCAGCGCCGTAAATCGGTGGCTCGTCCGCCATCTTTGTAAAAAGGCCGTAAACTGATGGTTCGGCCGCCATCTTCGTAAAGGGCAGCGCCGTAAACTGATGGCTCGGCCGCCATCTTTTGTAAAGGGCAGCTCCGTAAACTGATGGCTTGGCCGCCATCTTTGTAAAGGAGGGCAGCTGGTCGCTTGTTACCATGGAGCTGAAAACAAGCTACCAAGGGATTTTTAAAACTAAATTGGGGTCATTTGGTGCCTGGATTTTTTTGTTTTTGAAATTTTCTCGCTTGTCGCGCTTAACAGCACAGGGGGTGATGTCACTGCCCAGGCCAGCACTGACCCCGTTCTCTCTCCCTCTCGCTGTGCTGAGTTACAATGGGCCTCAGTGTCCCTGGGCAGGACTCCGGGCCACACTGTCCTTCGTGCCCTCCGTTCCATCATCAGCAACCGTGCTTTCAACCACTCACCCAAAACTCTGGAACACTCTCCCTTGACCCCTCTGCCTTGTCCCATCTTCAGGTCACTCTTGAGGACCTTCCTCTTCCACCGTGGTGCACGGTCACCCCCCCCACCGGCTCGGCCTCGTGCTCTGCTACTGTCAAACGCTCTGAGACGCTACCCTGCATGAGGGGCGCTGAGTAAATGCAAGTTGTTGTTGTATTTCTAACTCGAGACGTATTTGTGTATATTCTGGGGTCGTGAACAGACTCCACACATCACAAGCTTTTAACCAGAAGAAACATTTATTTTTAATATAAAACTGAACAGATCAAGAGTGACAGTAACATCCCATTTCTGTGCAAGACAGCAATAAAACAAAACAGGCAATATACTCTGTGAGAAAACCCTCCCCATCCCCAAGAACAAGGCTGCAAACCAGGGGAGCTGCAGATCTTTGGGCAGCAGCCGCAAGTCACTTGTCGACTGATTCCTGGCACAATTATTGCACATTTATTCAAATCAATAGTTAATTATCCCCAAAACAATCAGCCCACGACTCAAACATGTAAACCCTCTGTGTATAAATCTCTCCCTCTCTCAAAACCTTATACACAATCAGTAAATCTTTAAGGTAAATCAAAACTTTAAACCTGCCCAACTAATGTTATTGCAGATTCGTTGGCTACAAAAATATAAATATCTTCTACCTTCATTTGCTGTTTCTTCCTTCAGTTTTCACACCCGCGGTGGCTGTGCCTCTGGATGTGTGATTGTTATCTGCATCGTGCTCGGAAAATGTGGCTCTTTGTACTGCCCTGCATCAAACGACTCTCGTCTCCAGCCTCACAGCGCTCGGAATTACACCCGCTCCCAGCACAGCAGGCAAGGCCATTCCATCTTGTAGGAATTCCTGGGCGGTGACCAAAACGGGACTATGGGTTACACAATGGGACACATCTCTGGAGCAATGAGCTCGGTCACAGGGGAATCCAGAGGAAGGAGGTAAAGCCCCATCTCATCCCATGTCCTAAGGAGCGCATTCCCACTGCACAACCATAGTCAGACTCTTCTGAGATTGGGGCTAAGGCACATTTTTGGGACAATGTAGAGGAAGCATTACTCCATCTCTAACTTGGGAGTGTGGACGGACAGCGTAGAGGGAGGGAGCTTTACCTGACCTGGGAGTGTGGACAGATCACTGGGGTTTGTACTGCTGACTGATACCTATACCAAATTATTATTTTTTGGAGGGATTACCACCCCTGGAAAGCGATCCACCAATCGACTAACTACCGAGTTCCCACTTACTGTTAGGTGAACAAAGGCGTGTGGAGGAAAGAAAATTGCCTATGGTTTCATCTCGCCTGGGAATCAAACCTGGGTCCTCTCACTTATGAGGCAAGCACTACTGAGCTACGGGTTTCCACAAGATAAGTCAGATACCACCTACCCACTTCCTCCCTACCATCCATTGTAACCCTGACCAGCATCCAATCAGTCCCCCTCTCAATCCCGCATACAATGTACTGCAATGCCCACCGCGCAAGAAGAGAGAGCTGAGGCAGCCCCTGTGCCATGTGGAGGCTGTGCCGTACCCACTGGCAGGAGCTGTGCCATGCCGTACCGGCCGGTCAGAGAGAGCCCCAGGAGGCAGTTGCTGGAATGTCTGCCACCTCGCCCACCTCGGTGACGGGCAGCTCGCCCAGCGTGAACATCAGCTTGTAGCGTAAGCGGACCTTCTCCTGGGAAAAGAGGCAAAAACACAAAACAATCAGAAACGTCAGCAGACAAGAGGAAACCAGGAAGACATTCTGACGTTGCAACATTCCAAACAGTGCCCGAGTGCAAAGCTCTCTGAGGTATACCTCTCGGGCAGCAGGTGGTCACAACAGGACTAAAGGGTCTGACCCACTGTGTAGGCTCTGGCAGTGCCCTGGACACAGCTTGTGATAACACACATTCCCTTTGGAGGAGGGGAGGGAAGCAGGGCACCAGAGCCCAACCGAGAGGGTGGTATCTGAACAGTGATCAGAACAGCAGCAAACATTTACGCAGCATCGTTCACATCAGGAGGATGTCCCAAGGCACTGGACAGACATTTCACTCTTCTCCCAGGGCTGCTGATGCCATCTGAGCCTGGGACTGGCATGAAGTGGGCAGCGCTGAGCCAGGGGATAGGCCAGGAAGGGGGAATTCAGCTTGTGGGTACCTACGTCAGGTTATCACTGTGTCACATGCCCATGCCCACCTCTGGCTGTGTCTCACCTTGGGGGGGTTAGCGAGGAGCATGACCTGGGAGATGATGGGCGGGGGCAGTACGGGGTTGAAGGCAGGAAGCTGTGTCCCCGAGGCTGGCTGTAGTTTCACTTTCATCACCTGAAACAACAACAAATAACATTTACCCAGCTCCTTTCATGTCAGGATGACATCCCAAAGCGCTGGACAGTCAGGGATCCGCACCTGAGCTGGTGGTTAGGATCAGGAGGGCGCGGAGGTTAGGGGTAGGAGGGTGACCGAAGGCACGGTCGAAGAGGTGGGTATTGATACGGGTCTTGAAGGAGACAATGGAGGGGGCGAGGCGGAGGAACTGTGGACTGAAGTTCCAGAGGGTGAGGGCAGAGAGGCTGAAGGCCTGCCCAGCAATGGTGGGCGGGCAAAACAGGGGAGGTGAAGGTGGCCAGAGCACACTGACCAGAGGGAGGGACAGGTTGGTAGGGAGTTAGGATGTCACAGAAGTAGAGAGGAGCAAGGCCGTGGAGGGCTTTGTAGGTGAGGATCAGTATCTTGAACTGTATCCTCTGTGTGGGGAGCCAGTGGAGCCGGGTGAGGATGGGGGTGCTAATAATAACAATACCACCACGAACAACATGCATTTATATAGCGTCCCTCACGCAGGGTAGGTCCTGGATCGTTTATTATTATTAATAATTGCTATTATCCTTGCATTTAATATAGCGCCTTATCACATCGAGACGTCTTTTCACAGAATGTATCGTAAAGTATAGTGACTGTGTATTTTGTGGGTGAAACGCGGAGGCCAATTGTGCACAGCAGCGTCCCTCAAATAGTCGTGGATCGAATGACTAAATTAAAAAAAAAATTTGAAGGGATTATTACCCACGGAAAGCGATCCAGCATCGACCAATTAACAGCTGGTTCCTATTTACTGCTGGGTAAACAGACATGTGCGTGAAATAAGGAAACTTGCCTAAGGTTTGGCCCTGCCCGGGAATCGAACCCAGGTCCACTCGCTTGCGAGGCGAGCGCTCTAACCACTGAGCTACAGGACTCCATGTGCACTGAACCGAGTGAAGGTGCTTCTGAGTGTGGGGGCGAGTGTTCCCGGGGCCATGGGTTGGGGGCTGTGCCCTCACAGAGGCCGGCGCTGAGGTCCATACGAGCCAGGCAGCACTGCGCGGGGGGGAGAGGGCTCGGAGCTCACCTTGGGTACGGCGGCCTGGAAGTGGATGTTGCTGATGGGCAAGGGGGAGGTGCTGAGCATCGAGATGACGATCACCAGGACATCAGGACGGCCGAGGGGACCCGAGCCGGCAAAGTGGAACAGAACCCGGAAACCATGCTGGTCAAAGACGGTGACAGGCACAACACTGCCTGCCAAAGAGACAGCGTTATACACAGCCCCTGCCAGCCAGGCTGACCACACAGCATCCGCCAGCCAGCCAGGCTGACCACACAGCCCTCGCCAGCCAGGCTCACCACACAGCACCCACTGGGTGTCATACTCGCACATTGGGTGTCATACACACACTCACACCCGAGAGCACACTCACACCCCAGAGCACACTCACACTGAGGACTCACTGGGTTTGATGGTTTCCAAAGACACAAACAGGTTGTGGAAGGAGGTGTCTGTGGGGCCGGGCCGGGGTGGGCTCCCCGGGGAGTGTGTGGGTGAGAAGCCAAACCCTTGGGTCAGCGCTATGGGGGGAGGGGGCCCTGCCCCAGGCACACTGTCCACCCCCACCCCAGCTCCAGCCCCCTGAGCCAAAGACTGCAGCACTCGTAGCGACAGCTTCGGCTGTGAGACCTCCCTGAGAGAGAGAGAAAATCAGCTTTAAATATGTACAATTCTGAGAGAGAGACAGACACACACACAGACTGACAGAGAGAGAGACACACACACGCACACAGACTGACAGAGAGAGAGACACACACACAGACTGACAGAGAGAGAGACACACACACAGACTGACAGAGAGAGAGAGACACACACACACAGACTGACAGAGAGAGAGACACACACACGCACACAGACTGACAGAGAGAGAGAGAGACACACACACAGACTGACAGAGAGAGACAGACACACAAACTGACAGAGAGACACACACACTGACAGAGAGACACACACACACACAGACTGACAGAGAGAGACACACACACTGACAGAGACACACACACTGACAGAGAGACACACACACAGACTGAGAGAGAGAGACACACACACAGTGACAGAGAGAGACATTCACACGCACACAGACTGACAGAGAGAGAGAGAGACACACACACAGACTGACAGAGAATATACAGACACACAAACTGACAGAGAGACACACACACACACAGACTGACAGAGAGAGACACACAGACTGACAGAGAGACACACACACACAGACTGACAGAGAGACACACACACAGACTGAGAGAGAGAGACACACACACAGATTGACAGAGAGAGAGACATTCACACACAGACTGACAGTGAGAGAGACACACACACACACAGATTGACAGAGAGAGAGAGCGAGAAAGAGAGACACACACAGACACACGAGGATTGTTGCTGTTTCTCACCACCGGACAGGTTGAGCTCGGGGGCCGAGGGATTCCTGCATCAGCGACTGTCCCAGAGCGTCCAATGCGTTCAGCCCCCGACTGCAACTCGCGGGCATGGAGGCGGGCACGGCTGCCACATGTGGTGTGTCCTGTAACACACAAAGCAATCAGCATGGTGGATACACACTGCCCGCAGCCTCCTCGTTCCTCAGCCAGGGGACAGAGATGCTCCCGATGCGCGCACACACTCTCACACAGACACTCGCACACATACAGACAGATACACGCACACACACACACACACAATAATAATAATAATCCTTGCATTTGATATAGTGCTTTTCATGTCGGGAGGACGTCCCAAAGCGCTTCACAGAACACACTGTAAAGTGAATTGACTGCATATTTGTGGGCGAATGCGGCAGCCAATTGCACACAGCAATGTCCCACAAACAGTCGTAGATTGAAAATGACCACACACACAGATAAACACATGCACACACCCAAGCACGCAGACAGACACGCGCGCACACACGCGCACACACACAGAGCGCTGCTCCTCACCTGAACGCTGTCCCTCTCAGTGCCTGGAGCCCCCAGAGCCTGCCTTGGGATGGGCAGGGGCGGCTCGTTCAGCCCTGTAACACAAGAGAAACTATTGTCTCCTGGCATCTTATTAGGAACTTCCTCTTTGACCACACCTTCAGCCACTCCCACCCCCAACCACCTCTCTTGATCCCATCCAGCGCCCTGGGATGTCCTTCCGACGTGAAAGGTGCTGTATAAATGTAATTTGTTGTTGTTGTCCTCCCCCCGGCCGCAGTGCGACGTACCCAATAACATGAGTTCCTCGTCCAGCAGTGAGGGGAGCTCCCCCGCTGGCACCCGCTCAGGCCCCGGCCCTCCACACGGCCACTTCCCAGTGAGAAACTCGGCCTCGAGCTGGGAGAGGGCGGCCTGCCCCGAGCTGGGCTCTGTATGCGGGGAAAGAAAACAGAGAGATTCAACTCCTTCCGCATCATCCGGCAACTCAGCCACTGCTCTACACCATCACCAAACAGAGAGAGCATTAGAACATGTGCGTGGAAGAGCGAGTGTGAGCGTGCGCCTGAGGATGAGTGAGCAAGGGTGTATGAGTGAACGAGTGTGGTAAGTGAGCGAGGGAGTGTTTTTGAGTAAGTGAGAGTGGGCAAGGACGATAGTTACCTTTGGTGGCTGTGCTCTCTCTGTGCCCGTTCCTCTCGTGAGCGACCACCAGTTTCTTGTAGGAGTTGATGGCCAGCGTCAGGGCATCGTTGGCCTGGAGGATCTCCACTGTGGCCAGTGAGGGAGAGATGGTGTTAGCACACACACATACCCAGCTTCGCGTGCGCGCACGCACAGCTCCGCGTGCACACACGCAGCTCCGCGCACAGCAATAACGCCATTACATACAATAATAAAGTACTGGAGACACATTGTCTTGTTTGGGGGGGGGGGCGTCACTCACCCAGAGCGTCGTCGTTCTCCCCCGTGTCGCTCGCAAACCGGAATAGCGTGGGCCTGAGCTTCTCACAGCGCTGGTACAGAGCCTACAGTCAATCACAGCACGTCAGGCAATGACACACACAGCCCACAGCCCACCGCACACTGCCCACCTCCCCCTCGGTCCCGGGATCCGTTACTGTAAAGCACTCTTGGACGCCATCCGGCGTGGAGGACGCTATATAAATCCCAGTTGTTGTTGTTGGTATATGGGGTATAACCCTGGGGTACGTGGGTATAACCCTGGGGGTTGGGGGTTCTCACCGTCATGACCTCGTGCTCGCTCTCTGGCAGGGAGTGGCCACTGTACAGTGTCAGCATGTCATTTAGCAGCCGAGTGGTGTTGTTCACTTCCTCGATGGCATGAACACGCTTGGTAACTTTCTCCGTCTTTTCCTGTTCCTGCAAATCCACCAGAGAGTCACTTCCTGTACCCCAAACCCCTAACCCTGTCACCCCCCCCTCACCCTAACCCCAGCCTCATCACAGCAGCGTAATCCACTCACCCCAACCCTGTCACCCCCACACCCTAACCCCAATCCCAACCCGTCACCCCTACACCCTAACCCCGGTTCGTCACCCCCACACTCCAACCCTATCACCCCCAGACCATAACCCTTACCTCACCCCACCTGCCCAACACCACCAAACACCCCCCACCTGGCGAGATTGCTCACCTCTTTGATGACGTTCTTGATGAGCCGGTTGGCTGCCTGCAGATCCTCGGGGTGGCTGCTCTTCAGAAGCCTCGCCAGCAGCTGTGGAGAACGACTCCTCCATCACTCATTCATGCCCACGCCATCGGCCACACACACTGACAAGCCAACAACATGCCATCGGGCGCACATACTGACACGCCAACAACATGCCACTGGACACGTACACTGACATGGCAACAACATGCCACCGGCTCCCCACTGACATGCCAATCACACACTGCCAACATGCCAAAGGCTCAATGCTAACACACCAATGACACGTTAATAACACGTCACTGTTGCCACACACAACAAATTACATATGTATAGCGCCTTTCATGTCAGGAAGACGTCCCAAGGCACTGGACAGTTAGACACACACACACGTCTCCTCACCTTCGATTTTTCCTCGTCGTCAAAGAGCGAGCTTTCCTCTCGGGGAGGAGGTGGAGGCAGCGTTTTATTATCTGGTAACTTCGGATCCTGTTTAATGATCCCTGAGAAACCACAAGACACAGGTTTACATGACAATCTACAGCCACCCAGTGAGGGAGCGAACACCAGCACAAACACAAAAGGGAGAGAGCAGGGAATGGGGTTAGAGTAGAGAGCTCCAGTGGGGGTGTGAGCACCAGCACAGACACGATGGGGAGAGAGCAGGGATGGAGGGAGAGACAAACAGGGAGAGTTTGGGCAGACACAAACCTTGCTTCTTCAGCATCTGATAGGCATTTCTGACCTTCACCTCGTCGGGCAGCCACACAGTCCAGCTATACAGCACCTCAATTATTTTGCTCTTCACTTTCTCAGAGCTCCACGTCCCCAGGTACTGAGAGGAAAAGGCAACAGCAATAACAACTTGCATTGGTATAATGCCTCTCATGCGGGCAGCGTGCCAGAGTGCAATCACCAACCCTGTCCCATTCACTCCCTCACCCCCAACTGCTGATCTTTACAGTAAATTCTGTGATAATAATAATCCGTCCATTTGATAGTGCGCCTTATCACATCTTTGAGACGTCTCAACGCATTTCACAGAATATACTGTAAAGTGAATTGACTGTATATTTTGAGGGCGAAACGCAGCAGCCAATTGCACACAGCAGTGAGTGTCCCACAAACAGTTGTGGATTGAGTGACCAATTTATAATTGTTATTTTGGAGGGATTGCTCCCCCCGGAAAAGCGATCCGCCAATCGACTAACAAACAGGTTCCTACTTACTGCTGGATAAACTGAGGTGTGTGGAGTAAGGAAACTTGCCTAAGGTTTCACCCAGCCCGGGAATCAAAGCCCGGGTCCTCTCGCTTGTGAGACCAGTGACTCTAACCATTAAGCTGCCATATACAGTCAATTCACTTTACAGTATACTCTGTGAAACATTTTGAGACATCTCAACGACGTGATAAGGCGCTGTATCAAATACAAGGATTATTATTATCTCGTCCATCCTCCCATGGTTTGTAAACGAGGCTCCCACCCACCAGCACACTACCCCAGCACGGTCACACGGCACAGCTACACCGTTACCTTCGGTGATAAAACTTTAATCAAGTCATTCAGGAATCGGAACTTCCCAGCTTCGTTCTGGAACCTTCTGCCGCAGTTGTTCATGCACATCTCCAGCACCTGAGGGGTGTGAAGGGGAGACAGTGAACCCCAGCACTAAGCCAGCCATAACTCCTCCCAACACAGACACACATATACACACAAAATACCACCCTCCCCACACACACACACACACAGGTATAGACACACATACAGACACACACGTACGGTCAAGGCGTGCATGGCCTCCCTCTCCTGCGGTGACTGGATTTTGTGGCCCAGAAGCCGGGTTGCGATCTGTGGGCTGAATAAAGAGTTGAATTATCTCTGAGCTCGTGACCCCCCCAGCAACCCGCCCCCCCACACCAGCCCCTCATGTCCTCGCTGTTCCCACGTTGCGTTCCTGGAGAGGAACATCCCACAAGCCCCGCTCTCTGGCACAGTTCCCCCCCCCCACCCAGGCACAGCTCCCACCCCACCCAACGGAGACCACCCCCGACACAGCCTCCCCACCCCCACCCCGAGCTCTCTGCTTACCCCTCCAGCTCCTTGTTGACCTGCTGACAGAATCCCTCGATGAATTCCCATGTCTCCTCCTCGTTCACGGGATCTGTGGCTTTATCTTCGAATCAAAGCACCCAAGGGATTAGCCACCGGGAGATAGAGAGAGTTAGATAGAAGAGGGAGAGAGAGACAGTACAGACCCCCTCAGGTACCAGCTCAATGCTGATACCATCCTGGCCCAGTGCCCCTAACCACCCATCCCTTCAGCCAGTTCTGATTGCGTCCCCATGCCTTGCCCTCCCCTCTGTAACCAATGAATAACAGCACTTTTTGACAGTCTTTTATACGCTACTTTCAGGTCATCTGATACCATCTGTGCTGCAAGTCTTGTGACTGCTCACTTCCTGATGGACTCGATTTAAACCAGATATTCACTCACACACCACGTACTCACTCACACACACAGCCCCAGTGCACCCGGTCATTCACTTCACAGCCGTTTGTGGGGACTGCAGCATTTGCCCACAAAACACGTAGTCACTTTCCTTAGAGGGAGTCCTGAGATGGGCTTTGAGATGTTTCGATAATGTGAAAGGCTCCATATCAAAGGGAATGAACACTCGTGTTTTACCCCCAAATTAAATATTTTTTTTGAATTAAATTATTTTTTTTACCAGCCGGGTATCTTGACACATATGGAAACATATGGAAACCCATGCTTAAGAGTCATAGAATTTTACAGCACACAAGGAGGCCATTCGGCCCAGAGTGTCTGTGCTGACTCTTTGAAAAGAGCTATCCAAATCAACCCCACTCCCCCAATAGCCCTGCAAACCTGTCCTCCCCAAATAACTATCCAGAGTATCCAAACAAAGCATCCTGCTTACCTAATTCGGAAAGTATTAGGCGCAGGTTCACAAGAGCCAAAGCTTGGGGACCTCAGAGTGTGCATAAATTCAAATAAATTTGGTCACTCAATCCACGACTGTTTGAGGGACGCTGCTGCATATATTTGGCTGCCGCGTTTCGCCCACAAAATATACAGTCACTCAACTTTACAGTGTATCCTGTGAAATGCTTTGAGACGTCTCAACGGCGCTGTGTCAAATGCAAGGATTATTATTCATTTGGGTGACTTTACAACAGCAGCAACCATACAACTTGCAGTGCCCGTTACGGTGGGGGGAGGGGGGCAGCGTCTCAGAGCGTTTAAAGTTTAATCGTTATTTAATCTTACGATCATTTTCTCTCTGCCCACACATGGGCGAGAGCACAACCGAGTGAGCGACGAACTGAGTCAAGGACAAGGGGGGCCTGACACACATTCCCCCCCACACTTACACACACTCCCCCACCCCCAAACTTACACACACTCCCCCCACCCCACTTACACACACTTACACATACTCCCCCACCCCCACACTTACACACACTCCCCCCCCACACACACACTTACACACTCCCCACCCTGACACACACCCTGACACACACAATCCCCACCCTCACACACACCCTGACACACAATCCCCACCCTCTCACACACCCTGACACACAATCCCCACCCTCACACACACCCTGACACACAATCCCCACCCTCACACACCTGACACACACAATCCCCACCCTCACACACACCCTGACACACAATCCCCACCCTCTCACACACCGACACACAATCCCCACCCTCTCACACACCGACACACAGTCCCCACCCTCTCACACACCGACACACAGTCCCCACCCTCACACACACCCTGACACACAATCCCCACCCTCTCACACACCCTGACACACAGTCCCCACCCTCTCACACACCCTGACACACAGTCCCCACCCTCTCACACACCCTGACACACAGTCCCCACCCTCTCACACACCCTGACACACAGTCCCCACCCTCTCACACACCCTGACACACAGTCCCACCCTCTCACACACCCTGACACACAGTCCCCACCCTCTCACACACCCTGACACACATCCCCACCCTCTCACACACCCTGACACACAGTCCCACCCTCTCACACACCCTGACACACAGTCCCCACCCTCACACACCCTCACACACAATCCCCACCCTCTCACACACCCTGACACACAGTCCCACCCTCTCACACACCGACACACAGTCCCCACCCTCTCACACACCCTGACACACAGTCCCCACCCTGACACACAGTCCCCACCCTCTCACACACCCTGACACACAGTCCCCACCCTCACACACAGTCCCCACCCTCTCACACACCCTGACACACAGTCCCCACCCTCACACACACTCCCACCCTCTCGCACACCGACACACAGTCCCCACCCTCTCACACACCCTGACACACAGTCCCACCCTCTCACACACCCTGACACACAGTCCCCACCCTCTCACACACCCTGACACACAGTCCCCACCCTCACACACACCCTGACACACAATCCCCACCCTCACACACACCCTCACACACACCCTGACACACACCCTGACACACACCCTGACACACGGGCCCAGGCATCGGCCTGTGTTACAGCTCTGACCCCGGGACCTGCTGCTCTGCCGCGGCCCCTCCCCGCGAGCTGCCCTCCCCTCCCCTCCCCTCCCCGGGGCTCTGTGTGTCACTGCCTGTGTCACTCTGTCTGTCCCTGTGTGTGTGTGTGTGTGGGTGGGGGTGTGGGGGGCACTCACTGAGCCACGATTCCAGCGTCTCTTCCTCCGCCGCCATCACTGGGCTCCCGCCCCGCCCACAGCCCGTCACAACACAACAAATAGCCCAACAAGTAGCCCGACACCGCACATAGCCCAACACATCGCCCAACACAGCACATCACAGCTCACCCCATCACACAGCCCAGCACACAGCCAAGCACACAGCCCAGCTCACCCCATCACACAACCCATCACACAGCCCAGCTCACCCCATCACACAACCCATCACACAGCCCAGCTCACCCCATCACACAACCCCCAACACAGCACAGCTCATCACACAGCCCAGCTCACCCCATTACACAACCCAGCACACAGCACAGCTCACCCCATCTCACCCCATCACACAGCCCAGCTCACCCCATTACACAACCCAACACAGCACAGCTCATCACACAGCCCAGCTCACCCCATTACACAACCCGACACATCGCCCAACACAGCACAGCACAGCTAATCACACAGCCCAGTTCAACACAGCGCCCAGCTCACCCCATTATACAACCCAACACATCGCCCAACACAGCACAGCTCATCACACAGCCCAGTTCAACACAGCGCCCAGTTCACCCCATTACAGAACCCAACACATCGCCCAACACAGCACAGCTCAGATCCCAACGCAGCTCCAATCGCCTCAGCCCAACACAGCACAGCTCACACCAGCCAAGCCCATCAACAGCTCAGCACATTTCAGCCCAGCTTTTCAAATATCCTCAAGTCCCAAATCACTACAGAAACCAGATGCTGAGTTGATTTTCCAAACTTTATTTCGAATCAGGCTTGATCCTCTGGCACCTCACCCTGCCAGCACGGTGTGAGCGTGTGATGCGTGTGAGTGTGTGTGTGTGTGGAGTGGGGGGAAGAGAAAATGAGGTAGTACGATATTGCCAGATTGGGCAGATTCACATTTTTAAGATTTTTAATTGAAACCTGCAAAAGTTTTTCCTTTGAAGACCTTTTCTTAAACAGTGCATGATATTGGGCTACTTTTGGGCTAGTATTGAGTTGACTTTGGGACTACAAAAGTATTTGAATTTCTGGCAACCCAAGTAGTATACTTGTGAAAGCAGCATGTGCGTGTACGTGTGCGTGTGCCTGTGAGAGAGAGTGAGCGTGTGAATACGAGTGAGTGTGTGTTTCAGGGAGGTTGTATCAAATCCAACCTGTTTATACCCGACATCTGCAGTGTGCACTTTCCAACTGCGTCCTAATGAAGCTGATTTTTTCCCCTTCTTCCTCGAGATGGGGCTGAGACCTCCACCACTGTCACAGCGGAGCACAGATACGGAGGGGGTGGTTCTCTTTCATTGACCACAGGTCCCATATAGAACCCCCCTCTGTGGTCAGTGGGCCACAGCTCGCTCCAACCGCTCACACACCTCCTCAAATCCCAACGACATTATCATCTCAGCCACGCTGGGGCCTTGCTGTCAGGAGGGAACAGACAGATCAATCAGAGAGGACCCTCATCAACAATAACAATTGACATTTACACAGCACCATTCATGTCGGGAGGACGTCCCAAGGCGCTGGACAATCAGGATTTGGACCCGAGCTGGTGTTGGCATCAGGAGAGGTGGAGGGCAGGGAGGGTAGAGGTAGAAGGGTGGCTGAAGGTGCAGTCGAAGAGGAGGGTTTTGAGATATGCCTTGAAGGAGGCAAGGGAGGGAGCGAGGTGAAAGGATTGTGGGATGGAGTTCCAAAGGGTGGGGGCAGAGAGGCTGAAGGCAAAAAACAAAGCAACAGCACAAACGAGAAGTCTCTGCTCCTCCCCCTCCACCCGAGGCTCAGGAGACCTGTTACCTGCTGGCCGCTCAGCGCCAGGCGGAGGAGTGTCATCATGACGCTGTACTTGGTGTCTTTGACCTGTGTGTGTAACCCCCTCAGCTCACAGCCCAGCTCCTGAGTGCTGACAGTGCTGTGTTGTTGGCCCCGGACTAGGCTGTAAGGAAAGAGGAGAGACTCAGTGCTCGGCCATGCCATTCATTTGTGTACAACCCAGGTGTGACCCCAGGCGCAACACAGAGGCACAACAAGAAGAACAAATGACATTTACACAGTACCCTTCACTTTGCGAGGACGTTTTAAATCACTGGACAATCAGGGATTTGCACCTGAGCTGAGAGTTGGGATCAGGAGGAGCGGAGTGCAGGGAAGGTGACCGAAGGCGCGGTCAATGAGGGACTTCAGTGGGCCTTGAAGGGGGCAAGGGAGGGAGCAAGGCTAAGGGACGAAGGGATGGAGTTCCAAAGGGACTGAAGGCCTGACCGCCAATGGTGGGGTGGGAAGGCCAGTGTCCGCCAAGCAGAGGAAGTGGACATGCCGGTATGGGTTAGCAGGTCATAGGTGTAGGGAAGAGCAACGCTGTGGAGGGCTTCAAAGGATCTTGAACACTATCATCTGGGGGCTGGGGATCCAGTGAAGCCGGGTGAGGATAGACGGATAGGCACTTACTCCATTACAAGGCGACAGATCTTCTCACTCTCAGGTGACAGTCGGTCCAGCTGCTGGTGTGGGACCTGGGGCCGCACCCACAGGTAGGCGTAGGAGGGAGACACCAGCTCATGCAGCCGCGTCACGTGACCCTGTGGCCGAGGAAGATAAATCACCAGCAGCTCCGACACCATCGTTCCCCCCATCCCCCCAGTCACATGATCTGAAATTCACAACGTAAAGTCCTCAGCTCAGTGGTTAGAGAGCTTGCCTTGCAAGCGAGAGGACCCAGGTTTGATTCCCGCCCAGGGCGAAACCTTAGTCAATTTTTCTTACTCCACAAGTCCCTATTTACCCAGCAGTAAGTAGAAACCCAGTTGTTAGCTGATTGGTGGATCGCTTTTCCGGTGGTAATAATGCTTCCAAAAAAAAGTGGTCACTAATCTACGACTGTTTGTGGGGCACTGCTGTGCACAACTGGCTGCTACGTTTAGTCCACAGTTACTACACTATACACGTGCGTTTCAGACGTCTCAATACGTGATAAGGTGCTATATCAAATGCAACAATTATTATCATTATTACCTTCCTGAGCAACAGTACACGCTCCACGTGCTCCAGGCTGGGGTGGTGCTGACCATAAACCTTCCCAACCAGAGCCGCCAACTCCCCCACCAATGCCTGCCGCCAGCTTGCATCCTGGATACGGTGCAGCAGGTGAATCCTGTGAGAAAAGAGAGTTGGTGGAGAGATAAATGAGAGGCTTAGAGATAATTCAACACACTCCCACTTGCACACTCTCCCCCACACTCCGCCCCTTGCTCCCCCGATCCCCATCCACCCACGTCACCTGTTGAAATCCGGCAGCTTGTCGAGGTCCAGAAGTGCCGAGTGTGTGGTGATCCTGGTGATATCGAACTCCGAAATCAGCTCCGGCAAAGTCCGTCCCATCCGAGCCTCTGCAGCGAAACCAGATACAATTCATCACTCATTTTGTAACCGCTTACGAGACCTCACAGGGAGCTGTTTTGCTGCGTTCTCTGGGGCACTGCTGATGATGGCACCACACAGCTGGGCTCATCGGCGGGACTTGAAAGGACAGACAGCACTTAGGAATCCTCCCACTCAGCAACTGTTAGCCCTGCAACCCACAGCCCTAACGGGGACGGTGGTCCTACCTGGACAAGCAGTGGGAAAGTTTGCCAGACAGCAATATCAATGGCAAACAATGCAGTTTTAGTTGGTTAGACTCCAGCAGTTATCCCAACGCACATTCCGGGGTCCCCAAACCTTGGCTCTTTCCAATACTTTCCGGAATTAGGTAAGCAGGATGCATCCCTACACGGAGAGAGTGCATTCCATTCCAACAATCTATCTTTGGGATTTTCACGTGTAGGTGGGATGCATGGAATTTTCAGCTTGGTTTGGATACTCTTAAGTGGGTGATGGGTTTCCGCCCGGTTGTCAGACCCCAGGTGTGCTTGATTACACAGTGACTACGCTGGTCAGCTGGGGATCACTGTTACCTGTGAACCCGGAGCCGCAGTGAGTGACGATGTCCAGTAGGGCCTCAGGTAGGTAGCCTCTCTCCACAAAGTGCTGGACGAAGACATCGCCGCGGCGCTTGGAGAGCTTGCTCCCGTCGGGGTTCAGGAGCAGCGGTAAGTGTGCAAAGGTGGGCGGCCGCCAGCCCAGGGCGCGGTACAGCAACAGGTGTTTGGAGGTGGACACCAGCCACTCTGTCCCCCGCAGCACATGGCTGATCCTCATGTGGTGGTCATCCACCACGTTGGCCAGGTGGTAGGTGGGGAAGCCATCTGCCTTTAGCACCACCGGGTCCCCCTCCACACTGCCCACCTCGTGACAGGTCCCGCCGTACACTAGATCCTCAAAGCTCGTCGCCCCCTGGTCCAGCCGGAACCGGATCACGTGCGGCTGTCCCTGGGCTAGTTTCTCCTCCACTCTTCCCGGCGTTAGGTGCCGGCAGCGGTTGTCATACCTGGAGAGTTAATAAATTACCAACAGTGAAGGTGGTAAGAGCAAGGAACAATGTTAAAGAGTAGAGAGCTCCAGTGGGGGAGCGAGCACCAGCACAGACACGATGGGAAGAGAGAGAGCAGGGAATGGGGTTAGAGTAGAGAGCTCCAGATAGGCTGAATAGCAGGTGAATCCTGTGAGACTCCAGATAGGTCTCCTGAGTTACATAATTTATACAGTAATTAGTAAAAGGATCATAGAGAGAGGCGTACAGGAGCTGCATGAAGATTATGAAAGGCTGTACAGAAAGAGACCTCTCACAAGCTTGTCAGGTCAGTCTGACTGAAGCCGCGTTTAGGACGAGGATTCCCCCCAGTGCCTCTGGGCCCGCTTGGGTTTGGGGAGCCAGTACCTCCTCCGTGTAACTGATCAGTTTTCGGTTGCACCCACCTGGGTGTCTCTCCGCTTCTCAGCGCCTCCTTCTTCAACAGTTGCAGTCGCTGGGGGCTGCAGAAGCAGTGGTACGCGGCGCCCCTCTCAATCAGAGTATCCGCCGCCAGCCGGTACAGCTCCAGTCGCTCCGACTGCCGATATGGTCCCAGCGGCCCCCCACGCCGGGGGCTCTCATCAGGGGGGATCCCTGGAACAGAGACCACACTGGGGTGGGATGGGTTCTAATAATAGTAATAATAATCCTTGCATTTGATATGGCACCTTACCACGTCTTCGAGACATCGCAAACGCTTCACAGAATATACTGTAAAGTGAATTGACTGTATATTTTGTGAGCGAAACACAGCAGCCAATTGTGCGCAGCAGCGTCCCACAAACAGTCATGGATTGAACAACCAATCTTATTTAGGGGTTTTGATGGCCAGGACGCTGGGAGAAACAGAGAGCAACTCCATTCTCTTTTTGAATAGGGCTATGAGATCTTTAACGTCCTCCTGAACAGGCAGACAGGAGGAGGGAGAGGGGGGAGATTACCGTAGGCACGGTCGAAGATGAAGGTCTTCAGGCATGACCTAAAGATGGGGAAGGAAGGGGAAATAAAATAAAAAGAAATGAAACGATTTCCCTTCCGGCCTCGGCCCATTCGCACACACACCTGCCCACTCCAGGAGGTCCTCGAGACTGGTCTCCGCTCCGGGAACCAGGCGGCTCTGGTCAGTATCCTCTATCCTCATCACAAAGCGGCCCCCGTATTTCTTTGCAAATATGTAATTATACAGAGCACTGCGGAGCCCGCCCAAGTGCAAGAAACCTGGTGAAACAGCCACACAAACCGTCAGAGGAACATAAGATTTTCTGGACGAAGGAAGTCCAAGGTCCATCCAATTTACCTCAATAATAATCCTTGCATTTGATACAGCGCTTTATCACGTCTTTTAGACGTCGCAAAGCGCCTCACAGAATATACTGTGAAGTGACCTGCCTGGCAATGGAATGTCGGAATTTGAGCCAGGGCTCTGGTGGCTCGTCGTCAGGACCTGGAATGGCAGACCAGTAACTAGGGGCAGGGAATCAACGCACGCAGCTCCTGTTAAACCTGTAAGCCACAGCCTTAACGGGTAGGGTGGTCCTAGCTGGACAAGCAGCGGGAAAGCTTGACGGACAGCAATATCAGTGTGACTAATTTGGTTAGATTCCAGCAGTCACCCCAACGCACGCTCTGGGCTAACCCCAAGCCTTGGCTCTCGCCAACCTGCGCCTAATACTTTCCGGAATTAGGTAAGCAGTGGGGGGGGGGGTGGGGGACCTCCCTCCAGGAGAAAGAGAGAGTGCATTCCATTCCGACAATCTGTCTCGGGGATTTCCACGTGTAGATGGGATGTGTGGAATTCTCAGTCTGGTTTGGAGACTCTTAAGCAACGGGTGGTAGGTTTCCGCGTGTGTCAGACACTCAGGTTGGGCTGTATTGTACTGTATATTTTGTGGCAGCCAATTGCTCACAGCACTGCCCCACAAACAGTGGTGGATTTAGTAACCACAGAATATAAAGTTTCGCCCACAAATATACCGTCAATTCACTTTACAGTCTATTCTGAGAAGACGTGAAAAGCGCTATATCAAGTGCAAGGATTATTATTATTATGATGATGTAAAGTGTAGTGACTGTGTGTTTTGTGGGTGAAACACCACATTCTCTACACTGAACCCCCCCTCCCCCCCCCAGTCACCCCCTGGCTTGGAGCCAGTAATGCCGGCCGCCGCCTGTACCTGTGGGGCTGGGGGCGAACCTAACCCTGGGGCCGCTCTCTGTGCAGTACAGGCCCGCCCCGAGCCCCGGCCTCCACCTCACTGCAGCCCTCAGAGCAGGGGCCCAGCAACCGCGGCTCACCGAGCAGCTCATCATCGCAGGGCCTAGTCCGGGAGCCGGAGCCTGGGCCTCGAGTTCGGACCAGAGCCGCGCACTGAGCTGTCAATCAACGGGGTGGGGGCGGGGCTGCACATCCCAGCTGACTCCAACTGGGACTGTCACCATGTGACAGCCAGGGCAGTGACCACGTGACAGCCAGGGCAGTCACCACGTGACAATCGCCATGGGACAGCCAGGGCAGTGACCACGTGACAATCGCCATGGGACAGCCAGGGCAGTGACCACGTGACAGTCGCCATGGGACAGCCAGGGCAGTGACCACGGGACGAATGGTCAACAAGACGGAAGCCGATTGGCTCCCGTCAACGTCTTCTACCCTGCGACCCTGACCTCCTCAACCTCCCCGGCCTGTCCCTCAGACTCACCAAACCGGGGCACAACCTGGGCATCAGGTTCGACCCACAGCTGTCCTTCCTTCCCCACATCCGGTCCCTGACCAGGACCACCTTCCTCCACCTCTGCCACAGTGCCTGACTCCGACCGTCCCTTACTCCAGATGCAGCCAAAACGCTCATCCATGCACTTGTCACCTCCAGACTCGACTGCCCCAAAACGCCCTCAATGGTCTTCCCATCTCCACCATCCATGAAATCCAGCTGGTCCAAAACTCTGTCACATGCATACTCACCCGAACTAAACTCCATATCCCCATCATACTAGTTCTTGCCAGGCTCCACTGGTCCCATATCACTGATATCTGTTGAAATCCTCACAATCGTCTTCAAATCCATTCATGCCCTGGCACCTCCCTACCTCACCGAACTGTTTACTCCCCAACCCACTATCCACTGCCTCTGCTTGACTGGTTCTGGCCTTCTGCATGTCGCTTGTGCCCTCTGTTCCAACATTGGTGTCAGTGCTTTCAGCCACTACGCCTCGAAACTGTAACACTCTCTGTGCCTCCGCCTTGCTCCCTCAACAACAACTTGCATTTATACAACCTGCTTCACACGGGGTAGCTTCCTGGAGCGCTTCACGGTGGCGGAGTCTGACAGCGAGCCAAGGCAGGGGGGAGGTCACCACAAGCACGATCAAAAAGCAAGTTCTTTAGGCGACCTCCTAAACCCACATCAGCCGTCCGCTCCCTCCACTTATCGGGCACTGGCCTGCTTCAGGTCCCCCGCACTTCCCGCCCCACCATTCTCTGCCCCCACACTCTGGAACCGTATCCCGTAATCCCTCTGCCTCACCCCCTCACTTGCCCCCTTCAAGAACCGTCTAAAAACCTTCCTCTTCGACCCCCCCACTCCACTCCTGACCCCGACTCCCAGCTCGAGGCAAAACCCCCTGATTGCCCAGTGCCCTGGGACGTCTTTTCAACATGACGGGCGCGATACAAGCGCAGTAGTTTGTGGTGGTGGTGGTGGTGTGCCAGCCGGAGTCAGTGTAGTGACTGTCTCTCAGTCACAGGCCACACCTCCGCCTGTCACTCACACCCAGGCCCCGCCCAGGAAGTGGCTGTTTTCCCGGCAGCGCCCGCGCGGGGCAGTGATGGCGGCGCGGGACGGTAGGTGCGGGGCTCGGGCCCGGGAGCGGGGGAGGCGGCGGCTCCTGTGTCACAGCTCAGCACAGGCAGCCCCGCGGGGAGAGGCTCCGAGCCGCGCCTGAGCCCAGAGACACCGGCCCCGGGGAGAGAGAGGCAGGCCCGAGGGGGGCGCGGGGAGAGAGAGACAGGCCGGGGGAGGGGGGAGAGAGAGAGACAGGCCGGGGGGGGCGGGAGAGAGAGACAGGCCGGGGAGGGGGGAGAGAGAGAGAGACAGGCCCGAGGGGGGCGCGGGGAGAGAGAGACAGGCCGGGGGAGGGGGGGAGAGAGAGACAGGCGGGGAGGGGGGAGAGAGAGAGACAGGCCGGGGGAGGGGGGGGAGAGAGAGACAGGCCGGGGGAGGGGGGGAGAGAGAGACAGGCCGGGGGAGGGGGGGAGAGAGAGAGACAGGCCGGGGGAGGGGGGAGAGAGAGACAGGCCGGGGGAGGGGGGGAGAGAGGGACAGGCCGGGGGAGGGGGGAGAGAGAGACAGGCCGGGGGAGGGGGGAGAGAGAGACAGGCGGGGGAGGGGGGGAGAGAGAGACAGGCCGGGGGAGGGGGGAGAGAGAGAGACAGGCGGGGAGGAGGCCGGGGGGGAGAGAGAGACAGCCGGGGGAGGGGGGGAGAGAGAGACAGGCCGGGGGAGGGGAGGAGAGAGACAGGCCGGGGGAGGGGAGAGAGAGAGACAGGCCGGGGGAGGGGGAGAGAGAGAGACAGGCCGGGGGAGGGGGGAGAGAGAGACAGGCCGGGGGAGGGGGGAGAGAGAGACAGGCCGGGGGAGGGGGGAGAGCGAGACAGGCCGGGGGAGGGGGGAGAGAGAGACAGGCCGGGGGAGGGGGGAGAGAGAGACAGGCCGGGGGAGGGGGGAGAGAGAGACAGGCCGGGGGAGGGGGAGAGAGAGACAGGCCGGGGGAGGGGGAGAGAGAGACAGGCGGGGGAGGGGGAGAGAGAGACAGGCCGGGGAGGGGGAGAGAGAGACAGGCCGGGGGGAGGGGGGAGAGAGAGACAGGCCGGGGGAGGGGGGAGAGAGAGCGACAGGCCGGGGGAGGGGGAGAGAGAGACAGGCCGGGGGAGGGGGGAGAGAGAGACAGGCCGGGGGGGGAGGAGAGAGACAGGCCGGGGGAGGGGAGGAGAGAGACAGGCCGGGGGGAGAGAGAGAGACAGGCCGGGGGAGAGAGAGAGACAGGCCGGGGGAGGGGGGAGAGAGAGAGACAGGCCGGGGGAGGGGGGAGAGAGAGTCAGGCCGGGGAGGGGGGAGGACAGGCCGGGGGAGGGGCGTGAGAGAGACAGGCCGGGGGAGGGGGGGGAGAGAGAGACAGGCCGGGGGAGGGGGAGAGAGAGAGAGACAGACCGGGGGAGGGGGGAGAGAGAGAGAGACAGACCGGGGGAGGGGGAGAGAGAGAGAGACAGACCGGGGGAGGGGGAGAGAGAGAGAGACAGGCCGGGGGAGGGGGGTGAGAGAGTTACAGGCCGGGGAGGGGGGAGAGAGAGAGTGGCCGGGGGAGGGGGGAGAGAGAGAGACAGGCCGGGGAGGGGGGAGAGAGAGACAGGCCGGGGGAGGGGGGAGAGAGAGAGACAGGCCGGGGGAGGGGGGAGAGAGAGACAGGCCGGGGGGGGAGAGAGAGACAGGCCGGGGAGGCGGAGAGAGAGACAGGCCGGGGGAGGGGGGAGATGGAGAGAGAGAGACAGGCCGGGGGGGGGGGGGGGGGGAGAGAGAGAGAGACTGTTTTGGCTGCTGTGTTTCGCCCACAAAATACAGTCACCACACTTTACAGACTATTCTGTGAAGCATTTTGAAACATCTCAATGACATGATAAAGGCACAATATGAAATGCAAGGATTATTATTATTATAGGCAGTGTGTGATTAGGTTACAGATTATATACTGTGCTGTGAGGGTCGGGGAGTCTGACATCAGGGATTGGTTTGCCTGTGCTGTGATCAGCGGGTGAGTGGGAGTGAGGGTTTACATGGCTCTGGAGCAGTGGGTGACGCGGATTGAGAGCTGGGATCCGATTGTTACCCCTGTCTGTAAATTAGAATTCCCAAAGGGAAAACATACTCCAGAGATGTAGTAACTTGGGCGATTCACGACAGACATCGTCAATGCCCTTAGCTGAGCGCTAACTGGGATTTCTACCCGGCCTCAGTTTATCAGGAGGCATAGGAACAGGAATAGGCCATTCAGCCCCTCGGGCCTGTTCTGCCATTCTATAAGATCATGGCTGATCTGTACCTCAACTCCAATTATCCGCCCTTGCCCCACATCCCTGGATACCCTGACCCTAACAAAAATCTATCCATCCAGGTGATCAGAACTCAGGCTTTTTTTCAAAAAAAATCTTTCTAATCTCCAAGAACAGTTTGCGTTTTCTACCTGGAAACGCAGTTTCCCGCAACTAATTTATTTTTTATTTCCATCCACCGCAGGGAGAGGATTGTGGGGGTGGATTTGTTCCACTTACTGAGAGCAGAGAGTCAGTGCTGAGGAGAGGCGATTAACCACAGCCTCTTGTCAGCAGATGAGGCCGCCCTGATCGGTGCTGCTGGAGTAAATGCACGAGTAAGCCATCACTGTACTAGGGTTCAGCACGCAGCAGCGCTTTCTGTAATTGATTAATTGATTGATTGGTTGAGGGGAGAGGTGGCTGAGAGTTGTCCCAGCAATCTGCCTTACCCTCCTAAACTTCAACAAATCTGGCAGTCTGGTTCAATCAATCGCACTCTTGCTCTGGGTCAGAAAATTGTGGGTTCAAGCCCTACATTGGGGGCTTTGAGCTCACAGTCCCAGGCTGACACTCCAGTGCAGTGCTAGGATTATTATTATCATGATTATCATTCTCAGCAGAGTGAAGGGCAAGTTGAGGACAGGCACAGCAAGTATTTCTTACACAGAGGGGAATTGACGGCTGGATTAGGTTCCCAGGTTGGTCGAAGATTCTGGAAGGATGAGATCCAATAGGCTAAAGCACCATCTTCACCGAAACCTCTTGTGTGCCATCACAAAGACTCCCACTCTTTTCCCTCCCCTGAAGGTAGTGCAGTGGATATTGTGGAGAGACTAACTTGAGCCCCAGTGGACTCCAGGGCTTTCTCTCAAACCTCTCGAGATCTTGGTGCAAGCTGTCAGGAGGTTGTGAAAGCTGGTTGTGAGCAGTAGGATCCTTGTGTATTTATTACTCTACCTGCACCTGATCATTCTGGGGTCACTTCCTGGCTCCACTTCTGCGTGTGGTGGGGGGGATTGGGTGAAACCTGCAAGGACGGAGGGGGGAGGAAAACCCCTGCTCCTGTTTACTGTCTGGGTTGGTTCCCTTACGGCTGCCCATCTTGGTTGAGAATGGGGGGGAAGGGAAATTCTAAAGGGAATCTCTCCCTCACTCACTCCCGCGCCCCCCTCTCTCCCACCCCTCCTCCCTCACTCCCACCCCCTCTCACTCCCACTCCCCTCACTCCTGCACCTCCTCACTCACTCCCGACCCCACTCCCTCCCCTCCTCACCCACTCCCGCCCCCTCCTCACTCACTCCCTCCCTCACTCACTCGTTCCCCTCCCCCACCTCACTCCCTTCTCACCTCGCCCCACCGAATCCCTCCAGGAGAGGTTTGCGATAAGCAGCTTTGGTCTGTGGCTTGCTCACAGAGACGCAGACTGGTGGAATGGAAACAGAGGTACCCACGGACCTACCTGTTGAAAAGGAAAAGGAAAAAGTGAGTCCTGGGATCGAGGGGCAGGGAGACGCACAAGGCGTCCTGGCCGGACAGCAGATGGACAGCGAAGATGCAGACCCTCAGCCCTCGGTCAGCAACGGTGACGAGTCCGAGGCTGAGAAGGAAATGGTGGACCTGAAAATAATCTGGAATAAAAACAAGTACGACGTGCGCGTTCCTCTGGACAGCACCGGAGCCAACCTCAAGGAGAAGATCCACTCGCTCACAGGTGGGAGGACTGGGACTGTCTGGCTGCCCCCTCGCTTCTCCGCTCTAGCCTGGGTACTTATTAAACCCCCTCACATACCAGCCAAAATACTGGATGGTACTGGAGCGCAGATGTGTGTCCAGAAGAGAGTGCCCGTCTCAAGACCCTCTCCTTAGGTCACCCTCCCTGCCCTCCACTTTTCTTGGTCCCAGCCCCCAACTCAGGTCCAAATCCCTGACTGTCCAGCACCTTGGGACGTCCTCCCGACATGAAAGGTGCTGTGTCAATGTCATTTGTTGATGACGTTTTCTTAGAGCCAGGAATGTTAGGAGTTCCGATGAAGCACATCCATATAACAGTGAGCCAGGAACCTAGTTATTGGTCACATTAACTTTCTCTCTCTCTGTCTCTCGCCCATCGGCAGCCCTCACGCCCGCGATGCAGAAAGTCATGTACAAGGGCCTGCTGCAGGAGGACAAGACGCTCCGCGAGATTAAAGTCGCGAACGGTGCCAAGATAATGGTGATCGGCTCCACCATAAACGATGTCCTCGCGGTGAACACACCCAAGGAGGTGGTGCAGCAGGAGGCCAAAGCCGAGGAGCCCAAGAAGGAGCCGCTGTGTCGGCAAAAGGTGGGTGTCTGTTTCCGCTCTGACCCGCCCTTGTACATGCTGAGAGACCCCTGGCCCAGCCCCCACCCCTCGCACACTCACTGAGTGTGAGCCCCTAATACTCGCACACACTCACTGAGTGTGAGCCTGCCCCGCTGCCGGGAGGCATTACCCCCACTCCCTTTGCAGTTTTGCACTGTTCCCAGCTCACTGCTTCTGTCCCAGTGGCCAAACCGTCATCCACAGGCCTGTGCCCTCTGGAATTCTGTTCCCAAATTCTTTTGTTTTATGCCTGTCCCTCTCTTCCACTCCCCAAGTCAATATCCTGAAACTCCACCTACTCTCCTAGTTCCTTGGTGATTGTCATTGTCCACCATAACAACTTACATTTATATAGCGCCCCTCACGCAGGGTAGCATCTCAGAGGGCTTAACAGTGGCGGAGCCTGACCACGAGGCAGGGGGAGAAAGGAAGTGACTGTAAGCACGGTCGAAGAGGAAGGTCTTCAGGTGCGACCTAAAAAGAGGGGTGGAGGGGGCAAGTTGGAAGGATTGAGGCAGAGAGTTCTAAAGCTTTGGAGTGTAGTGACTGAAAACATGGCCATCAGTGGTGGGGCAGAGGGGACAAGGGCTTCCAGAGGTTCACTGTGGAAGCTGCAGGCAGGTTCCTATGGCAGTGGGAACTTTCAGGTTGGGGGGGTGGGGGCTCCGAGAGTGGCTTTGCTGAACATGGGACCCGTTTCCGGCTGCCTTTTGTTGATGGCTTTTGTGCTTTTTGTCTGCTTTATTTTCAGCAACACAGGAAAGTGTTGGACAAAGGCAAGCCAGAGGACGTCATGCCTTGCATCAAAGGTGTAAAGGTAAGCAGTTTTTGAGCTGGGCTTTCACTGTATTTGTTATGAAGTTTCACTGTGTGCCTCTCTGCTCTTGTAGCACCTTCTGGATTGAGTGGCCTGGGTTTAGTACAGCGCTAATGATTGTGCGTTACTGAATTTGCCAGCAGGGTTCCTGTGGCGTTTTGCCCACAAAATACACAGTCAATGCACTTTATAGTATATCCTGTGAAGCTCTTTGAGACGTCTCAACAACGCGATAAGGCGCTATATAAAATGCAAGGATTATTATTAAAGCAGCAATGTTAGTGGCAGATTCTGGTGGTTTGTGACCTGGTGCAGATTGTCAAGATCATGATGGTTTACAATAGCTTAATAGATTGGTACTTCTGGTCAGTGATTCAGTCACCATAGGGCATAAGCTTAACATCTTTTACAGTTGCACACAGTGCCTTTCACGTCAGGAGGACGTCTCAAAGCACTTGACTGGGTAAAGATAACAATAATCTTTGTGTTTGCCCTGGGCCTTGCTGACCAGCTGGGTAACGTTTACTCTCTTGCTGTTTCCAGGAGCGGTTGCCCAGCGTGCCGCTGTCTGGCATGTACAACAAGTCCAGCGGCAAAGTCAGGTTAACCTTCAAACTGGAGCAGGATCAGCTCTGGATTGGCACCAAGGGTGAGTTTGGGCATCTGCAGTTTGAGGGCTTGTTGAGTCTCGTTCAGTGTGTTGGGATGTCCTCCTGACGTGAGAGGCCCTGTTGCAATTTGTTGTTGCCTCCACTCGGCCGGGCCAGTGGGGGATAGGGGTGTGAGGATGGGCAGGCAAAGAGAAGTCTGGGGGTACAGGGGAAAGGACAAGGGAGTGGAACTAAACGCAGAGCTGTCACTCACACCTCCAGGAGAGGGGAGAAGTGTTCGCCAAAGAACCATTCCTAACATAAGAACATAAGAATTTGCTCGCAGAAGAAGACCAGGGTCCATCTAGTTCACCTTCCACCATCCTGGCCGTCACTTGACATGTTGTGTCCCAAACTATATATTATATATAGTTCTCTTTGACCGTGCCTTCAGCTCCCCTCTCGACTCTCTTCCTCCTCCTCGCTCCCTCCCTTCCCTCCCCTCACCCTGACCATTTCCCCCCTCCTCTCTCCCTCCCTTCCCTCCCTCACCCTGACCATTTCCCCCCTGCTCGGGTCATGACCCAACTGTGCAGCGCCTTGGGACGTCCTCCTGACGTGAAAGGCGCTCTATAAATGGAATCTTGTTGTTGTTGTTGTTGTATATCCTGAGATATTATTTTCTAGCAGAAATTATATCTAATTTGTACTTCTGCTTCCACCGTCTGTCTCCCGAGGGATCCTGTTCCATCCGTTTACTACTCACTCACTGAAGTAGTGTTTCCGCAGAATTCATCTGAATTTACCCCCTTCAATCGCAGGCCGTGTCCTCTGGTTCCACTGTTCAGTACAAGATAAACAGCTTCTCAAGGTCTACATCATCTATTCCCTTCAGAATAAAGACCGTAATCACATCATCCTCAACCTTCAATCCTCCAGTGTGAACATGTTCAGTTTATCTAATCGCTCCTCGTAGTCCAGTCCCTCCATTCCCGCCATCATGTTGGTTGCCGTCCTCTGTATCCTCTCAATCACTGCAATATCCTTTTTATGAACCAGAACTGCGCACAGTATTCCTAGTGTTACATGGATGTAATTGTGGTGGTTTGTGTTTCGCCAACAGAAAGAACGGAAAAAATCCCCATGGGCTCCATCAAAAATGTGATCAGCGAACCTATAGAAGGATTTGAAGGTTATTACATGGTGGTGAGTGAGTGGCTGGGGCGAGTCTTTGGAGAATAAGGAGGGTGGGAAAATGGGATTCAAATACCTGCTGAAACCTAGCCTCATCGCACTCCAACTCTTGATATCAGGGCTGTGTTTTTTGGTCAGCCAGGTGTCTGACATATGGATTGGAGTTTCCCAGTCATGCAGGTGCCAGATTCTCCTACAAACTCACAGTCACTACATTTCACAGTAAATCCTGTGAAGTGCTTTCGGCTGAGACTGGGCGAAATTTCAAGTTTTTTTTTGCTGCCAGCCGAGTGTCTGAGACACACAGAAACCCATCACCATGCTTAAGAGTATCCAAACCAAGCTGAGGTTTTCATGCATTCCACCTACACATGGAGATCCTAGAGATAGATATCGGGGGGCAGTGTGCACACAGACTGGACTCCCTTCCTGGCCAGCCAGCTGGAGAGGTGTGGACGTGTGCTGCTAGCGATGGGAAGCTGGAGCCTTTGTATGTTAGCCTTCCCTCAGGTCCTTTCCTTTCCTCTCCAGGCATTCCAGCTGGGACCCACTGAAGCCTCGTATTACTGGGTTTACTGGGTGCCAGCACAGTACGTGGATGCCATCAAGGACACAGTTCTCGGCAAATGGCAGTATTTTTGAGCGTGCCTCCGCCTCCAGCAATTAAGGATAGACTGGAAACCAAAGGACTACGAAACCGATCGGAACGACCTCCACTGGATTTCCCTCTTTCCTTTGTCCCTCCCTTCCCCCCCCCCCCCCCCCCCCCCCCGCTCCCACACACCCATACCTTTCCTCCCACTCTTCCAAATCTTAGAATATGCCAACAACAATAAACAGACGTGATGAAGCGAGTCCTTGTGCTGAGCTGGAGGCGTGAATCTGACTTTACCTTTGAACTTCAAAAGCAACTTGGGAGAAGGCGAAAGTGCAAACGAATTCAGGAAGTTCTGTAAAGCTACAAATTTGTCATCAGGCAATACAGTACATTAGAATTTTTTATTATAATATCTCCTGTAACCTGGATAACTTCCAACGCCAGATTTTTTTTTAAATTCCATCTAGACCATGTCAGGGCGAAACGTTGGGCAAGTTTCCTTACTCCACACGCCTCTGTTTACCTAGCAGTAAGTAGGAACCCACTTGTTAGTCGATTGGCAGATTGCTTTTCTGGGGGTAATAATCCCTTTTAAAAAAAATAATAATAATGTGGTCACTCAATCCACAATTCTTTATGGAATACTGCTGTGTGCAATTGGTTGCCACGTTTCGCCCACAAATATTGAGTCAAATCACTTTACAGTATATTCTGTGAAGCGCTTTGAGATGTCTCAAAGACGTGATAAGGCGCTATATCAAATGCAAGGATTATTATTATTATGTCTGTATAAAGCAGCACAGTGGAGGCTGTTTTTTTTTACTGCATATTCCCCCGTTACCTATGGGCGAATCACAAACACATCACTTCTTTTGACACTATTAAAAAAAAGCATAACATTTGTTTGTAGAGCAGATTTTTACTGCACAGGTGCCTGTTTTTTTTTCTCTTCCCCAGGACTTTTTGACGGTCTTTATTGCCTTATCGGAGCTTATCTTTTTTCCTTCCTCCTCCTCCACACCAATCCATTCGCAATACAGCTCGCCCAGAAATTGTCACGTCACCCAGCTATCCCGGGCGGCTGTGAGGAGAGAGTCAGGAAAGGGGAGTGCGTGAAACAATGTGCCCAATTCACTGTGTCCATTCTTTGCTTTTATGCAGCTTTACTGTTATTTGCATTAAAAAAAATCTTTTTACTCCCCTCTTGCTCTTTACCCCCCTCAACATCCCCACCCGCCCTGCCAAACACTATGCAAGTAAATGAAACCGGGCCACTGTCCTGCCAGGAGCTTGTATTCAGGACTGTACCATGATGAGCTAGCTGTATGACAGCATTGCTTCCAACCTCACTTTGTTGCAAGACCCTTTGGAATGCAGTCTGGTCCTCCCGTCTCAGGCTGTCAGTTTGGCTTAGCTGATGGCAGCACCTCAAGTCAAACGGTTGTAGGTTCAAGCCCCACTTCGGGACTTGAGCTCACACTCCAGTGCTCCATTGTCGGAGACTCCGTCCTTCGGATTAGACAGTAAACTGAGGTCCCGTCTAAGCCTGTTCAGGTGGACGTTAAAGATTTGCGATGCTATCGAAAAGAGTTTTTCCCAATGTCCTTGCCAACATTTCTCCAGATAAATTGGTCATTTGCTTCATGGCTTGTGGGAGTTTGCTATGTGCAAAATGATTGCTGTTAAAATCAGCTACAACACTTGACAAGGATTATTTTATATTTATATTATTTTGACAGCAGTTCGCTGTGAGATGTTGCAGTGTTGTATCGGGTGCAAGGATTGTTATTTACCTATTTAAATTTCAGGATGAAGATGAGCTGAGGAAGGGAATGCTTGGATGATAAAGTGCGAGACATGTTTTTTTGTGGGGGATGAATATTGAAGGGCTTGTTTTGGTTTAATGCTCTGTTTACTAGGGACTGGATGGAAGCTAATTTAGAGGAGAATGTATTTAGTTTTTTTGGGGGGAGCAGAGAAATCTGGAACCTGTTGCATCTCCTCTAACAAGCTCTCGTTTGATCACCCACACGCCTAGGGTAGAGTTCAGCCTGCCCTGAGTTCTACATGAGTTTTTTGCGTGCTTAAGCCAAAATGTCTGGACCGCCCACCCCCACTCCTTCATCTTTGAGGCACTGAGTCACGTGTGATTTTTTTATTTCAGACTGTTCCTTCTCTTTGTTAGTGCCACGTTTGAGTGTTTGAGAAGGAAAGGTCTTGAAATGTGTAAGCCAGCAAGGGATTGTCTCTCTGAATCATTCACAACATTGACCCATTCACCTGGGTTTAGGTGATGGGTTACTGCATGTGTCAGACACCTGGCTGACCAAAAAAAACACCAAGGCTTACATCCAACCTAAATTGTGTTCTGTGTCAGGTGGCTGCAGGGCTCTGAAGTGAAATGGGTTTGTGGTGGATGGTCCAAGACCAGTTCTCTGGATTTTAGTGCAAAAACTGAATCTTTCCATCCAAGAGGCTACAGGTTGGCCAGGTTGGGGAATGGATGTCACACAGGTATCATAGGAGAAACTTGTCTTAACATGGCTGTGTTGGGGGGGATAAAGTGTTGGGAGTCATTCTTTCACCCCTGCTGTACATCTGACTCTGAAGGATCGGGGGTGGGGGGGGGAATTAGAAGGAACCTTACACTCATATTATGTGCTATTGGGTGAACAGCGAATATCACAAAACATTTGCTTTTCTTAATAAATGTCTGATAACGTTCTAGAGGTTAAAAGACCACCATAAGAAGTTACATTTCAGCATAATGGGCTGCATATCAGTGTTCCTCCCTCCGCCCCCCCCCCCAACAGAATGGAATCCCTTCACTTGTGCAGGTCTGCCTCTGTGGGTTAGAAGATCACAATGGATCATACAGCTCTTAATACCACTTAATCTAGCGAACATGTCTCGAGCACCTCGATGCCTGTCTCTGAGAGGAAGGCATTGGTTGCGTTTGGTTGGTTGATAGAGTTGCACTGCTTATTTTAGTGCCAACCGTCATTAGTTTGCCCAATGTTTTATTCTGAATATGAGTCTTTATTGCCAATTAAAGTTTGTTACTTTACCACATTAGGTCTGTGTGCTGTGTTCTGTACTGGTTCTCTGTCCCCGAGCCTGCCCCATCACCAGCAGTTGGGACTTCAGTTTCTCTGCCCCCAACCTTTGGAACTCTATCCCACAGCCCCTCTACCTCACTCCCACCCTTGCCTCCTTTAAAGCACATCTCAAGACTCTTCTACGACTGCGCCTTCGGACACCCTCCTACCCCCATCCTTTCTGCCCTCCACCCCTCCTAATCCCAACCCCCTGCTTGGGTCCAAATCCCTGACTGTCCAGTATTCTCTCAACGTGAAAGGTGTACAAAATATCAGTCAATTCACTTTACAGTATATTCTGTTAAGCACTTTGAGATGTCTCGAAGACATCTTAAGGCACTATATTAAATGCAAGGATTTTTATATAACAATATAATGTTTTATTATAGAACAACTAAAGACATTCAACATGCCTGAACCTAAAACGTTCAATCCAAGGCCTCATTGCTATGGGAACAAAGTAGTTTGGTAAGGCAAACTCATAGATTACCTCCCCTGTCAAAAAGGTCACCAACTGGAGGAAGTGAAAAATATTTTGGTGAATCTAGATGGTCATATTGAACAAGGAACTAAAAGTATTTTTTCATATACAATTTTTTTCCCAACAGCCAGGGGGAGTAATTTGACCATTAGAGACTTTTCTTCCGACTCAGAAACAATTGGAAGATTTTTAGACATGTCTGAACCATTTCCCCACCTCTTTCCAGTCACTATTTAGTTTATAACCTGTGCCAAATTGATACTAAATAGATATAAGAAAGTCCACTCAGCAGCAAGGTCTTGGTAGTGGCAAACAGTACTTTTGTATGTGGTAAAGGCACATTCAACCTGTAACTTTTAATCCAACTAAAAGTTACACACAGAAATTTAGCCTCTTATATTAGATGCTGACCTGTTCTGTTGATGATAGGCTCACAGAGCCCGGTACTTGAGAGGACACAGGTGGGTTACAGAGTTCTGGGTTGTCTGCAGCCTGTGGAGGAAAGGGTGCAGACAATCCAACCTCTCTCTCCCTCTGGCTTGGTGTCGGTCTCCGCCACTGTCAAGCACACCAGGACGCCACCCCATGTGAAGGGGGTGTATGTTCATATGTATGTTGTTTGAAGAGCTGGAGAGTCTGGCAAAGGGTTGTCATAATCAAGCCTGTGGAGGAATAAAGGTGTGGATGAGGATCTCGGTGGCCTGGGGGAGAGGTAGTGGAAGGAGGCCAGCGATGTTTCGGAGGTGAGAGAAAGCTGAGCGTGTACCAGGAGTGTGAATGCTGGTTTGGGAACCAGCCATATTCGGGCTCTGTGAGGTGCAGGCTGATGGTGTGGCGAGGAGGTGGTGTCGGGACGGGCTAAAGCCTCTCCCGGGAACGAGCGGTGAGGAGCATCATCCCTCCAAAAATAATAACGTGTTCGCTGAATCCACCACTGTTTGTGGGGACGCTGCCGTGCGCAATTGGCTGCCGTGCTACGCCCACAAAATACACAGTCACTAGTTTACAGTGTATCCAGTGAAGCGCTTTGAGGGCGTCTCGAAGACGTGATGAGGCAGTGGGTCAAATACAAGGATTATTGTAAACACAAAATCCTGCAGGTGCCGAAAAATCCTGCTCTGTTTTTGTTAAAAGGATTATTATTATTATTGTTTATCATTTGTGGAGTCCTGTAGCTCAGTGGTTGCGCACTCGCTTTGCAAGCGAGAGACCTGAGTTCAATTCCAGGCAGAGGGCGAAACCTTGGGCAAGTTTCCTTACTCCACACAGAGCCTAATAATAATCCCTCCAAAACCAAAACAATAATAAATTGGTCATTTTCAATCCACGACTGTTTGTGGGACATTGCTGTGCGCTATTGGCTGCCGCGTTCGCCCACAAATATACAGTCAATTCACTTTACAGTGTGTTCTGTGAAGTGCTTTGGGACGTCCTCCCGACGTGAAAAGCGCTATATCAAATGCAAGGATTATTATTATTATTATATTATTATTATCATAATTATCATCACTGTAACTTGTAGCACCACGTGCTCCGCCAGTATGAGCCCCGCCTCCTCTACTTCCTAACGCCGCAGATTGGCTGAGTTCCCAGCGCGCGCTGCTATTGGTCTAAAGCTGAAGCCCTCAGCTGATTGGCTCACACACACACACCACCACCCCGCCCTCCCAGTGGCTCCTGGTTTAGCCAATCAGACGCGGCGGTGTGGCACCTCAGCCAATAGGAGGCATGCCCTGGGGGTGGGTCTGCACATGCGCGCAGGCTGTCGGGCGCGCGAGCGGTGACGGTTGGCGACGGCGGTGGGGGGGCGGTGGTGGCAGCGAGAGGTGCCATGGCCCCCACGCCCGCGCTGCGCCTCCAGCTCCTGCTCCTGGCCGCGGGGGCACTGGGCGCCCTGCTGGTAAGCCAGGCCTGAGTGTGTGTGACACTGAGTGTGAGTGACACTGTGTGTGAGTGACACTGTGTGTGTGTGTGGCACTGAGTATGTGTATGTGATACTGTGTGCGTGACACTGTACGTGTGTGTGACATTAAGTGTGTGTGTGTATGTATGTGTGACACTATGTGTGTGTGTGACACTGAGTGTGTGTGACCGGGTGACACTGAGTGTGTGTGTGTGACACTGAGTGAGTGTGTAACACTGAGTGAGTGTGTGACACTGAGTGTGTGAGTGACACTTAATGTGTGTGACACTGTGTGTGTGTGATAGTGAGTGTGTGTGTGACACTAAGTGTGTGTGTGACACTGTGTGTGTGACACTGAGTGTGCATGTATGACACTGCATGTACTGTAAGTGTGTGATGCTGTCAGTGTGAACTGTTTAAATGTGAGACACTGAGTGTGTGAGTGTGCTCATGCTTATGATACTGGTAATGTGTGTGTGCATGTGACACTGAATGTGTATGAGTGTGACATACTGTTAATGTGAGACACTCTTAAGTGTGTGACACCGTGAGTGTGTATGCCTAACACTATGAGTGTGTGTGTGTGCATGTGATACTGGTAATGTGTGTGCGCTCGAGTGTGTTCGCATGTGACTGTGGGTGTGTGACGCAGAGTGTCTGTTGGTCTGGGGAAGCTAATACTTTATTTTAAAAACAAACTAGTTATGGTGATGCCATGGCAGTGTCAGCCTATGTGCCGTACTTCAATAGTTAAAGCAGGTTTGGTGTCATGGCATCAGGAGATTTTAATGCCAATGAAATAAATGTTGCTGATGAGTGTGAGTAGCCAACATGGTGTGCATTGCAGGATGGTGGCAAATTGCCAGGTCACCAGCCATCCTTCCAGCCAAACCTGTTTTATTAATCTCCAGAACAGCACAAGGTTTGAGGCAAGGTTTGTTTTTAATAATCTAGTTATGTCCCTGTATCCTGCTTGATTTCAGTCTGTGTGGTCCCTGTATCCTGCCCGATCCCTGTCCGTGTGGTTCCAATCCCTCACTGTCAATTATTGATGGTCACGGGGTTGGAGGGTTAGATTTTTAAGTGTTGAGGTATCTTACAACCAAAAGTACTGTAAGACCATTTCTCATTTTCAGTTAAATCTGTGTGGTTTCTATACTGTTGACCTGAGTGATTCAGGTTGTGTACCTCCCCAATCCCGACCCCCAGCTCGGGTCCGAAATACTGAATGTCCAGCACCATGCGACGTCCTCCTGACGTGAAAGGCGCTATACAAATGTAATTTTGTTGTTGTTGTGCAGGATTTTGATGCTCTCTTATTGATATGTAATGAACAGTTGCACTCCCTGCATCCTGGATCAACAGCAGCTCTAAGCATTTAAACTAACTAGTGCTTTTGTCATGAAGCCAAGGAGTGGGTGTGCCACATTTCAGATCCTGTTCCTTAAAAGGATAATGTTTCAGTGACATCACCAGCACCAAAGTAGTAGTAATTCATTAGATCGCTTTCCGGGGGTAATGATTCCTCAAAAAAACATTGGTCACTCAATCCACAACTGTTTGTGGGACACTGTTGTGTGCAGTTGGCTGCCGCGTTTCACCCATAAAATATACATTCAATTCAATTTACAGTATATTCTGCGAAGCGCTTTGAGACATCTCGAAGACGTGTTATGGTGCTATATCAAGTGCAAAGGCTATTATTATATACTACGAAACTGCCAGAATTTGAGACATAAATGTGATTTTAAAGCCCCGTAAGTTTGATCTCATGTCCTGAATGTATGAAAGAGGCTGAATGAGTGCACATTATATAGGAAGTGGTACAGGACCACTTTCTTGATCAATTGATCAGTTAGAACATGTCATCATTTTTTTGTAACTCACAGAACTTGTGACCGGAGGTGTGGAATAAATGAGCCATGTGTTGAAGCATTTAGGTCAAATGCTGCCTTTGGTGAAGCATCTATGGCTCGTCTGAGGCTGACAGGCCAACATTCTGGAGGTTAGGCTTCATTGGGTTGCTGGTTTATGCTGCTTTACCTGTGGCCCACAGTGCGCGTACTTTCATTATGTCAATGTTTTTACTGCTGTGATAGTTTTCGGTGCATGAGGTCATACAACTACATAATTGTACAGAACAGAATTTAGAAAATTGGCTTGTGTTGCACCAAACGTCTTTTAAAAGTGAAATTTTGAAAATTTTCTTTTAGTTTCCACTTTTTTTAGTTTTCCAGAAAAAAAACACAGATTGCTCTCACTTGTTCTGTTCAACCACCTGATCCCTCAAATTGCCAAAGGAAAACTGTTACTTTACAGCTAGTTTAACCAACCATTATACTGGGAAAACAGGCCTGAAGATAATACAACCAGTGGACGTTTTACTGCTAGCCAGAGCACAGAGCTAGCTGTAAATATTGTGCAACTATTGCAACAGCAGATTTTTAGTGTTAACAGGCCTGTGCAAGATATTCCACTGAGAATGGCTGGGTACATGCCTCTCCTTGCCCCAACTCCAGTGACTGATTATACTTTTCATATTTGGGGCAACCTAGAGAGCTTGGAGCAGGTGGAGACATGCCGGTTTCTGTGTTGCGGGGCTGGGACAGGGACTGGAAGCTATAGCTAGCAGACAAGGGTTGAATACAAACACGCAAGGAAATGGCTGAGTATTCTGAGTTAGGCTTTATTACATTGGGTATCAAGGGGGTAATCTATACAGTGCTTTCACTTCGGAAATTTTGGGTGGAATCTGTGACAAGCTTTCGAGTGGTCTATGGAGGATGTGGACTGGCCAAATGACTTTCTGTTCCATACTTCAATCTTTTTATCATCAAAATCCTTGCATTTGACATAGCGTTAAGACATCTCCAAGACTTTCACAGGCTACACTGTAAATTGCAGTGACTGTATTTTGTGGATGAAATCCAGCAGTCAGTGTGCACATGAGCAAAGTCCCGCAAACAGCCATGGGGCGAGTAACCAATTTATTTGGGAGGATTGTTGGACAGGACATCAGGAGAGAGAAACTCCCTTTTTTTTNAATCGTGCCAGGGATCTTTAACATCCATCTAAACAGGCAGCCGGGTCCTCAGTTTAACGTCTCAAAGATTTATTGACCTAAGCAGAGTAGAGAATTGTTCATATAGCAGGTGTTTAACAAAGTATGTTTGTTTTAGGAGGGGAATAGTAGGATTAACACTGGCCTGCTGTCTGTGAATTTAATTGATGAGGCGTAGTTTACACTCAGAAGCTTGCAACCTGTGACTTGGAAGAAAACCCATAGAGAAATTGTATTTAAATCTTATTGCAGAACTCTGTTAGTGTAGTGGGTGTGAGCGCAGTTAGGACATAGCTGCCCGAAAACGTGGTCTGATATACGGAGAGAACATGCAACTGATACTATACTTCTGCATTATGACTTGGAGAGTGAGTATGAGTATATATTTTGTGATGCCTGGCTGTTGCTACTTAGACTTTTTCTTTGCAATTGGAAGTGCTTTTCTTTAGTCATGTGGTAACAAGTATATGAGCTTGGAGCAGGAGGTGGTGGGTCTCCACGTCATTGGAATGCATTGTCTCTGTTTGTGTTGAGTTCCTGGTGACTTTCAGATCTGGTGCCAGGATGACTGTGTGACAACATCCTTGACCGCTACAGATCTGTATATCATTACTAAATTGGCTCTGGGTAGATTGTAGATTGGGCGGTGATATGGGTGGGGTTGGGGGAAGGTGGGGGAAGAAGTAGAGTTAGAAGACACTTCTTCTCTATTGAAGTCCATTAAGATGTTAGTATGCAGATTTGCTTTTTGGAATTTATAGACATTATTTTCCTCTTGTTTCTTTAATATTTTAATATTTTGAAATTAGTCATTGTTTTGCCTGCAAAATTCGTCATTGTTTTGCCCACAGAATATACAGTCACTACACTTTACAGTATATCCTGTGACGAGCTTTGAGACGTCTCAATGATGTGATAAGGCACTATATCAAATGCAAGCATTATTATTGTTGTTATAGCAGAACAGCCTAAAAGGATCCTTGAGCTGGTAAATGGATACCGATTTATTGGAATGTTGATTTCAGCTCAAATAGAGCTCTGTTACTTTGCTGTTGGCAAATTCATTAACTCTTGTGAAAACTCTGTTAAAATGAGAAATAGAAGAATCTCATAGTTAGAGCAGGAAGTCTTGTAAAAACAGATTTAGAGTCTGAGAGTATGGAGTCACAATTTGCATTTTCTTAACCCCAAACACTCCCCACCTGTCTCTCCCGTCTCTTGAACCAACCATTATTCTGTCAGTAAGTAAACATATATAATGACTGTGTTGCATTTAGCAACTCATTCCTGTGCACGGGCTGTGGTTAGAATAAACAGTTCATTATTTGCTGGTTAATATTTACAGTGGAGCTGTAATAAGTTAAGTTCTTGTAGGGAAATGCTGGGTTTTCACACTAAGGAAAACCTGCAGAGGCTTTAGTGAACATTAGAGTGTTCCTATATCGAGCATGATGTACGATTGTCTCTGATCATGGTAAGGAGTCCTGTTTGTGCCGGGAACCCAATGATAGGGCGTGGGTCCACATCTTCAGTGCATCCGACTCCAAGTTGTGTCCATGTTTAGGTGTTAGCCTGGCTCATTTGGTAATATTCTTGCCTCCAAGTCAGAAGGTTGTGCTCCATGCCAGGACTTTGAACACACGTTGTCTAGGACTCAAGCCTGACACTCAAATGCAGTCTTGGAGGTATGCTACCTTGCCTTCCTTTCAATGGGGTATAAAATCCAACTCGGATGTACTCCACAGGGAAGGGGAGGGAGAATTGGTGGGTAAAGCATTCATGGCTACAATGGTGGTATAAGCAGAGACTAATGGCATGTTGCCTGTTGGCTTCTATGGAGTCCTGTACCTCAGTGGTTAGAGCACTCGCCTCGCAAGCGAGAGACCCGGGTTCAGTTCCTGGCAGAGCGAAACCTTGGGCAAGTTTCCTTACTCCACACACCTGATAATAATCCCTCAAGTTAATAAATAAAATAACAATTTGGTCACTAAATCCACGACTGTTCGTGGGACACTGCAATTGGCTGCCCCGTTTTGCCCCCAAAATATACAGTCAATTCACTTTACAGTATATTCTGTGAAGCGCTTAGACATCTAGAAGATGTGAAAAGTGCTATGTCAAATGCAAGGATTATTATTATTATATATTCTGTCGGTGTGATGTATGTTGGGGAAAGGAAAGAAAGTTAAAAATGAGTGTTCTCATGTAGCCCACCATTCCTTAGCCTGAAAACACAGCTCATGATCCTCCCAAGCCTTCGTCAGTTTCTTACATTAGCTGTTCAGAGGTTTGTGTTCAGGGAAACTCTGACATTCTCCAAGCAACTGTTCAGCATTTCTCCCACTGAGTGTGTGGCGGATATGTGGGACTCCAGCACATCTAAGAGCTTCCCACTATGCTGCATTTTACTTCATGTTTGTGGGAAGTACTGTATCACAACCCCCTTCCTAGCCAATAATCATCCAATGTAAATGTCAGGGTGAGAATCTGAACATACTATTAGCTGTCGGTTGTTCTCTGCTTTGTTTAGTGTAATGTGTTTAGCTGGTGTGGTACTAACCAACTAACTACTGTAGTTTTCCTTTTAAGAGGTACTCTGTTCTGTGACATCTGACTGCATGTGGAATGTGAGTGGATGAAGTGAGCTATTGTACTCACCCGCCTGGAACAAGCCGGGCTGATGGTGTATTAACAGGATGCAATTGCAGTACAGAAATGCCAAAAGTGAGTTTCAATACAGTAGTTTTTATAAACTAACAATAGGGCCCTTTATTAACACTGGCTGTGTTCTGGCAGCAGTGCTTGGGAAAGCAGAGCACCTGAAAGCAAGTGAGACAATAGTGGCCACTGCCTTGTTTATGGTGCAACCTAGAACAGTGACCTGCCTCATTAGTAGAACCTACAACCTTCTATTTCATGAACTAGATACGAAAAGAAGCCATAGCCATGCAGTTTGCGATGTGCCTTAACCTGCCTCGTACCCACAATCATCTTTCCTTTCCTCGCCCACTAGGATAATAATAATAATTCATGCATTTGATAAAGCGCTTTTCACGTCTTCTAGATGTCTAAGCGCTTCACAGAATATACCTGTAAAGTGAATTGACTGTATATTTTCTGGGCAGCCAATTGCACTCAGCAGTGTCCCACAAACAGTCGTGGATTGAATGACCAAATAATTTATTTTTATTTTTAAAGGGATTATTACCCCAGGAAAAATGATCCACAAATCGACTAACAAACGAGTTCCTACTTACTGCTAGGTAAACAGAGGCGTGCGGAGTAAGGAAAGTTGCCCAACATTTTGCCATGCCCAGGAATCGAACCCAGATCCTCTCTATGTCCCAGTAAAGAGACAGTAAAGTAAAGTAGTAGTGCCATTTTGGGGGTACACAATCAGCATTTGCTGAATGGTTCCATTGTCAGTGCTTGCTCCTCAGCACCCAGTGCAGAAGTACTCAGTACAGTGTTTATCTACCCACACCCCAGTTATCCCAGTGGTATGGAGATCATTGGTAGCATTAAAGCCACTTTGGTTTCCTAATCTTCACTATTTGAATTGCATAGTGCATCTGTGTTTTTATGATGAATGAAAAGTTTACCTTCAGGTTCCCCCTCAGTTTAATGAGTAACCAGATGTATGATGTGCTGTAATTAACAATGCCACTCCATTGTCCAGATGGTAGATGGTAGGAGAGTCATGTGAATGCTAACTGTTATGTGGGCATTTACTCAGTTGCTGTGGAGAACTGCACTCTGTGCATGTTCTTGTACCAACAGAATCTCCATCTGAGGAAGTGTAAGTCCGGAAGCCACGGTCTGTTTGTAAATGCTCGTTCAGATTGTATGGCACACCTCTTCCAGAACACTGTTGCCAAGCAGCCTGTGTTTGTTCTTGGATAAGGGAGAGTTTTTTGCGCTGAGTAACAAGAGGAAATACGACTGTGGTTTTCATTCAAATACTCCTGAGGAACTTGTGGATAAAATGTGCTGCATTTAATATTTAATGTAGCTTTGTGGTTGAATCACTATGAAGGATTTTGTTCTCTGATGTGTTTGCACGGGATGAGTATACAACACAAATGTAAGTTTTTACAAACTCTTACAACATGATTATAATAATGATCTTTGCATTTGATATAGCGTCCTACCACATTGTTGAGACGTCTCAAAGCGCTTCACAGAATACACTGTGATGTGGATTGATTGTGTATTTTGTGGGCCAAATGTTATATACTCTGGAAGAGCTAATATGTCTGGTTGTTCAATTTACTCTCAAAACAGTTCTTCATTGGGAATTTCCATGAGCACGTGTCTGAAACAACTGTAATGGAAAAACTTTTGCTCATCTCCCCGAACTTCCCAAGGAGGGATGGAGAAACTGACTGAAAAACTTTAAAAATAAAAAGAGATTCATTCCTGTTTAGTTAATAATAATAGCAATAATAATAATCCTTGCCATTGATATGGTGCCTTATCACGCCATTGAGACGCCTCAAAGCTCTTCATGGAATATACTATGAATTTAAACGACTGTATATTTTGTTGGCAAGTTAGCTCTTGGATGCAATGAGCTCCTGTATTATTGGTTTTACAGGTTTACTGCATCTGACATCTCTTCTGGTTAACTCTCAGTTGTATTATTAACCATCCCACTCACAGACGCATAACATTCTTGTAGGTGCAGCAAGTTGCAGAGTGAAATAGCAAACCTAGAGCGAAAGGAAGCTGAGTTGGTTACTGAACCGATGAAAAGTATCTTTTTCTTCCATCTGGATGATTAAGATCACTGTTCTTGTAAACCTCTGACAAGTTTACTGATGCTGTCCCACATTATTGAAGCATATGCTAGTGTGAAAATGACTCGTAGAGAGTGAGAAATTTGTTGATTCAATCTCTGGTCTGTGATCTTCGCCCGGGCTGCTGGGCTTGGGAAGGGAAGTTAAACCATGGTTGGCTTCCTACTCCTGATCTTTAACTGTACAAATGTAGAAGAAAAAGTACAAAAAGAAATGTACAAAAAAAAAGTGCTCAGTGGTAAGAGCACTTGCCTCGCAAGTGAGAGACTTGGGTTTGATTCCCGGCAGGGCAAAACCTTGGGCAAGTTTCCTTATTCCACACGCCTGACAATAATCCCTCAAGAAAAAAATAATAAATTGGTCACTTCAATCCACGATTGTTTGTGGGACACTGCTGTGCGCAATTGGCTGCCATGTTTCGCCCACAATTAGACAGTCAATTCATTTTACAGTGTATTCTGTGAAGCCTTTGGGACGTCCTCCCGATGTGAAAAGCTCTATATCAAATGCAACGATTATTACTATTATTGGTTGAACAGCTTGCGTTGTCGAGGCTCATGATTGAAGAATTACTGACTACTTGGAAGCGATATAACAACAAATTACAGCAACAAATGACGTTTACGCAGCGCCTTTCACATTGGGAGGACATCCAAAGGCGTTGGACAGTTAAGGATTTGCTCCCGAGCTGGAGGTTAGGATCAAGAAGGGTGGGGGGGAGGCGGGGTAGGAGGGTGACCGAAGGTCCAGTCAAAGAGGTGGGTCTTGAGATGGGCCTTGAAGGAGAGGCACCTGTTGAACAATAACCCAGCACAAGTTTTAGCTGTTTGAGGGTCAGCAGGAAAGCTACAAATGTCAGTGTTTCTCCAATATATTTTTTCTCAGTTCCATTCACGTTTTAGCTGGGTGGGTGGGGGAATGATGCAATTTTGTAATCTCTCCTGTACTATTGTGAAAGTTTAGCTCGCTTGTCAACCTAACCAGCAGATTCACAACACTCGCCAATTGGTTCAGTGCAACAAATATCATTGTAACCACAGTGTGTGTGCTGTAGCTTGAACACATTCCCGGGTGTGGTACCATCATTTCACAGCCGGCAGAGGCAAAGCTGTGTGGATGATGCAGTGTTTTTCCACAATGGTGAAATAGTGGTGACGGTTGTGTAACATTGATTTTATACTGTATTTGTCTATTCATCTCCTCCCATCACCATCTGCTCTGCTCTTGGATACCTTTGTTGGACCTGGACTTTAGCCGTCTGACCAAGACAAGTAACTTTCTGTCTAAGACCTTCCCCGGGGAAAGGTGTGACTAAGATCCAACTTAATCAGAATTATGGAACACAGCCCATATCTTACAAATGTGTAACGCTCTGATCTGTTGCTAATGGTCTCCTGCACCTCAGGCCACTTTGGTTCTAAAACGCATGCAACTTTTATTTAAAAAAACGCATTTAGCAGATAAATTGTATATTAATAGTAATAATCCTTGCATTTGATATAGCGCCTTATTGCATTTTCTTGACGTCTCAAAGCGCTTCACAGGATATACTATAAAGTGGAGTGACTGTATATTTTGTGGGCGAAACACGGCAGCCAATTGCGAACAGCAGTGTCCCACAAACAGTCGTGGACCAAATTTTTTTTAACTTTTGAAGGGATTATTACCCCCGGAAAAGTGGTGGTATTGTTGTTTTTCAGAGAGGGGGTCGAGAGCTGCTCGAATTCCAGAGTAAAGTGCTGTGAACAGGATGATTTAGAATGTTGGGAAGTCATTTGAGCTTTGCCAGGTTATTGGGGTGGGGGGCGGGGAGGGGAAGAATGGGCTCTCATCACCTTGTGGGATCACATTATACTCGACATACTTTGTAAGGATGCTTTTGTAAATTATGAAATGGGCCCATCCTGCTCTGTGTTCCTGGCGTACTGGTCATTTTCTTTGAGAATTGCCGTGAACTACAAGTTTTCCTTAAATAAGTGTAACTGTCCTCTTTGTTTCTCTAGTGCCATGCCAGCAGCCCAGTCACTCTCCCTGAAACCCTGCTCTTTGTGTCCACACTGGATGGAAACCTTCACGCTGTTAGTAAACGGACAGGGGAGATCAAATGGACCTTAAAAGAAGGTGAACTTTTTTTTTACGTTATGTAAAGTGTGTCTAAAAAAAGCACATACAGAGCTATTTTTTCTGGGGGGTTTACTCCAGCTGAAACGTCACATTTGTTGATCAACACAGGACAGAAACTAGAGGCCCTGCTCAGAGTTTAATGGAGACGTACATTATTATTATTAGTAGTAGTTTTAATTTTTAGTTTGTGATATAATAATAATCCTTGCATTTGATATTGCACTTTATCACGTCTGTGAGATGTCTCAAAACGCCTCACAGAATATACTGTAAAGTGAATTGACCATATAACATGGGCGAAATGCAGCAGCCAATTGCGCACAGCAGTGTCCCACAAACAGTCGTGGATTGAATTACCACATTATTATTATTTTTCATTTATTTTATTTTTTGAAGTGATTATTACTCCTGGAAAAGTAATTCAAATAACAACCGAATTCCTACTTTTTGTTGATGGAGTTAAAAATAAAAGTCACAACTGACCCTGGGTACTATAAATGTAAAAGTGGGCCTGATCATTAGCAGCTGTCACAGGAAATGCCTTCTATTATAAATCGCATTTGGTTAAAATCACGCCAAGCCAATGATGTGCGTGCTGGTGACTAGAGAGTTTGTTGACATTCTCGTGGAGTGCAGGTTTCCTCACTGCCTTTAAATAACCTCCAGCTGCTGTGCTGATCAAGAACCCGGGTTCTTTCTCTTCAGAATGTTTTAAATTTATAAAGAAAATCTCAAAATACAATGATGCTAGTGGCATGCCCAATGCTACCCGTAGTCAGAAAGAAGGTCCTCAATTCCCTGCAGCGTGGGGTCTAATGGCCAAATAGCTAGATTGCAGATATCTGTATACGTCCCATCTCCCATGCGGTCTGTGTATCACTGCTGTAGATCATAGACTGATTTCAGTTTATCAGATGCCTAGTGATCTGCAGGACCTTATGTGGGTCAGCTGATTGTCAAACGCAGTGATATAACTGGGTGACTATTTGCCAGGTTGTATCATATCATTACTGGTAGATTGTGGTGCTGAAGGTGTTTCTCACATGTCGGTGTTTGTTTCTCTCAAATAATGATATTTTTATTTCCAGATCCTATTATCCAGGTTCCAGTCTACCTCACTGAGTAAGTTGCTATCGTCAATTATGCCACTTTTTTCACAATCACCAATGAAATCACTAATCGTATTAATGATTGAGCTTGTAAAATACAGGCTCAATCGCCCATCCCGTCCCATGATTGGCAGTCGGGCCTTCAGCCTCTCTGCCCTTACCTTTGGAACTCCATCTCAGAATCCCTTCCCCTCACTCCCTCTCTTGCCTCTTTCAAGGCCCGTCTCAAGACCCTCCTCTTCAGCCATGCCTTTGGCCACCTTCCTGCCCCAACACCTCCCTGCCCACCACCCCTCTTGATCCCAACCCCCTGGTCGGGTCCAAACCTCTGACAGTCCAGCGCCTTGGACGTCATCCCGTTGTATTGTTTGTTGTTGTTGTAATGGTATACAATATTATCATAACACACTTTGCTGTTTTTTTTATCTAAAACATTTACAAGAGACAATGTGAGTTGAAACTCCAGCACGTGGTATTAACCCTGAAGAGAAAAGTGCTAACTTGTTTATTAACTTTGTGTAATTAAATTATACAATATAATTACAATGCAATTTACATTTATACACTTGTAAATCATTTATTATCATTAGGAATTATTGGCTGCATTCCGAGAGTCAGCTTCTCTCTTTGATTATCGTCCTTTGTTTACACTTGTCTTGTTTCTGTCGTGACTGTAGGCCAGCCTTTCTGCCTGATCCCAATGACGGCAGCCTCTATGTTCTGGGTGGGAAAAATAAAGAGGGCTTAATGGTGAGTTATACAGCTAACGTCTGCTTCCTTTTTCCCCTAACCTCTGGAACCCCCCCTCTCTTTACCCCTCTGTTTTGCCACCCCCACCACCTAACTGTCTTAAATCCTGCCTTAAAACCTAGCACTCCAACCATGCTTGCAGTCACCTCCTCCTTGCTCAGCATCCAACTCTGCCTCTGTGAAGGGCTCTGAGTCGTTGCCCTACATGAGGGGAGCTGTACCAATGCGATATGTTGTCAACTGCTGGTGTTTCTTCTTTCAGAAACTCCCCTTCACTATTCCTGAGCTAGTTCAGTCCTCTCCATGCCGAAGCTCTGATGGAATATTGTACACAGGTAAAAAAAAGTTTATTTATTTAACTGTCTTTCCTTATATTTCCTCCAGTGATAGAAAACTGAGTTCAGGATTGTACAGGTTCCTTTCTTCTTTTCCTACCCATCCTGACTCCCACTTGCTGCCTTTCCCCAGCTAATCCCTCAAAATACACACTCGACAATGTGATAAGGCGCTATATCAAACACAAGCATTATTATTCCCCCCCCACCAAGGTTTTAGTCTGCTATTGTGATGTGGATTCTTGAGCGCTCACTGCTCCGGTGGTCTCAGCAACTGCGTCCTTCCACACTGTACGGTCATTAACTCATTTTACTGTGATTTTATTCCACATTTCAGCAATTCAGAACTCAGCACAGGACCTAGCACCTTCCCTGGTCTGTATTTTTCAGACTGGGTGGAGGGAGAGCCACTGGGAGGGAGTTCGTGGGTGTTTTTATGTATCTGTGTGTTCTCCTTCCTGCACTAGGCAAGAAACAGGATCGATGGTTTGTGGTGGATCCCAAGACCGGAGAGAAACAGACCACGCTGACCACAGACGCATCGGAGAATATCTGTCCCTCCACCCCCTTACTCTACATTGGGCGGACAGGTGAGAGCAGCAATCTGGCTGATCACAGTTATGTAGCATTCTCAGAGCAGAAATTCTCAGGATGGTGAAGTTACTATCTAGACTATAAGTTAACCCCCAAATCTACTTTTCCACATTTACAGTACTCTTGATTCCAGGCTCACTGAAGTTCTGTCCACTTGCTTGTCAGATATCAAAGCCTGAATGAGCTTCCTCAGTTTCTTGCAGCTTAACCTGAGTAAATAACAGTGCTTTTCACAGTGCGAGGATCTCTAAAGAGTTTGTGTGGCTGGGGGATGGGTGTGGAGGATGAGTTCAGGAGGGTTGGGAGGGAGGAGGTGATTGAAAGGTACTGTTGAATATGCGGGTTTAAAGGTGGTGAGGAAGGAGGCAAGGTGGAGGGACTCTTAAGATGGAGTTTCAGAGAGTGGAGCTGAATGGCTGAAAGCTCAGCTGGGTGGACATGAAGCTGGCAGTACCGAGGGTGAAGTACTAAATTACAGTTCCCACAGGGAGAATTTAATTCCCTTTGCTTTGTCCTGCATTTCAATATCTGTTTTTCCAATGAGCCATTTAATACATTCAGTAAACTCCTGATAACTCTTCCTTCCAAGGGAAAAGGGCTCAGCAACAAGTTATCAGGAGTAGCGAGTTAGGCATGTGAATAATAAATACATGAATAACAACAGCAACAAAATTACATTTGTATAGCGCCTTTCACGTCAGGAGGACGTCCCAAGGCGCTGGACAGACAGAGTTACGGACCTGAGCTAGGTTCGGGGTGGGGAGAGGGTTGGGCAGGGTTAGGAGAGGGGAAGCGAGGAGATTGAAAGTACGATCGAAGAGGAGGATCTTGAATAAATGTTGGTGGGATATTGACAGCACGATGACTTAAGTGGTATGATGAGTTAAGCCAGGATTGAGTTATCAGGAGTTTTCTGTATGTATTCAAATATGCTGTAAACGAAGAGTGTGCTTTTGTTTTCACGTTTTGTAGAATACATGATCACCATGTATGACACTAAAACTCGGGAACTTCACTGGAACGCCACGTACTATGACTACTCAGCTCCTTTATGTGACGAGAATGGAGACTACAGTAAGTTTGGTGGTAAATGATGTGATTGGAAGGGATGACCCTGGAGATACCACTGTTGACCTGGGAGCATGAGGTCCAGTCCCAATTTTGATTAGCAATTTGCATTGAGATTGACTTGATCCCATGACACTTTTGGAAAAAGAGGATTATTTTTTCCCATTCGCCACATTAATTGCTCATTCGCTTCATGGCAGCTGTGGGATATTTTCCAGTGCCCAGCTTGTGCGACTTTCCCGGCTTCTACCTGTCTTTCTGCAAACAAAAGTTACTGTATCTGACAGTTGCTGGGAAGGAAGCACTTTGAGATATTTCAACCTACAACAGTGTCAAAATGAAAGTTCACCTTTGTTCATTTTAGCCGTGGTGGAGCTGTGTTAGGGAGGCATCTGTACAAGCACGCCACCCTCTGGGTGAACAGTGGCATTGAGAACCCCAAGGACATGTACCTTGGTATACCATGGTTTTGTCTTGGCAACTCTTGACCAGCTCATGTTCATTTGTCGCGGGGCAGTGGGTGGGGGCGCGGGGGTGGGGGGAGGGGGGGTCCTACTTTATTTTCATCCATCGCCTCACAGTGATGTTTTATATGGAGTCCGGTAGCTCAGTGGTTAGAGCACTCACCTTGCAAGTGAGAGGATCTGGATTCGATTCCCGGGCAGGGCAAAATGTTGGACAAGTTTTCTTACTCCGCACGCCTCTGTTTACCTAGCAGTAAGTAGGAAACCCGGTTGTTAGTCGATTGGTGGATCACTTTTCCGGGGGTAATAATCCCTCCAAAAAAAATGAATAATAATAATTTGGTCACTGAATCCACGATTGCTTGAACTTTATAATCCATTTCATAGCAAAGTTTCTGTTCACTGTCAGTGAGTTAGGTGTGTGGAGAGGGGGAGGGAGGGGAGGTGCTGTTTTCTAACATGGGTTTCATCTCTGATTCACCCAGAAATGGCTCACTTTGCATCAAACGGCGATGGCCTGGTGGTGACTGTAGACAGGGACTCTGGAGATGTATTGTGGATGCAGAACTACGGCTCCCCCGTGGTGGGGATGTACATCTGGCAACAGGATAGCCTGCACCGCGTAGCTCACCTCAACGTTGCCATGGAAACCCTGCGCTACCTCACGTTTAACTCACAGGACATCCGGATGATTAAATGGAAATACCAGTTCCCAAAAGCGCCCTCCACTACCAAGACCCAATTGGTGTAAGTCCATCCTTCCCGAGTTACTGATCCCATTCCCCAGCTCACCATGGGCTGACTGACCTCAATGAGAGTTTACCCAGAATAGCTAATTAATCCCCCTCCCAAAATTCCTCATTCCCCTTATTCTCCTGTGAAGCTCTTTGAGATGTACATCCTACATGGAAGGAGTAGAGCAAGTTGTCGGAGGAAGCCTCAAAGCGCTTCACAGGATTTACTGTAAGGTGTAATGACTGTTTTGTAACCAGTCAAATGCAAGTGAAATGCACGGATTTAATCCATAAAGAAACTGTTACGGAAACCGTCTTGTGTTTTCTTGTTGATCAAAGGACTTGTGTAGTTTATGATTCTGTGCATTAAAGTCCTCCTCTTTGTTACAGCCCAACCTTGTACGTGGGGAAGCACGCCTCCGCTTTCTATGCTTCGTCTTCACTTGTCCATGAGGGTGTGGCTGTGGTGGTAAGGACCTAACCCTTTAAGGGGCCCATTGGTGGTGGTGGTGGTGGTGGGGCAGTTTTATTTTACTGCGCCGGAAGTAAAAACAGAAGTGGCTGGGAACACGCAACAGGTCAGGGAGCATCCATGGAGAGCGGAAAATGAGTTAACAGTAACTCATTTTTCTCTCTCCATAGATGTTGCCTGACCTGCTGCGTGTTCCCAGCCACTTCTCTTTTTATTTCAGATTGCCAGCATCTGCAGTGTTGTGCCTTTTGTCACCTGTTGCATCTTGTTACTCAGCTCATTGTGAAGTCACCTGTTGGAAACAAACGTCAACCGAGCTACAAACATCAGCGTTTGCTGTATCAAAAACATACAGTCACTCCACTTTGCAGGATATTCTGTGAAGCGCTTTGAGACGTCTCGCCATGATAAGGCGCTATATCAAATGCAATGATTATTACAAGATGGAATCCATTGAGGTGGTGGTGCTGGGCCAGGGTTATAAAATGACTGGTCCCCCACAGTGAGTTACATACTGAAATCTAATGTCACGAGTTACATACACTAGGATCACATTGCTGCTGAATTATCGGGAAATAATCTGCATTTACACTGACGTACAAGCGTGCAATAGATACAGCATGTCACCCGACCTCCCAGATCAGCTTCGAAATCATCCAATTGAATATAAAATAATCCTTGCAATTGGTATATAGCACGTTTCGTGTTTATTTCTGCCCCTTTTTTGGACCAGCCAACAAGTGGAAATCAGTACATTAATGTCCATATTATTGTTTATTCGTATTTATGTTGTATACCAATCCCGACGTTCACTTCATTATCCCTTTACTTTTCTTCACAGAATGTCGTGAAAGACTTTTTTGGTTTATTTTGGCAAATCTAAACTCCATGTTTTTTCACAGCCTCGTGGGATCACTATCGTGCGTATTGATGGCCCCACAACCGAGGATGTGACCTTGGCAGAGAGCGGGGAGTGTGAGATCATCCCCAGCACCAACGTCAAATATCCCCAGGGAAGCACCTTCTCCTCCGGGAACGTGAAGAGCCAGTGGCTGCTGATAGGTTTGTCTTTGATTTTTGTCATCTCCTCTGCCAGTGTATAGAGAGGGCATTGATCTCCTCTGCCAGTGTATAGAGAGGGCATTGATATACTGGGGCACCCATTGGTATATATTGATATATATACTATGTATTGCTACACACACTGGTAAATGCTGTGAACATGTTGTACACGCTAGTTTGTACTGTATGTAGGTCTGCTTGGACTCAGCCTCTCAGTGCGTCAGGAATAATCTCAAATAATAAAATAAATTTCAAAGCACAGTGATAATAATAATAATAATCCTTGCTTTTGATATAGCACTTAGTCACATTGTCGAAACGTCTCAAAGCGCTTCACGGAACAAACTATAAAGTGGATTGACTGTATTTTGTGGGTGAAACGCGGCAGCCAATTGTGCACAGCAGCGTCCACAAACAGTTGCGGATTGAGTGACCACATTTTTTTCACATCATTAGACAAAAGTGTGGGAAGAGCCGAGACGAGATTACACAGTAACATCAGACAGACGGGTTGTTAGATGTTGCACTTTAATCGCTTTCTACAATTCAACTAACAGTGTCAAGCCTTCCTATTTTAAAATCAGTCAGCAATGTGTTTTTTTTTTATTTGAAGGTCACCACCAGCTGCCTCCAGTGGCACACACCACAATCCTGAGGGCATTTCCTCACCCGCTGAAGAAGAACACAGAGACTGTCATCACCACAAAGACCAACAGCCACACACTCGATGATGTACGTTGCAAAAGATTCAGCTGTTATGTTTCCACCCACAAAATCTCAACCGTTTTTACCCTTTGTAGAATGAAACTAACAATAAAAACGGAAGTCGCTGGGAATATTCAGCAGGTCAGCAGCATCTATGCAGAGAGGAAAATGAGTTAACGTTTCAGGTCGACCTTTCATCAGACCTGCTATCTCACTTTCCTCTCTCTGTAGATGCCGCATGACCTGCTCCGTGTTCCCAGCGACTTCTGTTTTTATTTCAGATTTCCAGCATCTGCAGTATTGTGCCTTTTCTAGAAAAGTAATAACCTTTTGTGCCTTTTCCCTAAGTTTATGACCCACCCTGACAAGATCCCGTCAAGCATGACTAACCAGAGGCCTCGAATGGAGAGGGATGTGAAGCCAGAGCCTACAACTGAGGTGGTGCCTGAATCAGGTAACCAGGACATCCTGACCATGACCATCATCACTGTGATAGTCGGGGGCTGGCTGCTTTTTCTGATCATCTACCCAAAGGTAACTAATTTCTCCATGCCCAAATGTTGTGATGTCAGTCTGGTCTCCGGTCCAAAATAAATGAGGTTTGAGAGTAGCTGATCAGGGTTATAAGCGACAGCATCATCCAATTCGGTGATACTTATTTAAGGTGAAAGTAAAATTATAACCTGCATAAAAACTGACTGAGTGTACACCAAATAAAATCACTTTTGTTTTCAGCCGGGTGGGTGTCTTACACATGTGGAACCCAATCACTGTGCTTAAGAGTCTCCAAACCAGACTGAGAATTCCACATGTGTATTGCCACCTACACATTGGAGATTGCTCTGTGTCTGGAATAGAATACCCCCTCTCTCCTGGGAGGGACGCACACCGCTTACTTCTGCAGGGTATTTGGTGTAGGTTGGCAAGAGCCAGGGCTTGCCCATCCCCCTCCCTCCAGAGTGTGTGTTGGGGTAACTGCTGGAGTCTAACCAGCTAAAACTGCATAACTTGCCGTTGATATTGCTGACTGGCAAGCTTCCCAATGCTCGTCCAGCTAGGACCACCCTACCTGTTGGGGCTTTGGCTTGCAGGGTTAGCAGAAGCTGAGCGGGAAGAATCCCCATTCCCACCTGGCTTAGAAACCAAACCCCCACGATTCTGACACTCAGCTGGGCAATGTAAGTAACACAGCGTATTGAGAGGAAACCAAGGGTTAGAGACAGGAGTTATATTTTGAAAGTTTTGAATTCATGGCCATTTACCTTGCACTTTAAGGTGTTTAACCCTGCACTGAGTCACAGCTTTATCCCTCTCTGTTTTCAGAGGATTCAACAGCAGCAGAAGCTGCAGCAACAGCAGCTGGAGCAGCAGCTGGAGGAGAGGTTCCAGCGCTTCCAGCAGCAGCCCCCAGCCTCCCCCGCAAGGCACTCGGGCGAGCAGCTGAGGCCAGACCTGACCCCTGACAGCTCTCAGGATAGATCCCTGAGTAGCACCTCCCTCTCTCAGGACAGCAGTGGCCAGTCATCACACAGATACTCAGGCCACAGCTTAGACAACGGCACTGCACTGTACGATAAAATTCTGTCCGGTTAGTGGTCTGCGTTTCTCTCTCGTCTGGCTGTGTTGAGGAACACGTCCTCGTGGCCCTGTAAATCCAGTTGAAATAATAATAATCCTTGCATTTGATATAGCGCCTTATCACATCATTGAGACGTCTCAAAGCGCTTCACGGGATATACTGTAAAGTGAATTGACTGTATTTTAATAATAATCATCCTTGCATTTGATATAGCGCTTTTCATGTCGGGAGGACGTCCCAAAGCGCTTCACAGAACACACTGTAAAGTGAATTGACTGTATATTTGTGGGTGATTGCGGCAGCCAATTGCGCACAGCAGTGTCCCACAAACAGTCGTGGATTGAGTGACCACATTGTTTTTTTTAGTCGTCATAACTATGGGCATTTTAAGATAGTCCTTTATGGTTTTATCCTCTTGACATTTACCTGTCCAGTGCCTTGGGATGTCCTCCTGATGTGAAAGGCGCTGTGTAAATGTAATTTTCTTGTTGTTGAATGTATTTTAAAATACCTGTGAACAGAGAAAGATACAAATCGTGAAGGGGAGGGATCCACGGTCTCCACAATAAACAGTATTTTGCCTGTTAGAGGTCGGTGTCCCTTTTTCCTTACTAAAGCTATCCTCCAATCTTGTTTTTCTCCCCCGAACCATTTTACCCCAGGTTCAGAGAGCAATGTAAACCATCCTTCGGATGAGATTTTAAACCTAGGGGCCCATCTTCCTCAAAAACTGAAGTCGCTGGGAATACTCAGCAGGTCAGGCAGCATTTATGAAGAGAGGAAAGTTGACTCACTTTTCTCTCTCCATAGATGCTGTCTGACCTGCTGAGTGTTCCCAGCGACTTCTGTTTTTGTTTCAGATTTCTAGCATCTGCAGTATTTTGCGTTTTGCCCATCTGCCTGATCAGGTGGATGTAAAGGATCCCATGCTGCTATTCAAAAGGTGGAGAGAATTTCTCCTGGTGTCCTGATAAAACTGGTCATTCACTTTCTGGCTGTGTGTGGGGCATGGCTGGGCGCACAATGCCTGCTTTGTTTGCCCATAAAATGGTCATACACTTTACAGTAATTCCTGTGAAGTGCTTTGAGACATCCTCTGGATGTGAAAAGCGTATCAAATGCAAGGTTTATTTTTTACAAAACCTTATTCCTGATCCTACACAAAGGAAGTGTGAGCGAGTGGCTCAGACCTCGAGGTTAACTCCTACATTCCACAAAAGGTTTGTAGTAATACACTTGACTGCGCCTTGGGACGTCCTCCCGACCTGAAAGGCGCTATACAAATGTAATTAGTTGTTGTTGAATGGAGCAGAGAGCTAGTTGGTGTTGGAGAGATCAGGAGATAAATTTGTCTTCTCCTTCTAGATAAGGAACTTGACCGGGTTATGATTGGAAAGATCTCCTTCAATCCTAAGGAGGTGCTCGGTCACGGAGCAGAAGGCACCTTTGTGTTCAGGTAAGCCAGATGCTGCAAGCCAGAATTAATTGAAGGAATGGCAAAGAAAGCGTTTGCCACGATAACCTGACTGGCTGTTTTGTTGACCCAGAGGCTGCTTTGATGACCGTAATGTTGCAGTGAAAAGAATCCTCCCCGAGTGCTTCAACTTTGCCGAACGCGAGGTTCAGCTCCTTCGCGAGTCCGACGAGCACCCCAACGTCATCCGCTATTTCTGCACCGAGAAGGACAAGCAGTTCTACTACATTGCCATTGAGCTGTGTGCTGCCACACTGCAAGAGGTGAGGTCTTCAGTCAAGCATTTCCCCTCTATGTTCAAGACCCTCACACTCGGGTTCAAACCCCTTCACTCCCTGGCACCTCCCTACCTCTCCAACCTCCTCACTCCCCAATCCACCACCCAGCGCCTCCGTTTGCCTGGCACTCGCCTTCTGCTCCACCATTGGAGATCGCGCATTCAGCCTCTACGCCCCGAAACTCTGGAACACTCTTCCTCAATCCCTCAGCCTTTCCCCCTCTCTCCCCTTCTTCAAGTCCCACCTGAAAACCTTCCTTTTCAACCGTCCCCAAAAAATTGGTTACTGAATCCACATTTGTGGGACACTGTTGTGCACAATTGGCTGTCGACCTGACAAAATGCGTCTCTGACAGTTGGTTTCAGCTCCTCCATAGTCTCATATCACTATTTTGTAACAGGGGGTAAGAGCACTTGTGGACACCCTGTACATAAATGTAAATTGTTGGTATATCTGAGCCGTGTCTTGAAGAGCAGTTGTTTGTGATGGGACTGAATTCTTTTGTTGGATCAGTGGCAAGACTAATGTTTGCTGTATCAATTCACCTGTAGTACGTGGAAGGCCCAAGGCTCGACCATCTTAACCTGGATCCAGTGATCATGCTCTTTCAGGCCATGTCTGGCCTTGCTCATCTGCATTCACTTAACATTGGTAAGAAGTCTCTTGTATTTATTGGTGTAATATGTAGCCGGTCACACACTAGAACAAGCCAGGATTTTCAACATGTATTATTGTACGTTACAAACAGTGAATGGTCCTGAAGTTAATCCTAACTCCTGATTTTCCCACCTCCCCCCACACCTCCCAATATCTAATTCATTCTCTTGAACCTCAGTTATTCACCATATAAATGGGGCAAGGGTCTCTGTCTTTGATTTCTACATTTCTTTGTCATTTGAATCTATATCAGAGTCAGGATGCAGAAATGAATGAGCAGTTTTGTAAACATCTTTGCACGAGAGGTGGGCTGAGTGGGAAGGGAGGCTTCTGTTTGTCAGATCAAATCTTACATTTTTTGTAGTGATCTTGATATGAGTGTAACTTTGTGGTCTCTGTCTGGATTCCAGTCCATCGTGACTTGAAGCCTCGCAACATCCTACTCTCCCTACCCAACTCTCATGGCAACATCAGGGTTGTTATCTCAGACTTTGGTCTGTGCAAGAAGCTGTCTGTGGGTCGGCACAGCTTCAGCCTGCGCTCCGGGATACCAGGCACCGAGGGCTGGATTGCGCCAGAGGTCTTGCAAGAGGAGCCAAAGGACAGGCCCGTGAGTGACACCACTTGTAATTAAATAATATTAATAATGTTTGCATTTGATATAGCACCTTATAATGTTGGCTTAGTTTCCTGGATATTTCTTAGCTGCGCATTGATTTTCTTGCAGTTTGTGCTTCGGGCAGTGGGTGACTTGGGGCCAGGCCTCCTGTGGTGGGGAGCCTACTTGTGATTTAGACTGGAATGTCCTAACCTGTGTAGCCACCTTAGCCTCAGTTGGAAACGTGGCTCCTAAGGTTTGTGCACGAGTCAATGCAGAGCCCTGCTCCTCTCAGCCTCACTTATGATTGTTCACGTGGGGGAATGGTGTTGCTCCAATGTATGTGTTATCCTCCAGGACTGTTTATAAGCTGCACATGGAGACTGGGGTAAATCAGGCAGACGTGGGTCTCCACATGGGAAACTGTTTGATTATTATTGTAGCACCCTGTGTACTGGGAGCCTCCCGCTTGATGGGGAGGGAAGTACGGTGTGTGAGCCAGTGTTTATTCTTACATTTGGCTAAAGACTGACTGACATCAGAGGCTTTGGAGAATGGAAGGAGCTACACATTGCTGTAGCTTGTACTAAAGTACTCTAAACAACGTATTGTTATTCACCCCACAGACCTTTGCCATAGACATTTTCTCAGCCGGCTGCGTCTTCTATTATGTTGTTTCGAAAGGGAAACATCCTTTCAGTGACACACTCCATCGCCAGAGCAACATCCTCCTGGGCACGTACTGTTTGGACCATTTCAAGGAGGAGAACCATGGTAAGGAACCGTCAAGCTTAGCTCTTGGCTTCAGCTTATCAAACAATCACTTCACATCTAAGCCAGTTACTTCTTTTGTGTCATCCTCACTCATGCTCATGGGATACAATGCTCACACCTTCCTTAAGATCTGAACCTCTCCAATCAACTATTTCTATTTGATCATCTGGGTGTTTATTAGCCAGAATTTTTGCTTTGATTTTGAGAATTGTCACACGTACTCGCTCGCCTGCTCCTGAGCAATTGAACACATTGAACTGGTTGTGATGCAGGGAGCATCCATATTGGTTGGGTTGGGTTTCTTTTATATCTATGTGTGCTGAATGCATGTTTTAAAGAGCAGTTTCAGTAAGACTTGCAAACTCCTTTCCAATGCAATGGACGGCTGGAGCAGGGCAGAGGGGGATTGAAGAATATTAAATAACCGCGGTGTTGGTTTTGTATTTCCAGAGAACGTTGTGGGGAAAGACCTGATTGAACAAATGATCAGTGGTGATCCACAGCAGCGACCCTCCGCCCAGCACGTCCTCAAACACCCTTTCTTCTGGAGGAGAGAAAAACAGCTGCAGTTCTTCCAGGTACTGTTTCCTACCTGTGCTCTGAGATCCGTGGAAAGGGGAGTGAATTGATTAGAATGTGGCTGACAAGCTTGGCTCGATGCACTCACACCTCTGAGGCGGAGGGCTGTGGGCTCAAGCTCTAGGTCAGGGAAACTTCCAACTGACATTCAGCAAAGAACTGATTCGGGCCTTAGTCTGTTCAAGTCTGGACCTTGTGTAAGTCACCATGTTGGGCTTGAACCCACACCTTTTGCCGTAAAGCCAAACATGCAACTAGTTGAGCTAAACTGACATAAAATACAACACAAAATTACATTTGCACGGCGCCTTTCACGTTGGGAGGATGTCCCAAGGCGCTGGATGGTCAAGGATTTGGACCTGATCTGGGGTTTGGGTTCAGGTGGAGGGCAGGGAGGGTAGGAGGGTGGCAGAAGGCACAGTAGAAGAGGAGGGACTTGAGACGTGCCGTGAAGGAGACAAAGGAGGGTAGTGAGATGATGTGGGATGGAGTTCCAGAGAGTGGGGGCAGAGACGTTGAAGGCCCAACGAAGGGGTGGGCTGGGCGGGGGTTGTGGAGCAGGCCGGAGCCTGCTGAGTAGAGGGAGTGGACGTGGTACGTCATGGTGAAAAGTCATGTTGTCTTCTAACCAGGACGTGAGTGATCGAATCGAGAAGGAGCCAGCAGAAGGGCCCATCGTGTTCAGGCTGGAGTCCCGTGGAAGAACGGTGGTGAGAACAAACTGGAGGATGCACATCTCTAGCCCTCTGCAAATGGGTCAGTCCCTGGGTGAGGGGGAGGGATGGGTGTCTCACTCATATCATTAACCGGAGAAGATGTTGTTTGACATCAATGGGAAAAGCTGTCCTTTACACTTCCCTTTGTTTTTCCTAAGACTTGAGAAAGTATCGGACTTACAAGGGAAACTCTGTGCGAGACCTTCTGCGAGCCATGAGGAATAAGGTAAGAAAATAGGTGTTGATTCTTTCAAAACCAAATTTGATAGATTTCTGTTAGGAAATGATATCTTGAGATACAGTATATAGTTTGGGACAAGACAGATGCGTGTGACTGCCAGAATAATGAAAAATGAACTGGATGGACCTTGGTTTTCTCTCGTCTAGCAATTCTTATGTTCATAGTACTGACTGCACTCCTGCCATCTCAGTCTTTGGCGTTTTAAGGCAGAACTGTCTTAACAGCATACGGGATACAGGAGGGAAGAGAGGGGGTCGTCACAGCTAAGTCTGGTCCTGTGCTCACCCAACTTCAGACAACTCCTGTCCCTGCTGCCTCAGCACAGGCAAGGGATCAGAGTGGACTCTGGTGTCACTTGGCCATCAGCAAGGTTGGACACCGACATGCCATGGCCGTGGCTTACATAGGAACAAGAGTAGACTTTAGGTTGAGCTGTCGCTTTGTTTACAATAAGCCTTGAGTTTGACAGTGTTTATAATGTCAAAACATGTCTAAGCTCTTCACAGGTGCTGCCAAATACAGGGACTGTGTGTTTGTAGCCAGGTGTAGTGACTGTTGGTAGCGAAAATACTATAGGCATTTTGCATGTGCGAACACGCACACATGAAGTGAGTGACCAGTGTAGCTGGCTGTTTCTTCAGGAGAATGTGCTAAGTCTGACGTGCACGTGAATCGATTTCTCTGCAGAAACACCACTACCACGAGCTGCCCCCAGAGGTGCAGGAAACCCTGGGCGAGGTCCCCGACCAGTTTGTGCTGTACTTCACATCCCGCTTTCCTAACCTGCTGCTTCACACACACTCAGCCTTGCGAATCTGCAGCCACGAGCGGCCCTTTCACCCCTATTACCACCAGTCCTCTGGAGACTGCATGCAATGATCTGCCCTGGGGAGTACTGGAACTGTAATGTCTGTGCTTTAATCATCGCGGAACCACGTTCAAGACTTTTTAAGAGCCAGGATGTGGGAAGAAGGTCCAGAGAAGGACATGTGTCTGTTGTGGAACGGTTGAAAAGTGGTCTTAATAGCAGAATGCTTTTACATGGTGTTTGGTTCACAGAACACCCCTGATCAGTGCACCAGTGCACGTCCCCTTATTCATATCAGGACATGAAGTGGGAATTAATGTCAGTGAAAAACGTCATTGTACTGATGTGTGCAATGTAACCCATGCTCACAATGTTTACTTAAAAAGCGCACACTGGAGAGAGGTGATCAGGTAAGTACATAATGTATCGAGAGAGAAGGACACATACACACATGTTTTCTGTAAGGTTTTCATATCCACAATGGGGGCTGGTCCCAGTTAGTGTGGATATCAGGCACTCGCTCGTGTTGAAATCTGGGTTGCTCCAATGAATCTGCTGACACAATCTACTCCACCCCATGAGTGCTAACTGGGTTCCTGCTGCAGGCTTTAGCTTCAAGTGCAAAGATATGATGATGATCATCATCAGTAGGGAAAACAATAGTGACCAAAGGATAGTCAACTTTGTTCTGCCCAATGGGTTCCAGAGCCGGTTTCTCTGCAGAAAATGCACCCAGGCACACTGCTGAGCAGAGGCAAGCTGCTCAGTCACACAGAGACACAATCATGGCTGGAATCAGGTTATCAGGAAGAGCCATCATTTAAGAAAACTACTGTAGAATGATGAGAGCAAATGGGCTGCTGGATCTTCTCAATGTCAGTCTCACTAAAACCTGTGCCCATTCCAGGACCTCCTAGTGTCTGAGCCAAGGACTGTGTGTTCATACTACAGCCACTGCCCCCTCTTCACCCCAGATTAGCAAAGGCCAACTGTTGTTGGCTGCATGGAGAGGAGGGCAGACGAGCAGGTGAAATGATCTTGTTTACACAGTAATTATGAATGGACAAGTGGAATTTTGTATCCTGCAAACTCTCTGAACGGCCATCAGAGAGAAAAGGATCCTGGAGGCCAAAGCATTAAGATTCCAAAGGAGGTCTTTTTTTTAATAAAATATATTTTTTCAAATGAGGAGAAAATCTTTTTATTACACTTTGGAAAGCAAGAGTAAATGATATTTCTACAGCACCCTTCACATGGGGCAGCGTCTTTGAGCAGGCCAGTGTACGATGGTGAAACCAGCAAGCTGTCTCACATCGGCCTACGACTGACTCATTCGTGCAGGATACATGGGAAGCGACAATGGGAGGAGCAGCCAAGGACATTGCCATTTCAGCCACCGTCTCCCATTTTCAGACAGATGAATTCACATGTATGAGAAATGGTTCAGTGAGTGAAGGGAACTGAGCTCTAAACCTATTGCAGTTTGATCTCTCTCGCTCTCCACTCCACATGAAAGAGGACTGCAGTGCCTAGCATGGTGCAGCCACATTATCCTGGGCACTATTGGGATGTGACTATATCTTCACGTTATCACCAACTCATTTAGGAATTGGAGGACAGAGCCGGTGCCAGCCTGCCTGGTGATCATGTTTCTGGCAGTGATGGTACTGTAGTTCTGGGTGGATGATAGACTAGCAATGATGTTAATGCAATAATTGTAAGTTATAGTGCCAAAGGCTGTGTGAGGAGGGGGTGATCTGGCCTGGGGTTGATGAAGTGGGTGGGGTTAGGTGCAATAAAGGGCTTATAAGGGTTTCTAGAACACTGGAGTGGGTATGAAGTGCATTGGTTTTAATGTGAAGGTAGAGGGCAACTCCTCCCTGGACTGTTTGTTCAGTATAAAGCACGCTCACCACTTGTTACTGCTCTGTGGGGCCTGCGCCTGATGACTGAGAGGTGGAAACAACAGCGTGTTGATCAGTTTATACGGTTTAAAAATGACCTTAACCACAGTTGTGTGTAGTCACTGTTTCCCAACACTCAGCAACAACCTCCCTTCAGACAAGGGCTCACAACCAGGGTAGCACCTGGACACAGAGCTCCTGTACCTGCAGAGCAGCAGTATGCTTACAAACAGGTGGTGGAATGGAGCTTTAGCTGAGATTAATGTACTTGGCCTCCTGCATAGAGCAAAGGTTTAAAACTCTTTCATGTACTTGAATTTATTTAAGTTGTATTTTTTCAGATGCTAACTGTGCTTGTAAATAATGGTGGGGAAATGTTTTTTATTGGAAATCTGAGTGTAAAATACATTACTAAATGATTCCTCGTGCCACATGTCGTCATTTGTTGCAGTTGTCTAATCCACTTGCACTCCGCAGACATAGGGTCAACTTCCATATGTATGCGATGACACCCAACCCTATCTTTCTGCCTCCACCCTCAATTCCAGGACCACTGGTGTCCGACAGACTGCCTGTCAGACATCAAGTCCTGGATGAGGGCAAATGTCCTACAGTTGAATATGAACAAGACTGAGGCTCTCCTGATTGGCTCTCGCCAGCGCCTCTGCACCTCAGGCTCTGGCAGCATCAACCTCCGTTGTTGCACACTACAATTCACCAAGTCAGTCAGGAACCTCGGTGTCTTGTTCGACCCTCAACTGTCTTTTTTNCCCCTACATCCAAGCCATGACCCGCTCTGCATTCTCTCACCTCCATAACATTGCCCGACTCTGCCACTACCTCACCCCTCAGGCCACTGAAACTCTTGTTCATGCCTTCATCACCTCCAGGCTCGACTATGCTTGTCGGCCTTACAATCTTCTCCCTCCACAGGCTACAGATAATCCAGAACTCTGCAGCCCGTGTCCTCTCCCTCACCAAACTCCGTGACACCATCTCCTCCATTCTCACCCGACTCCATTGGCTCCGTATCCTTCAGAGGATCCAGTTCAAGATCCTGGTCCTCATCTACAAAGCCCTCCATGGCCTCGCCCTACCAACCCTCCCGTTCCCTCCGCTCAGCCGGCTCCGGCCTGTTCCACATCCCCCGACCCACCCACCCCACCATTGGCAGGAGAGCCTTCAGCCACTCTGCCCCCAACCTCTGGAATTCCATTCCCCATTCACTCTGCCTCACCTCCTCCAAGTTCCGCCTCAAGACCCTCCTCTTCAACCACGCCATCGGCCATCCCCCCGACCCCAGCTCGGGTCTGAAATTCTGTACACTGTTCAGCGCCTTGGGACGTCCTCCCGACGTAAAAGGCGCTATACAAATGTAATCTTGTTGGGTACAGAGGAGTGGAGGGCAGGGAGGAGTGAAGGCAGTCAAAGAGGGTCTTGAGACAGAATTAGGGTTGAGGGGGCTCCAGAATAGAGTTCCAGAGGGTGGGGGCAGAAAGGCTGACGGCCCTACCACTGATGGTGGGACAGGCAGGGCGGGGGATATGGAACAGGCCAGTGCCCACCAAGCAGAGAGAGGGGGAAGGGCGGTAAAGGGTTAGATCACAGCGGTTGGGAGGAGCAAGACTGTGGAGGGCTTTGAAAGTGAGGACGAGGGTCTTACACTCAATCTGGGAACTGGGGAAGGGAATGAGGCCATCAGTAATTAATACCTGGCACTGTACAGTCACTGCTGCAGTAGATTCCACTCTCCCAAGCCAAGAAAATGATATTTATGAAGATTTTATTTTTAATATAAACAGGAATACATTTTGAAGGAGGCACATTTTTTTTAAAAAAAAGAAATCACCAAATTCAATTGGCCACAAGCAGTGAGATAGAGGTTCAGGAAACAAGCAGAAAAGGGTAAAAAGAAATACAATCTCCAGCTTTGTTAACATCAGATCAGTAACTGGAAGCCAACATGGGTTAAACCCAAACCTTTGTGAGTTTATTCTTGCAAAACTCCACTCACACCAAGGTACCACCAGGCTGCTTTTTCAACCAACATAGTGATGGGAACTAGAGTAGACAAAAGTACCTGCACAACAGCAGCTTCAGGTTACAAAATTCTCAGTTGGAAAGTGTAGAAATAAAGATTATACAAGAGTGTTCATATTCCCCAATTCATCAGGTCAACAAGTGTAAAGAGGTTAACAGAGCACACTGTACAGCAGCCTATATTTACACAGCCCTGCCTGCACACATCATGAGGAGGGTTCAAATATAGACATAGTCTCTCTTCCTTCCCCCTCATCCTCACATAATATCTAAACAAATATTTAGTTCTGCTAATAATTTCAAAATGTTTATTAATACAATTCAACATTACAAAAAAAAGCTTTATGTACATAGGTGAAACCCTCTCTAGTCACTTGTTGCACCCAGCTTAAAGTCAGTAAACAGTTTGTACGGGCTTGCCCAGCACGGCTGACACCCCACCTCACACCGGCACCCTTCCCCGCAGAGATCCCGACTTTGTGGCCATCAGCTTCTCCACCATGCTCCTGGCATATCGCAGCCGGCTGGCCAGCTCCCTGCAGCAGCCGTGCTCCTCGATCAGGCTCATCTTGAAGGTGTGGAACTCCCGCCGCTCGTTGATGTAGGTTACTGCGTTCATCAGCGGGCACAGGATGATCTTAGTGTGATCCTGCGAGAGCATGAAACGCAGCTCAGTAGGAACATAGGAACAGGAGGCCATTCAGCCCCTCGAGCCTGTTCAGCCAATCGATAAGATCATGGCTGATCTGTACCTCAACTCCAATTACCCACCCTGGCCCCATATCCCTTGATACCTTGACCTCACAAATATCTATTCAGCAAATTTACATCAGTGAATCTCTGCTCCCCATTGGGATGAAGCAGGTCTGTCTTCCCTGGCCACTCGGGGAGAACAGTCCTTGGTGCCAACCAGCACCACAGGAGCTTAAAGCAGGGAAAATGAGGGGATAGCATTCTGAAGGTGCAAGAGGTAAATAGGGGATAAACTACTCCCCCCCCCCGCAGTTGGATGAAATTGTGATTTGTTAGGGGAGAGTCTGGGAACAAAGTAATATGGGCAGAGAGACTGAATGATTTAGAAGCGGCAGCGGTGTAGTGGCACAGTGCTGGAAATTGCTATTTATGCGTGTTGTGTTTTAGATGCTCATCAGGAGGCTGCAATGAGGTGACCGGCGCACACTGGATCCCCAGCATCGCATCAGCCCACACTGGATCTAAAAGCCCGGCCAACGACACAGGTACCGTCTATTCAGTTTCTCCACCACATAGAAAAACCCAACATATTGATCATTGCTTCAAAATAATAATAATACTTGTATTTGATACAGCGCTTTTTTATGTCGTTGAAACATCTCAAAGGGTTTCACAGGATATACTGTAAAGTGGAGTGATTGTATTTTGTGGGAGAAACATGGCAGTCAGGTTGCACACAGCAGTGTCCCACAACCATGCTGTGACTGACCAATTTTATTTGGGGGATTGATGGACAGGACAGCGTGAGTGTGTGTGCATGCAAGTGCAAGAGTGTGCGCTCCACAAACCTGGAAGAAGTTGATCTGGACGGTGCCGTTGCTGAGGTGCAGGACGATGGCGCTGCGCGTCCGGAACCAGATGCGGAGAAAGGGCAAGCGAGCCAGCTCGTCTCCTTCCCGCGGAGTGATGTTCGCTCCCGCCTTCAGCAAGTGCTCGCTCATGTAGTTACGGAAATACTTCAGCAAAGTGGCCTAGAGAGAGAGGAGAGAGAGAGCGAGGTGTGAATTATCCTCCCAGAAAATCAATGCCTTCACACCGATTTGCGCTAGATTGTCTCTAATGATTGTAATATTTCTGGGATAAAGTATACCTATGTTTCACAACGTGTCAAGTGACTGCCAGGAAGGCAAACTAAATGCACCTTGGTCTCTTTTGGTCTAGCATTTCCTATGATCCGCAATCCTGCAAGCATACACTCAAGGGGAAAGTGATGTGGGACAAAAACTGAACTTGACTCTGCCACCTGACCGAGGCCATCGGACAAGAATTGTTGCGATGAGCCCTGTGTGGACCAGGATCAGAGGTAGCCGTTGTCTACAGGTACCAACAGCAGCACATGGCAGTCTAATGGGAGGAGGGGTTCACAGCTGAGCTCAATCGCTGGCCCTCATGGGCCCAAGGCGGGGGGGGGGGGGGGAAAGAAGATCAGCCTCTCCATTACCAAACGTAAAACCCATCCTGGCAGCTCAATCCCAAACTTACTGACCTAAACCATCCCAACCCTCGACTCACCTTCTTGCTGAGGCTGGGCGGATAGGAGCGGAAGTTCAGGTAGCTCTCACTCATGTTGCTCTCTATGTACTGAAGACTTTCCCCATCGTTGTACATGATCAACCGAGTGGAGTCGTTGAAGAGAACTCCCACACTGTTGTCACACAGCTGGTAACCTGGAGAGGGGAGACCTGTGTCAGTGCAGTGTTTGCGGAGCGCAGAGCAGGGAGATTAAAACATTGCTAGTCTTTCTCTACACCCCCCCACCATCACCATTTAAATCCAGCCTCAAAAGGATGATGGTGGGGGAGGGGGCAAAGTGGGGGGGAGGGAAAGAGAAAGATTCAAACTCCTGGCAAGTTTCCTCCCTGAAAGATAGCAGATACTCACCCAAACCATACTTGTCAGAGTAGTCCACCCATTTACTGACCCAGAAGATGGGGATGCAGGCAGGATCCTCAGCCTCCTCTGTGAGGGAAAGGGAAACAACATTAGTATCAACAGACCATCCAGGATGCCAGAGCTTAGAGATTTCATCCCAAGAAAGAGTGTGTAGTGACTGCTCCTTCCAGTTCAGTAATATAACAATAATCCTTGCATTGGATACATCGGTGAGACGTCTTTAGAGTATATCCTGTGAAGCGCTTCACAGGATATTCTCTAAAGTAGAGTGACCGTGAAGAAAACCCTGAATGTTGCACTCACTCACAAAACCCACACAAGAGCAACAAGGAGGTCTCCCAGATGGTCAAACCTGATTCCTGTTCCCTGCCTCCTTATTACGCCCCAAGCACTGATCTACTGCGCAGACAGCTACCTCGTGTACGCAATGCCGCGCGCTGAGGAGCGGGAGGTCAGTCTATGCACCTTGGTGGATGACGACCTTCTCCGATGGTTTAGCCATGATGACGCTGTTCAGCTGCTGCATCAGGTCTCCTAAGTAGAAGTCGTTGGGCTCCGTGTCCCTGTACAAAAGAGTCACTGATTCAGTGGATGTTCTGCACCTCACAGGATAAACTGTAAATTTTGTGGGTGTAATGCGGCAGCCAATTGCGCACAGCAGTGTGTAACAAACAGTCATGGATTGAGTGACCACACTCTTCTATGCGTATCTTTTTGAGGGAATGATTACCTCCGGAAAGCGATCTGCCAATCGACTAACAACCGGGTCCTGTGCAATTAAGTGGCGTGAATGTAATAGTCACCTGGCTCCCGCATCATCATCGTCCGGTTTACATGGCCGTTCACTCAGCTGGCCATCTGGGTGGGTTAAAACAATAATAATAATCAGGTCAGCAGTGATCTTAGTGTTCCAACTCAGACAGGTGAGGCAGCACACTGAACCAGGTGTGCAAGTAGTGAACGGTAGCTTTTCCTCTCCCCCCCCCCCCGAACACACACAGACACACACTCACAATACCTTTGTTGAGCTCAGTCAGGGGTTTCCTGATACCAGTGTCAATGCCGCCAGGGGCGAGGGAGAAGCGGGGAGCCATGGTCAGGCAGGTGGTGGGCAGCCGCACAGGGAGGTATCCGCTGGTGAAGAACTCGTCCTCCAGCAGCTCGTGGATGCTGGGCCGGGTGGAGGGGTCCGAGCGCAGCATCTTCTGGATCAGGGTGGCCGCCACCGGGTTTACATGCTGCAAAGAGAGAGAGTGGGTGTCGAGCCTGTCAGTGCCGCAATAACAATCAACAATCTGTAGTTACACAGTTCCCTTCATGAGCGTTAGCGTCTCGGAGCGCTTAACGGTGGTGGAGCATGACTCCAGACCAGGGGGGATGGTGTGTGTGTGTGTGTTTGCGTGTGTGGGTGGGGGGGGCGTGGGGTGGTTATGCGCGAGAGAGAGAGAGAGAGACGTTATATAACCTCATATAACGTCGCAAACATGCTGAGCAGATGGTCTGCCATTTTGTCAATTGCGGCAGACATTTTGTCCAGGGCATCAAATAAATAAATAGACTTAAAATAAAGGCAAAAGAAAAAATTGCCGGGGGCGGCTGTTGGGTACAGAGGGATATTCTGGGTATCCCCCAAAATGCGTGAAGTTCCAATCAGGCTAGCGTTATACACTATCGCCATTTGCTGCCACTTATCAACAGGAAATTGGGGGCGGGGGAGAAAACACCCCCAGAGTCCAAACGTTGGGGGTGCACAATGTACTGGGATGTGTCTAGCACTCGGTCAGAATTACTCACCCCCACACCTAGCCTCTAAGCTGATACTCCAGTGCAGTTGAGGGTGTTGCTGTATTGTCAGATGTGACGTCCTTCAAGCGAGACGTTAAACTGAGACCCTGTTTGCCTGTTCAGGGCTCATCCCACTCATACAGCGTCAGCTCAGAGCTCAGTCACTCACTCACCTTGGGAATACTGTACTCGTTCTTCTTTATCCGCAGGTAAGTCTCCTTCAAACAGGACGTCTCGAATGGAGGTTTGCCCACAAGCAACGTATACCTGCAAGAGGTGTGTTAGGGTGAGGGGTGGAAAATCAGGAGATTTCATTTAATATCCTATTAATTATAATTGTCGTGGGCAATTGGCTGCTGCGTTTCGGCCACAAAACAGTCGATTCTCTTTACGGTATATTCTGTGTACGCTTTGAGATGTCTCAAACATGTGATAAAGCACTATATCAAATGCAAGGATTATTATAACGTACAGAAACCATTAACCCAGTCAGCTTTGCACAGAAGAGATGGCATTCTGATTCCCAGAACTTTCAAAGGTTTTTTAATATAGTGAATGAAGAAGAAATGATCAGTAACTTGCGCCTGTGCTTGCAACATCAACGGGAAAGCTCCCAGCAACACTGAACGAGCGCTCACTCACATGATGCAGCCCAGGGACCACACGTCAACCTCGAAGCTGTGACCTTTCTTGCCGATCACCTCCGGGGCGATATAGTTGGGGGTCCCGCACAGGGTCTTCTTGCGCTCGCCTTCGTACTGCACAGTGGTGGCCAAGCCAAAATCACCTTCAGAGACAGGACACCAGTTAGGGTAGGGTCCTCCAGAGACACAAATGGCTGAGGATGTGGGAAATAGAATGGGGGGGGGGGGGGGGAAGCGTTGACAACACAACTACCTTCCCAGAATATCCCTCTGTACCCAACAGCCACCCCAGGGAACTTATCCCACACTCCAGTGACCCTCAAGCTGTGCAGTTACAGCTGGTTAAGACTCCAGCAGTTAACCCAACACACACTCTGGGGTTCCCCCAATCCATGGGTCTTGCCAACCTGCGCCTAATACTCTCCGGAATTAGGTAAGCAGGATGGGCCTCTCCAGCGAGAGAGAGAGAGAGAGCACATTCCATTCCGACAATCTATCTCCGGGATCTCCATGTGTGGGTGGGATGCATGGAATTCTCAGTTTGGTTTGGAGATTCTTAAGCAACGGTGATGGGTTTTCACATGCATCAATCAGGTCAACATAGGATCAGGTCATTCAGCCCTTTAGCCTGTTCTGCCATTCTAGAAGAATGGCTGATCTGTAACTCAACTCCAATTACCTGCCTTTGCCCCATATCCCTTGATCCTCTGACCTAACAACTATCTATCCTCCTCAGTACAGGAACATAGAAAATCTCATGGAGGCTGTGGGATCACTTTACCTATCTTCACTTCCATCTCGTCGTTGAGGAACAAGTTGCCGAGTTTGAGGTCGCGGTGAATGACATGGTTGCTGTGCAGGTACTGGCCGCCCTGGATGATCTGTCTCAGGTAATAGCGAGCCTCGGGCTCAGTCACTGCCTTCCTCCTCTTGTGCAGTTCCAGCAGAGACTGAAGTCATGGCAGGGAGAAGAAGAGGGGGGAGTTAGTTTTCTGGGGCTGGGCCAGGATCGGGCTCGGGTTGGCGTTGGTGGCCGTGCGCTTTCGTGCTTCAAGACCTTCCTCTTCAACGAGGGTCACCTCCCAAACTCTCTCCCCGGGCTCACCCACCCACTCCCAGCACTCTGGTACACGACCGCGCCTGAGCGCTGTGTAAATAAATGCCAGTCATCGTTGGCGGAAAATCACAGGGGGGCAATTTACACTAAGCGCGGGGTGGGCGGGGGGGGGGGGGGGGGGGGAGAGACGGACGGGGGGGTGGGGACAAAGAGGAGAAATTAATGAGCGGAACACATTAATGGAAGATCTTGCTGGTTGACATTTGCTGGGGAGGGTGGGGGGGGGGGGTGGTGTGTGTGGGGGGGTGTGGTGTGTGTGGGGGGTATGGAGGGGGGTGGTGTGTGTGGGGAGGGATGTGTCTGGGGGTGTGTGTGTCTGGGGGGGGGTGTCTGGTGGGGGGGTGTCTGGGGGGGGGGTGTCTGGGGGAGAACGAGAAGAGGGAGACATTAGGTGAAAGAAAAAGGGGTGGTTATGGGCTGCCACGTTTTGCCCACAAAATACCAGGTGGCGAGACACTTGTCTCAAAAAAAATGGCAAAGAATAAATAATACTGGTAACGTTATTAATATTATTATTAGGGATAGCGTGTGGGGGGGGGGGGGGGGGTGAAGGGGAGGGGAGGGGGGGATTAAGGGGAGGGTATTAGTGTGTGGGTGTGAGTGGCCTAAGAGGAACATTATCGCATCACGATATTCAAACGGTCGCCTATTTAGGGGGAGTGTCCGGTGTCGACCAACCCAGTGAGAGCTGACAACTTTTTAAATATCAACCAACTCGTCGACTCCCTTTAAAAAGGGGATTTACGCCCCTTACCCCCTCCCCCCCTCCACCCCCCCCCCCCCCACCCCGGGGTTTGTTACAGTTGGTTCCACGGTTGGAACGCAGGGAGGGAGGGGGTGAGGGAGGGGGTCAGACACACACACACACACAGAGGGCCACATCATTATACACATTAACAGCCGCGTTCCTTTCTTTGTGCTGTCGGGACCCGCGTTTGAAACGGTCGCTCTCGGGGTTGAGGCAGGGAATTTGGAAGCGGGTACACGAAACCGCCAACAACCCATCTCACCCTCACCCCCACCCTCAGCCCTGCCTCCCCCTCCACCCTCACCCCCAGCCCTGCCTCCCCCCCACCCTCCCCCTCACCCCCAGCCCTGCCTCCCCCCGCACCCTCACCTCCAGTCCTGCCTCCCCCCGCACCCTCACCCCCAGCCCTGCCTCCCCCCGCACCCTCACCCCCACCCCTGCCTCTCCCCCCCACCCCTGCCTCCCCCCCACCCTCACCTCCAGTCCTGCCTCCCCCCGCACCCTCACCCCCACCCTGCCTCCCCCCCCACCCCTGCCTCCCCCCCGCACCCTCACCTCCAGTCCTGCCTCCCCCCCCACCCTCACCCCCACCCTGCTCCCCCCCACCCTCACCCCAGCCATGCCTCCCCCCACACCCTCAGCTCTGCTTCCCCCATCCCAAGCGCTGCCTCCCCCCCCACCCTGACCCCCCAGCCCTGCCTCCCCCCACCCTGACCCCCAGCCCTGCCTCACCACCCTCCACCCCCCCCCTCAGCCCTCCTCATCCCCTTTCACCCTCATCCGCACTCACCCGTCTCCTGCACAGCTCCAGCACCACATACACAAAGTCATCGTCCTCGAAGAAGCCATGGAAGCCCACCACGTTGCTGTGGTTCAGGCTCTTGTGGATGGAGATCTCCAAGGACATCTTCTCCTTCTGGTGAGGCTTCATGAGCAGCGACTTGGACACGATCTTCCCGGCGAACACCTCCTTCGTGTTCATGTCCGTGATCTCGTAGCATTTGGCGAAACCGCCTTTGCCCAAGAAGCGACCCCTCAGGTAGCGCCTCCGGCACTTGGGGTCGATCAGGATGTCGGGGATCTCTTTAACCGGGGCCGGTTGGGCGGGGACCGCTTTGGGAGCTCCCGGTTTGCCGGGGACGGAGGTCATTTTTTTTTTTTTTTGGGGGGGGGTGGGGGCTGGTGTTGGTGGGTGGGTTGGGGGAGAGGGCGGATGGGGAGAAAAATAAAACGGGTGACTTTTCCGGGTTGTAAAGGGAGTGGGGCGGCGGGGGGGGGGGGGGGAGGCGGGGGGTGTTGAGGGTCGGTGACCGATTAAAATACCGGCTCTGGAGTCTGTGCTGCCGGACACACGGCGCTGCGGGCGGCTGATCGTGCGGGAAATGATTGCAAGTGTCCGACCGGCGCCTCTCTCGGTGTCTGTCTGTCTGTCTCTCTCTCAGTGTCTCCCTCTCCGTGTGGCTCTGGATTCAAATCTGGAGCGCTGTCGGTTAGTCAGTCCGGAGCCGCTTCTGATTGGCCGATTCCGTTTAAATAGAAGCCGAGGGCGGTGCCTAGCGACGGCGCCTGAGCGACAGCTCCGCCAGCCAATCATTGTGCGGCGGCGACGGACTGGCGGACCCACGAGCCAATCAGAGACCGGGGAGTCCGCGGCTCGTCCCGCCTTCACGCTATCGTCCCGGCAACGCGGCCGTGGGCGGTGACCAAAGGGGCCGACGCTTCCGGGTTGTCTGCCGCGGAGAGTGTGTTCACACTGAGAGAAGGTCGGGTCCGGGTCTCGGTCTCGGTCTCGCTGAGCAGCACTGAGCCTGGGTCCGGTGGTTCATTCACACACACACAGACCTTACCCTCCCAAAGGCACGTGTCACAAGGGGATCTCTTCGATCTTTTATCCCATATTATTAATATTATTATTCCCATATAAACTACACTCACTCCTGTTAGTGGGAAACAAGAGTGTGGGGGTGGTTGGGAAATTGGTTAAAGAAACAGGAATAGGCCATTCAGCCCCTCGAGCCTGTTCTGCCATTTTATAAGATCATGGCTGGTCTGCACTTAAGATCCAGTTACTAACCCTTTGCCGCGTATCCCTTGATATCGTGACCCGACCAACATCCATCTAACCTTAGTCTTGAGGATGTGAACGGCTCCAGCCATAATCCACAGCCTTTCGGGGGAGAGAGTTCCAGATTTCCACTACCCTCTGGGAGAAAAACTGCCCCTGTTTTCACTCCTAAATGGCCTGGCTCTAGTTTTAAGGCTATGCCCCTTGTTCTGGATACCCCACCAGAGGAAATAGTTTCTCAGTCGCTACCCTATCAAATCTCTTTATTATTTTAGACATTTCAATCGGATCAGACTCAACCTTCCAGACGCAAGGGAATAGAGACCAAGTTAATGCAACCTGTACTCCTAGCTCAACCTGTTAAGCCCCGGTATAATTCTGATGAACCTGCACTGCACGCCCTCCAGAGCCAATTAGGCCTTTTTGATAACGTGTTGTACCTGTTGTACCTGTGAGGAGCAAAAATCCCTTTGCTCCTCCACAGTTCTTAGTTTCTCCTCATTTAGAAAATATTCTGGTCACTCAATCCCCCAAAGTTTGTGGGACACTACTGTGTGCACAGTCACTACACTTTACAACGTATCCTGTAAAGTGCTGTGAGACGCCTTGAAGATATGATAAGGCGCTATATCAAATGCAAGGATGATGATTATTATTATCTTATAGGACCTCATCCCCAGAAATGGGCTTAACCCCCACATGTATGTGGATAACATCCAAATCGTACACTCTGGGGTCTCCAAGCCTTGGTTCTCACCAACCTGCACCTAATACTTTCCGGAATTAGAATACATGTCCTTCCAGGGAGAGAGTGCATATTCCAGACACGGAAATTGCCGTGTGTAACCAGCATACGTATGTAGAATCCTGTCTAGGTACTCTTAAGCATGTTGATCGGTTTCTGTGCACCCTGGCTGAACAAAGCAAGGACGTCCCAAGGTGCTGGACAGTCAAAGGTTTCCACCTGAGCTGGGGTCTGGAGTCAAGAGAGCTGGAGGGCAGGGAGGGTGGAGGTGGGAAGAAAAACAAAGGTCTGGTCAAAGAGGAAGGTCTTGAGACGGGCCTTAATGAGGCCAGGGAGGGGGCAAGGTAGAGGGGCTCCAGGATAGAGTTTCAGGGGGTGGGAGCAGAGAGGCTGAAGGCCCGATGATGGAGAGGGCAGGATGGGGGCCAGTGAAACAGATATACATAGATTGTATTTATGCGCTTGGAAATTGTTATTCTGGGAGTGGTGGGTGTGAGACGAGTGGGGTTTGAGGCATATGGAGGACGTGTCTCTGAGCGGATGGCAGCTATTTGCAGCCCAGGTAATGAATCAGAGAGGAGCCACTTGCCTTGTACTCGACATTCACACATGTATGCACTGTGTGCGCTTGTCCCTGGCAACAGCAAGGTGAAGAGGTTTGATAACCAGAGCCCGAGAGACATCACCATTATTTATAGTGTCAGCCTAGCTCAGTGGTACCGCTCTCACCTCTGAATCAAAAGCTTGTGGGTTCAAAACCCACCTCGGGACTTGGAATCACACAGTCTAAGCTGATGCTGAAATGCAGCACTGGGGTTGTGTTGTATTGTCGAAGGTGCCATCCTACGGATGAGAAGTTAAACCAAGGTCCCATCTGCCTGTTCAGGTGGACGTTAAAGATCCCGCGGTGCTATTCAAAAAGAGAATAGAGTTTCTCTCTCCCGGGATCCTGGCCAACATTCCCGCCAAATAAAAAAATGTGGTCTCTCACTCCAAAACTGTTTGTGGGAATACTGCTGTGCGCAATTGGCTGCTGTGTTTCACCCACAAAATGTCACTCCACTTTACAGTATATCCCTGTGAAGTGCTTTGAGACGTCTCAACAAAGTGATAAGGACCTGTATCAAATACAAGGATTTGATAATAATAAGATAATAAGATAATAAGATTATTATCTGTTTGCACTTGGACCTTGATCACCATAGAAAAGATAGAGATCTACAGCACAGGAGGCCATTCATCCCATTGTGTCTGCTGCGTTGTTTAAAGAGCAATCCTCTCAGTCCCATTTACCTGGCCTTTCCCCTCACACCCCTATTGTTCACTCCTTTTCAAATATCTGCCTCGTTCCCTAGTGAAGGCTTATGCTGTTTGCCCCAACCACCACCACTGCGATCATGGCAATGCCATCAAAGAGTTTCCAGTTGAAGTTTAATTAAAGCCACGCTGTCAGCACCTCCATACGAGCAGCCTGGCAGCGAGCTAGATATACTGGAGAGCCCGGCCACTGGTGCTCACCACAACTCCTGCTCACACCTTGCACTGGGCACCTCACACTGGGCACACCAGGGAAACGGAATCATCCACACCTGTCTGTTGCTGTACGACTTGTGTGTGTGCCCCACCCTACCTCTGCAATCTCCTAACCCCCTACCAAACCGCCTGTTCCCTCCGCTCAGCCAGCTCTGGCCTGCTCCATGTCCCCCGAGCCACCCGCCCCATCATTGGCGGAAGAGCCTTCAACAACTTTGCCCCCAACCCCCTGGAATTCTAACCCCCAGTCACTCTGCCTCACCCCCTCCTTAGCCTCCTTCAAGTCCCGCTTGAAGACCCTCCTCTTTGACCATGCCATCAGCCACCCCCCTTCCCCTCCCCTCCCTCCTCCCCCTCTGACCCCAGCTCGGGTCTGAAATGCTGTACTCTGTCCAGCGCCTTGGGATGTCCTCCCGATATGAAAGGCGCTATACAAATGTAATCTTGTTGTTTTTGTGTCTGTGGTGTGAGTGAGTGTGGATATGTGTGTTTGTCAGTGGTGTGTTTGAGTGTGTGTGAGAGTGTCTGTGTTGTGTGTGAGTGTGGTGTGTGTGAGTGAGGGTCTGTGGTGTTAGTTAGTGTGCACTGGGAGCTCAGCAGCTCTGAGAGCCTGCCTTGTCATCTGCACTTGCCTCGGAGAGCTGACAGCCACATACACACTTAATAATAATCTTTCATTTGATATAGCCTCTTATCACATCATTGAGACATCTCATCACTGACCACTAAGCTACGGAACTCAACTTGGACATTTGAAATCTTGCTCAGTTCTTCATCAGTTTGATGAGAAATGGGTGTGACCAGCTGAGACAAGGTGAAATTTCATGTCTCTGTTGTCTAGATTTGGTCTTGGAATAATTATAAACTCCAGCACCCCCCCTCGCCCCGTTGCTATGCAGATGGCAAACAAACCCACTGAACAGCTTCAGTCAATATTCAAAGTCCGTCTGAGATCTACATTTTATGATATGCTGGGTCAGAGAGACACACACACACACAGCCCCGCTCTGTGCTGAGTGGCTGATCTCAAACAAGGTAAAATTCAGATCTACAATTAACTGACCTCAATTCCCGATGTGGAGATTAACTCTACTTTTGAACCTAGAGGCAAGCTCCCTGTGACTGAGTCAGGCTACCACAGCACTGAAACCCAACCCACAAGAGTAATGATACTGAGAAATCACATACACATTAAACTGCCAGTTTATTGCTGCCTCTACATATTTTGTTGGCTTAAGAGAAAGCATGGACATTCATGTCAATGCAACATTTTGATATGAATGACAAAGAAAGATCTTGGTCTTGTAGAGTGCCCCGTCACATCCAGAGTTCTCAAAGTGTTTCAAAGGTATTTTCGGTCAGGTATCGTGACCATTTTATTGCAATACAGCTCACAATACCACAAGTCAAAATACAATCCTCTTTTAAATTCTACAGCACATTTGCCAGGTTTAAGGACTTTCAGTGGAAACGTAAACATTACTTTACAAGTGAATAATAATAATAATAATCCTTGGACCTTACCACACCATTGAGATGTCTCAAAGCGCTTCACAGAATATACTGTAAAGTGCAGTGTCTGTGTACTTTGTGGACAAAACGCAGCAGCACACAGCAGTGTCCCACAAACAGCCATGGAATGAACAACCAATTTTATTTGAGGGATTGTTGGCCAGGACACCGGAAGAGAGAGAGAGAGAGAAACTCTCTTCTCTTTTCCAATTGCACTGCGGGGTCTTTAATGTCCACCTGAACAGGGAGATGGGACTTCGGTTTAACAGCTCATCCGAACATTCTCAGATAAAACCGAGTTACATACATTCCTTCATTGTCCAATCTGGAGAAAATCATTCAACAAACTGTCCCGACTTTGGTCATTGGGTTTGGGGCTAGGAGATGGCACAACTGTGGCTCTTGCTGCCGATGGGTCTGGGCTGGCTCTCCCTGGGGAAGGTGTCTCTCCTGCGGTCTAGGGTAGACCTCAGCATGCTGGGCAGCTGGACCTGCAGTAGGAGCTCCTTGAAGAGGGTCAACACATTGTGGTTGTGTTTGGCTGAAGTCTCCAGGAAACTACAACCCCAGTCCAACTGCACCATGGCCGCTATCATGTCCTGTGCCGAGCCTAGTCTGTCCTGGGCCAAGTCTGCCTTGTTAGCCACTACCACCATCGGTGTGCTGGGCTGGTCCTGCTTCACCGCTAGGATCTGCTCCCGTAGTCGCTTGATCTCCTCGAACGATTCGGGCTCCTCGGCAGAGTATACCAGGGCAAAGACATCGCCATGGCGGATGCAGAGTTGGCGCATGGCTGGGAAGGAGTAACTGCCGCTGGTGTCCATGATCTCCACCCAGCCCTGGGAGCTGTCAGTCTGGCACTGCAGGCAGTGCAGCTCCTCCACCGTCCGCCTGTGTCTGGGGTCGAACGTGTTCCCCAGGAAGCGCTGCACGAGTGCCGTCTTGCCCACACCAGCGGATCCCAGGAACACCAGGCGCACCCTCTGCTTCTCAACCACCATAGACATTGCCAGTGAGTGACAGCTGCTGTCTGTGCTCCAGCCGCCCTGCTCCTGCTCCTTATATCCTCACCGAGCTCCCCGCCCCGCCCTCTCCCCGCCCACCCCCCCAGCCTGGCCAATCCACACACGTTTCCACTCTCTCCCCGCCCACCCTCCCTGTCTGGCCAATCCACACTCACGTTCCCACTCTCCCCGCCCACCCTCCCAGCCTGGCCAATCAGCGACAGCCGTGGGTTAAAGGGACAGTGTGACAATGTCTCTGCGCTACACTCGCCCTTCGGTCTGTTTCTGTGTATGTGTCTGTCAGTGAGGACCTCAGCGCTGACACTGAGCTCAGCAGCTACAGCGTGAGTTAGAGACACAGTAAGGCTCCCTCTACACTGTGTGTCCACACTCCCAGGTCAGGGTTAGACACAGTAAAGCTCCTCTACACTGTGTGTCCACACTCCCAGGTCAGGGTTACAGACACAGTAAAGCCCCTCCACACTGTCCGCCTGCACTCCAAAGTTAACTTGTCTGGGTCTCTCATTCAGTCTCCACATTGCACTTTTTCTGTGTTCTTTGCTGAACCCGTGTTTGTGTCTCTCCAGCCTGTCTGACTCTGGATAAAACCTCTGGCTTGAATGTGACTGAATGGCTGATGGCTGAACAACAGGTACATTTGAGTTACTAATTACTATTTAATTTTTTCTCCTCAATCACTGAACAAAGCCTCACCTACAAGCCTGTTTGTAGGACAGTGCTGTGCCTAATTGGCTGCCACGTTTTGCCCTCAAAGTGTACAGGCACTACCCTTTACAGTATATCCTGTGAAGCGCTTTGAGACACCTTGAAGATATGATAAGGTGCCATGTCAAATACAAAGATTATTATTATAAACAAGGATTTGTCCTTGGGTACAGGTGAGGACAGAGTTGGGTTGATCCTGTGCATTGTGATTAAAAAATCATGTTTTTCCACCCAGCCAAAGATTCCAGATTGATTTTTTCCCCCTGATTGATGATCCTGGGAAGATTGATGATCCAGGTGGCTGCTCCCTCTCCCAGTTGTTCTCTTCCTGAGAGGCTGTAATTGTACGTTCTGTTCTGTACGAACACTCACTCGGCACCAAGGCTTCCTGTCCTGAGCTGTTTCTGTACTGTCCTGAAATCAGCCATCAATAATCATCTATTTGTTCTCACTGTCCACACAGAGAAACAGTACTAACACACACACTGTATCCGGGAGTGAATCATTCCTTGTTATTGGTGTGCCCTGTACTTACAGGAGCTGGGACTCACACACATGCACAGAATCCCACTCCATAATAATATAATCATCCTTTCCTTTGATAAAGTGCATTGTTGAAATGTCTCAGAGCTTCACAGAATATATTGGAAAGTGGATTGACTGTGTGTTCCGTGGGTGAAACGTGGCTCAGTGGTTAGAGCACTCGCCTCACAAGCAAGGACCCGGGTTCAATTCCTGGGCAGGGCAAAATGTTAGGCAAGTTTCCTTACTCCACACGCCTCGGTTTACTTAGCAGTAAGTAGGAACCCGGTTGTTAGTTGATCGGCAGATCACTTTATACAGTTACTACACTTTACAGTATATTCCATGAAGCCTTTGAGACATCTCAAAGACGTGATAAGCCACTGTATCAACAACTTGCATTTAAGGAGCACTATATCAAATGCTATATCAAAGGATTATTATTATTGGACAAGTATTAAAGCAGGTGTTTGTTAATGAAACCTCTGGTTTGTTTGTGAGATGTCAGCTGTGGGTAACACTAATGGAGGTTAATGGATTGCAAGGCCGAGTTTGTTTATTGCTGCACAATAATATCCTGTTGGCAGGGACGGCTCAGTGCCTCAGTAATTCGTGCTGGTTATGTGATGCTGCTTAATTAGATTCAAGCACCAGTGACTGATTTCCATCCCAATGAAGTGAAAGGGGAGTTTTGAGTGTGAGGTCAGCTCTGGGCTGCATGAGGGGTGTATGTTCCCTTTGACCCTGTGGGGGTGGGGGGAGGACATTGAGAGCGAAGCTACCCTTTGATCGTTCCTCATGTGTGAGACCTTGCTGTGCACACGCTGGCTGCTGCATTTGCACACGAAAACAGTCACTACACTTGACTGTAAATCCCGGTTAACAAATCACATTTACACTGCGCATTTCACATCAGAACATTCCAAGGTGCTGGTCAAACATCTTGAGATGGGCCTTGAAGTAGACAAGGGAGGGGGTGAGGCAGAGGGGTTCTGGGATGGTGTTGTGGGGGCAATTGTAGCCTTGAGAGATCATTGACTGCACACCTCTCTCTAAGCACAAAATGTACTTAGCATGAAAACAAGAGGCAGAAAGTGCTGAATATTTATTGTGTTCACCACATAAAATTCATTCTGTCACATGGCTGATGTTACATTACATGATCAGTGTCTCTGCCCCCCCACCCACCTGACACAGATCTCCTGAGACAGCTGAGCCCCTGGGAAGTGGAGGCAGAGACCAATGTTTTATACTAATAAATAAGTGTCCCTGTAAGTGCTACAGAAGCCAACGGGAGCCATGATGGCAGTTTATAAAGTCAGAACATTGTGGTTGGTACAGAACAGCACAGGAGTGACAAGGAAATGATTAATATGGAATGTTCAACAGGCAACGCACCAGGACCCATAGAGAGAGAGAGAGAGAGACAGACACACACACTGCACATGTGAGCGAGAGAGAGACTCACACTAGAGAGGGCACTGAGAATGAGGGGTGGGGAGAAAGAGTGATAGAGATAGTGGGGAGCGAGAGTGAGCGAGGGCCTTGAGACGTGGATGACGTTCTCTCTGCTGTCAGGAGCTGTTCGTGCTGTAAAGGCTGGGGAGAGGCGCCATCGTGGCTCGGTGTGGGGGGGGCGGGGGTCGACAATGTCCGCTCCAGCCTCGCCCACCCACCACCCCCCTCCACGCTTGGCACGGGCCCTGCCTCACCTCCAGGTTCAGGGGCAATTTGATTCTGCAACAAAATGTTTCAAACAGTTACTACAATGAGAATATTCCCCCCCCCATCCCCAGGCGAGTTATAGAAACATAGAAACAGGAGGCCATTCAGCCCCTCGAGCCTGTTCCGCCATTCTATAAGATCATGGCTGATCTGTATTTCAACTCCAATTACCCACCTTTGCCCCGTATCCCTTGATCCCGATCTAACAAATATCAATCCACCTCAGTCTTGAAAATGTGAATTGAATCAACCGTAATCCACAGCCTTTTGTGGGAGAGAGTTCCAGATTCCCACTGCCCTACAGTTACAAACTGGAAACTAATCTCGGGGATGGAGGAGGGGAGTGGGCGGTAGTGAGTTTAATGCTCCACTTGAGGGGGTCAGGAGAGGATTTTGGGGCAGCGCTGACCCTGCCCCACCCCGTACCTGCTGACCTCGCCCCCAGCCATCAGATCTGGGAGAGTGGCAGGAACTTCTGGTAGTAACTCTTAGTGACGTCAATCATCAGCTCCTGTGTGCACTCCGGGAGCTCGCCAGCAAACAGCCCTGTAACAGAGAGAGCGGACCGTCTCATACACACACACACAAACACACACACACACACACACACAGCAGCCCGTCACACACATGCACAACAGCCCGTCACACACACGCACAGAAGCTCGTCACACACACACACAAACACACACACACGCACAGCAGCCCGTCACACACACACACAAACACACACACACGCACAGCAGCCCGTCACACACACGCACAGCAGCCCGTCACACACACACACAAACACACACACACGCACAGCAGCCCGTCACACACACGCACAGCAGCCCGTCACACACACGCACAGCAGCCCGTCACACACACGCACAGCAGCCCGTCACACACACGCACAGCAGCCCGTCACACACACGCACAGCAGCCCGTCACACACACGCACAGCAGCCCGTCACACACACGCACAGCAGCCCGTCTCACACACACACACAAAGCACTTCACACACAACACATATAGCACAGACTGTCACACACACGCGCGCGCACACACACACACACACACACACACACACATGCACAGTCGTCGACCCCCTCCCCCCATTGGGTGATAAAGAGTGGCAGTGCTGAGTCAAGCAGCGGCTGATGGCAAACTCTCACCTGGGCAGCCAGAGAAGATGGTGAAAGGTGGCACCACGGTCTCCGGGGGCAGCACAGTGTTTGCCAGGATTTTACAGCAATCCTTCAAAACACATCTTCGACCCTGAGAGAGAAAATCATGTCAGAGAAAGAGAGAGAGAGAGAGAACTAGAACAGGAGACAAGAGAGTTGATGGATCCCTTGAAATTGCACACACTGCGCTGCCGCCCCTCCACCCCAGCCTTATTGATAAGAAAGAAGTTCTCGAAGACGGATAACGAGAGTAAACACCTCCGCCACACAGTCACTGCTTGTGACCCTCCCACCCCCACCCCATGGCGGCAGCTGACTTACGATCACGCAGTTCTTGCCGATGTGAACGTAGGAGCCGATTTGGGCGGCGTTGACCACACAATCTTCCTCGATGAACACGTGGTCCCCGATGTGCAGTGGGAAGAAGGCGACTCTGTGACACACACAGAGAACAGGCAGAGCCAGGGTTACACCAGACCTCACACACACACACACACACACAACACTCACTGAACTCAACAGTAACAACAACAACTTGGATTTATACAGTGCCCTCCACGCCGGGCGGCGTCTCCGAGCGCTTCACAGTAACGGATCCCGGGGCCGAGCCAGGGGGAGGGGGAGGAAGGTGACCAAAGGCGCAGTCGAAAAGAAAGGTCTTCAGCCGAGACCTAAAATAAAGGAAGATAGGGGGCGAGGTGAAGGGAGTGAGGAAGGGAGTTCCAGAGCCTCCGGGCGTAGTGGCTGAAAGCACGGCCGTCGAGGGTGGGGCGGAGGACTTGGGGGTCAAAGAGGAGACCAGACCCGGTGGAACAAAGGTAACAGACACTGTTGTGAGGAGAGAGGAGGGGTCAGAGAGGTAGGGGATGCAGAGGAGTGGAGGGATTTGAAGACAAGGGTGAGGAACTTGAAGTCGATCCTCTCTGGGACAGGTTCAGGGGAAGGGGGGTCTGGAAACCCACTATGACCTTCGCTGGAGAGTAAACGTAGGCGACTCCACCTCTCCCACCCCCACACACTGGCTGCTGCGGTTCACCCACAAAATACACATTCACTGCACTTTACTGTATATTTTGTGAAGGGTTTTGAGACGTTTCAATGTTACATTAAATGCAAGGATTATTATTATTATTATTTCCTAATTCCCCCGCCCTCTCCACACTCAAGTCAGGGAGAGTTCGGGGATGTGTTTCATTACACAAACTGGAAGGGGATGGGGACTAGGACACTGGGACTCGTTTAAGAAACACTTGATGCTGTTGGCTGGTCAGGATTGGAAGAGAATGGACTGAAAGTCTCTCGAGATCTCTCACAGCGGTTAGCACACATTATTATCGGTTAGCACACAGTATTATCCACATGAATACACAAGGTCATTGTATTTGAAGACATGGAAACAGCAGGCAGCGGGATGCTGAAAGGACACTGCATCCTCACAACACATCCATTAGCACCTTCCTATCACCCACGTCCTCTCCTCAACCCAAACAAAATACCATATCTCAGGGAACACCATGTTCATATCACAGCAAGACTTTGCCATCAGCATCCTGACTGTCACAAGCTCAGTGTTCTGCTGCTCACTTTAAAGGCAACATATGGTCCCCTTCTCTCTCAAAACAATATTTTCAGATAATAATACTCCTGTTCTCCACCACCAACCGGCTCCTCTGCCCTCCCCGCCACACCTCGCGGATTCTTTCCCCTGAATTTCACTGCAAGAAAATGCTGGACTTGCTCGAGTCCAAAATCAAGGGAATCCGCTCAGCTGCCACTGCCCCTCCAACTTCCACACCCTCCCTATCCCCACCCCACACAATTACCCACCCGACAATTACCCATCCCTCCTTCCACACCTTTGAACCTGTCAACCCCTCCTCTGTCTTCACCACCATAACCTCCACGAAGCCTACCACCTGCTCCCTGGAACCCATCCCCATGGAAACTGCTCTGGGCAAGGTCACAAATGACATCCTGACCATGTGTGACCTGGGCTCCCTCTACCTCCTCGTCCTCTCCGTCGCCTTTGACACCGTGGACCACTCAATCCTCCTCCACTGCCTCTCCAGGTCCTACCTTTCACACCGCCCCCACTTCATCATGGCAAACAGCTTCTCTCCAGTCCCTGCACCGTCTCGTACGGCGTTCCTCAGGGCTTTGTCCTCAGTCCCCTCCTCTTCATCCTCTACATGCTCCCCCTTGGTGATATGGGGTCAATTTCCACATGTATGGGGATGACACCCAACTCTATCTCTCTGCCTCCTCCCTCAACTCCAGGGCTACTGGCGTCCTGACCGACTGCCTGTCCGACATCAAGTCCTGGATGAGGGACAACTTTCTCCAACTCAACGTCAGCAAGACCGAGGCCCTCCTGATTGGCTCGCGCCAGCGCCTCCGCACCTTGGGCGCTGGCAGCATCAGCCTCCACGGTTGCACATTCAACCTCACTAAGCCAGTCAGGAACCTGGGTGTCTTGTTTGACCCTGAACTGTCCTTTCTCCCCCACATCCGGCAATGACCGGCACTGCCTACCACCATCTCCGCAACATTGCCAGACTCCGCCACTGCCTCACCCCTCAGGCTGCCCAAACCTTCACCCACTCATTCGTCACCTCAAGGCTCGATTAGGGAAACTCCCTCATCGGCCTTCCCAACTCTTCCCTTCACAAGCTGCAGATCATCCAAAACTCTGCAGCTCATGTACTCTTGTGCACCAGGCTCCATGACCCCATCATTCCCACCCTCGCCCAACTCCACTGGCTCCCCAACCCCCAGAGGATCGAGTTCAAGATCCTCGTCCTCACTGCTAAGGCCATCCATAGCCTTGCCCTCTCCTATCTCTCTGACCTGCTGACTCCTTACCAACCTGTTGGTAAGGAGTCAGCACTCCGTTCAGCGGACTCCGGCCTGCTCCATGTCTCCCGCCTGACCATCGGTGGCCAGGCTTTCAGCCTCTCTGCCCCCACACTCTGGAACTCCATCCCACGGTCCCTTCACCTCACTTCCTCCCTTGCCTCCTTCAAGGCCGGTCTCAAGACCCTTCTCTTCGATCGTGCCTTTGGTCGCCCTCCCACCTCTCTGCCTTCCCTCACCCCTACACCACCCCTCGCTCTTGCTTGGACCCCCAACACCTGACTGTTCAGCGCTTTGGGACGTCCTCCCGACGTGAAAGGCACTTTATAAATGTAATTTTGTTGTTGTTGTACTTTCATTTTGATATCAGAATGTCTCGAAGGGCTTTGCAGGATTTCACTGTAAAGTGCAGTGACTGTATTTGCAGGTGAATGCGGCAGCCAATTTGTGCAATGACCCGCAAACATGACCGATATTATCTGGGGGATTGTCAGCCAGGACACAGGGAGTGACAAAATCCTTTCCATTTTCCAGTGGTGCCACACGTTTCCAGAAGGGGGCGCTCCGTGGCTTCCCTCGGTCTCTTCTTACCCCCAGTGGTCAACTCATGTTTAGCACAGGGAGCCTCCAGCTCCCCGTCCCCTCCCCGCGATCCCCCTCCCCCCCCCCACCCCCCCCAGCCTCACCCTTTGCTGAACTTTTTGAAGGGAGGGCGGATGACGCTCCGGCTCTTGATGACACAATGGCGTCCGACCCGCACGTTGGCCAAATCCCCGCGGATGATGCAGTCGTTCATAACAATCGTCTGAGGGACAGGAACAACAGGAAGAGCAGTGGGTTCTGTGTCACATGTGTTATCACCCCCATCCTCACCGCGTCTACACCCTCCTCACTGTGTGTAACCCCGTCCCCTCACAGTGACACTGTGTATAACCCCCTCAAGCCTGTTCCGACAATCTTTTAGATCATGGCTGATCTGTACCTCAACTCCATTTACCTGCCTTTGCTCCATATCCCTTGATACCACAGTCTTGAAAATTTAAATTAATCCAACATCCACAGCCCTTTGGGTGAGAGTTCCAGTGACCCTGTGTGTAATCCCGTCCCCTCACTGTGACAGTGTGCATTGTGTCTGGTTGTCGCGAGTAGGCTGTGGCTGACGGCTTGAGCTGTGATGCAGTGAGCACTTACTTTCCCATTGAGGACGATGTTCTGGCTGCCACACAGCACGGACTGTCGGCTCACTTTGTTCCCAGACGCCTGAAAAAAACAAGCCAGCAGCTCACATTAGTCTAGACTGGGGCTCAAAATGCTAACATGGCGCTTTATGGGCGGGTCAGCTGGGAGGTGGGTGTCTGACACACACGGAAACCCGTCACCATTGTGCTTAAGAGTCTCCAAACCAAACTGCGAATTCCACTCATCCCACCTACACATGGAAATCCCAGAAACAGATTGTTGGAATGGAATGCGCTCTCTCTCTCTCTCCCTGGACGGACGCCCCCTGTTTACCTAATTCCGGAGAGTATTAGGCGCAGGTTGGCGAGAGCCAAGACTTGGGGGGGGCCCAGAGTGTGCGTTGGGAGTAACTGCTGGAGTCTAACCAGCTAAACCAGCCATTGATATCGCTGCCTTGCCAACTTTCCCGCTGCTTGTCCAGCTGGGACCATCCTTCCTGTTAGGGTTGGAACCCATCCCCTTGTGCCTGGGAGGTGGCAGCTCTGCCCAGCTCGGGGCTGGCTCCCTGAGGAGGAGCTGCAGCAGCCTGGGGCATTCGGTCTGGGATTTGGACACAAGCTGTGGGTTGGGATCAGGAGGGGGGTGGAGGGCAGGGATTGGGGGTTGTGGAGGGCAGGGAATGGGAAAGGGGGTGGAGGGCAGGGAGTGGGGAGGAGGGGTGGAGGGCAGGGAGTGGGGAGGATGGGTGGAGGGCAGGGAGTGGGGAGGGGGGGTGGAGGGCAGGGAGTGGGGAGGATGGGTGGAGGGCAGGGAGTGGGGAGGGTGGGTGGAGGGCAGGGAGTGGGGAGGGGGGTGGAGGGCAGCGAGTGGGGAGGGGGTTGGAGGGCAGGGAGGGGGGAGGAGGGGTGGGGCTGTGGATGGAGAGGTTGGGGGAGGCAGTGTGGGGTGTGGGGCTGTGGGATGGAGAGGTGGGGGAGGCAGTGTGGGGGTGTGGGGCTGTGTGGGGGGGAGGCAGTGTGTGTGGGGAGGCAGTGTGGGGGGTGTGTGTGTGTGGGAGGGGTGTGGGGGGGCTGTGGGGGGAGGCAGTGTTTGTGGGGGGGCAGTGTGGGTGTGTGTGTGGGGGTGTGTGTATGTGAGGGGGGTGTGGGGGGGAGGCAGTGGGGGGGTAGGGCTGTGTGGGGGGGTAGGGCTGTGTGTGTGTGGGGGGGGGGCTGTGTGGGGGGTGGGGCTGTGTGGGGTGTGTGTGTGGGGGTGTGTGTGTGGGGGAGGCAGTGTGTGGGGGGGCAGTGTGGGGGTGTGTATGGGGGGTGCTGTGGGGGGGGGTGTGGGGGGTGTGTGTGTGTGGGGGGGGCTGTGTGGGGGGTGTGTGTGTGGGGTGTGTGGAGAGTGTGTGTGGGGGGGGTGCTGTGGGGGGGCAGTGTGGGGGGGTGCTGTGGGGGGGCAGTGTGGGGTGGGTGCTGTGGGGGGGGGAAGTGTGGGGGGGGGCAGTGTGTGGGGGGGCTGTGGGGGGGGGCAGTGTGGGGGGGGCAGTGTGGGTGTGTGTGTGGGGGGGGGGTGTGTGTGGGGGGGGTGCTGTGGGGGGGGCAGTGTGGGGGGGGTGTGGGGGGTAGGGCTGTGTGGGGGGGGCAGTGTGGGGGTGTATGTGGGGGGTTGGGGCTGTGGGGGGGCAGTGTGTGTGGGGGCGTGGGGCTGTGGGGGGGGCAGTGTGTGGGGGGCAGTGTGTGGGGGGGCAGTGGGGGGGCTGTGTGTAGGGGTGTGTGTGTGGGGGGGTGGGGCTGTGGGGGGCAGTGTGGGGGGGGGTGGGGGGGCTGTGGGGGGGTAGGGCTGTGTGTGTGTGGGGGGGGTGGGCTGTGTGGGGTGTGTGTGTGGGGGGAGGCAGTGTGTGGGGGGGGCAGTGTGGGGGTGCTGTGGGGGGGGGGGTGTGGGGGGTGTGTGTGTGGGGGGGCAGTGTGGGGGGGGCAGTGTGGGGTGTGTGTGTGTGGGGGGCAGTGTGGGGGGGGGTGTGGGGGTAGGGCTGTGTGGGGGGCTGTGTGGGGGGGGCAGTGTGGGGGTGTATGTGGGGGGGTTGGGGAAGTGTGGGGGGGGCAGTGTGTGGGGGGTGCTGTGGGGGGGGCAGTGTGTGGGGGGGCAGTGTGGGGGTGTGTGTGGGGGGTGCTGTGGGGGGGTGTGTGGGGTGGGTGTGTGTGGGGGGGGGCTGTGTGTGGGGGTGGGTGTGGGGTGTGTGGAGAGTGTGTGGGGGGGGGGTGCTGTGGGGGGGGCAGTGTGGGGGGTGCTGTGGGGGGGCAGTGTGTGGGGGCAGTGTGGGGTGGGTGCTGTGGGGGGGGGGGAGTGTGGGGGGGCAGTGTGTGGGGGTGCTGTGGGGGGGGCAGTGTGGGGGGGCAGTGTGGGGGTGTGTGTGTGTGGGGGGTGTGTGTGTGGGGGGGGTGCTGTGGGGGGGCAGTGTGGGGGGGGTGTGGGGGGGTAGGGCTGTGTGGGGGGGGCAGTGTGGGGGGTGTATGTGGGGGGGTTGGGGCTGTGGGGGGGCAGTGTGTGTGGGGCGTTGGGGCTGTGGGGGGGCAGTGTGTGGGAGGCAGTGTGTGTGGGGGGGCAGTGGGGGGGCTGTGTGTAGGGGTGTGTGTGTGTGGGGGGGGGTGGGGCTGTGGGGGGGCAGTGGGGGGGCTGTGTGTAGGGGTGTGTGTGTGGGGGGGGGGGGGGCAGTGTGGGGGGGCTATGGGGGGTGACCCCCTCTCACCGTCTCTATATACTCCGCTTTGTTGTACAGGATCTCACTGAGCTCCATCCCGCAGCCCGGACCGGAAACACACTCACGCGCACTTCCGGTCCTGCGCACTGGCACCAAACCCAAGGCGGGAAAGTCAGATTGTGAGAGAGAGTGAGAGGGTCAGAGAGAGAGAGAGGGTCAGAGAGACTGGGGGGAGGGGGTCAGAGAGAGAGAGAGGGTCAGAGAGACTGGGGGGAGGGGTCAGAGAGAGAGAGAGAGGGTCAGAGAGTGAGGGAGGGGGTCAGAGAGAGAGAGAGAGGGTCAGAGAGAGGGAGGGGTCAGAGAGAGAGAGAGAGAGGGTCAGAGAGGGGGAGGGGGTCAGAGAGAGAGAGAGAGGGTCAGAGAGACTGGGGGGAGGGGGTCAGAGAGAGAGAGAGGGTCAGAGAGACTGGGGGAGGGGGTCAGAGAGAGAGAGAGGGTCAGAGAGTGAGGGAGGGAGGGTCAGAGAGAGAGAGAGGGTCAGAGAGACTGGGGGGAGGGGGTCAGAGAGAGAGAGAGAGGGTCAGAGAGACTGGGGGGAGGGGGTCAGAGAGAGAGAGAGAGGGTCAGAGAGAGAGAGAGAGGGTCAGAGAGACTGTGTGAAATGGAGGACGGTGGGAGAAAGAGCTTCAGCTGCGAAGAGAAAGAGCAGGTGAGAATTTTCCTCACTGACTGTCACTCACCTCCTCTCCCGCCCGCACCGCATTCATAACAATAATAATAATAACCCTAGCATTTTATATAGATAATTAATAAATACATCCTTGCATTTGATATAGCGCTGTATAGCGACGTCTCAAAGCGTGTCACAGAATATACTGTAAAGTGTAGTGACTGTGTACCCCGTGGGTGAAACGTGACAGCCAGTTGTGCACAACAACAACAACAACAACAAAATGACATTTGTGCAGCACCTTTCATGTTGAAAGGACGTCCCAAGGCGCTGGATGTGCACAGCAGTGTCCCACAAACAGCCATGGATTGACCAATTTTATTTGGGGGATTGTTGGCCAAGACACACGGAATGAGAGAGAAACCCCTTTCTCTTTTGGAATAGCGCCACAGGATCTTTAACATCCATCGGGCAGTTGGGACCCCAGTTTAATGTCTTATCATTTGTGTTCTCACCTTGCTCTGGCTCAGTGAAGTACTTTGATACTTTCCTATGTGAAGGGTGATATGTAATTACCAGCTGTTGACTGTTTTGCGTTTAAACTTTCAACCACAGCTGAAGCAAAGACTGGCCTTGCTGAAAAAAGAATATGCCAGGACGGTGCACAAGCTACAGGTAAAACTTTTCATATCCAGACAGTCACCCGTGTGCTCAGAGAGACTGCAGAGATCAGCCTAGTCAGCACACATCAGGACAGCCATTCTTCCTGCTCAGCTCCTGTTAACCCTGCAAGCCAAAGCCCTAACGGATCGGGTGGTCCTAGCTGGACAAGCAGCAGGAAAGCTTGCCAGGCAGCAATATCAATGGCAAGCTGTGCGGTTTTAGCTGGTTGGACTCCAGCCATGGCACCACTGCACACTCTGGGCCCCTAAGGCTTGGCTCTTGCCATCCTGCCCCTAATACTTTCTGGAATTAGGTAAGTTTCCCTCTAGGAAGAGAGAGAGTGAACATTTCATTCCAATTACAGGAACATTTCCACGAATGTGGAATTTTGTCTGATTCAGAGACTCTGAAGCACAACAATAGGTTTCCGCATGAGTCAAGAACAACAAACCCGTCTGATAATAATAATAATCCTTGCATTTGATATAGTGCTTTTCACGTCGAGAGAACGTCCCAAAACGCTTCACAGAACACACTGTAAAGTGAATTGACTGTATATTTGTGGGCGAAAGCGGCAGCCAATTGCGCACAGCAATGTCCCACAAACAGATTGAAAATGACCAATTTATTATTATTTTTTTTTTGGAGGGATTATTATTAGGCTCTGTGTGGAGTAAGGAAACTTGCCCAAGGTTTCGCCCTCTGCCTGGAATTGAACTCAGGTCTCTCGCTTGCAAAGCCAGTGCTCTAACCACTGAGTTACAGGACTCCACACCAGTGATCACCAGTCACCGTGTGCTAACCTGTCTGATCACTTCTGTCTCTTTATCACCAGCGTGCACAGAAAGCCGAGCGAGTGCGGAGTCATGTTAAAAGAACAATTGCGAAGCAGAACCAGTTGCTTGTGGAGCAGGACTCGCCCCAGCCCACAACAGGTAGGTTTACAGATGGCTGCCAGTCACCACGCTGTGAAATCCAGGGAACGTACACTGCAGCTTCCTTCATTACTGCCCATTGAATAATAATAATCCTTGCCACTGATATAATAGCGCATCATCACGTCATCAAGACGTCTCAAAGTTTCACAGGATATACTGTAAATTGGAGTGACTGTATTTTGTGGGTGAAAGGCATGAGCGAAGGTGATTTTTTTTACTGTAATGTTTGCCTGGCTTGTTTCACATCCACCTCCCAGTATTTACATCGGCATTTACATGTGAATATAATAATAATCCTTGCATTTGATAAAGCACCTTATCGTGTCTTTAAGACGTTTCAAAGCGCTTCACAGGTTGTACTGTAAAGTGCAGTGACTGTATTTTGTGGGCGAATCTTTTATAGAAGGTGAGGAGGAGACCTCCGTGCCGGACACACGTCAGGCCCCGCCTCCTGGGGCCCGAGTCCCCGGGGAGAGCAGCAGAGAGAGAAAAACACTGGTGACATTTAACCTGGAGCCACAGGTCATTGACCCCATCAGCCTGGACCTAAGCTCGTCACTGAGGAGTTGTAGTGGAAGCGCTGAGGAGAGTTCCAGCGACCCCTCTTCAGCCAATCAAGACCCGGGCGCCAGGGGCCCCGGCAAAGCTCCCAGTCGCCTGAAGCTAAAGAGAAGACGGGGTCACGTAACTGGCTGTGCCGGGGCTGCAGCTCTGTCTGCGGGTGTCAACCAGTTACAGTGTCCCGTCGTCACCTGCAACAGTACCCACCTCTGTCAGCCGCTCGCCACCACGGGGGCAGCCGATGGCGATAGACACAGCTCTCCGCTGGTGCCCCCAGGTGGCGAAGAAGACCAGGCGGCTTCAGGAGGCGTTGTGCACAGGTGTGATGGACCTGGGGAAACAGTTGGTGGGAACATCGAGTGTGCGGCTGAGCGGGACGATGGGACCGGGAGCCAGGCCAGGCCTCTGCCACTCGCGGGGGACAGTACGGGGGGAACTCAGGGGGCGCTGGACAGTGAAGCCCCCGACAGAGTCAAGCAGGGTGACTGCGGTCGCCTCACTGAAGGCAATGAAGAGATCAAGAGCAGCGATGGAGGTGATGCCGTCGGGTCAGAGAGTGCTGTGTCCCAGGTCGGAGCCGGTACCAGAGCCAGTGTGGTGCCCTTTGTAGGCCCCCTGAGCTCCTGCACCCTGGTCGAAGGGCTGCTCTTCCCAGTGGAGTATTACGTCAGGACGACCAGACGCATGTCACAGCGTCAGCGACAGGTGGACCTGGAGGCCGTGATCCACAGCCAGCTAGGGAAGTCCCGAAGCCGCCACAGGGGGAGATGCGGGGGACTGGGGCTGGGGTGTGAGGTGATGACTGGGGCCTCCGGTTCCCCCAAGGTCGGAGAGGAATTCAGTGACACCCAGTTACTGTTCAACAGCCAGGAGGAGGCTGCCTCCCCGGAGCAGGGTGACACTCCGCAGCCCACAAAAGTGATTCAGTCAGCCGGAGGGCAAGTTGGGAGGAGAGCGAGAGGGCGGAACACTAGAGCTGGGCTCCCTGAGACTCCGGCTTCCAGAGACGGAGAGGCGACCGAGCGGAGGCCTGCGGGAGGCTGTGTGACAGAATGTTCTGCCGGAGACTCTGTGGCATGTGATATCTTGAGCGAGAAGGAGAACGAGGTGAGTGGAGAGGTCGCCTTTCATCCAGCGCAAACTACCTATAGCTGATCGTTGGCAAGATGGAAGCCATACTCCTCAGCTCCCGTCAACGTCTTTTGTCCTGCGGCTCTGATCTCCTCAACCTCCTTGGCCTGTCCCTCAGACTCACCGAAGCTGTGTGTAACCTAGGGTCAGTTTCGACGCACAGGTGTCCTTCTTTCCCCACGTCTGGTCCCCGACCAGGACCACTTTCCTCCATCTCTGTCACATTGCCCGGCTCTGACCGTACCTCATCCCCAACCCAGTTGAAACCCTCGTCTACGCCGTCGTCACCCCCCACCTTGACTATTCGAATGCCCTCCTCTCTGGTCTCCCCAGCTCCACCATCAGCCGGCTGCATACTTACCCACACTAAACCCCGTACTCCCATTACACCAGGCTCCACTGGCTCCCTATCACAGAACGGATTTATTTCAAGATCCTCTCGTGGGTCTACAAATCCCTTCACGCCCTGGCACATCCCTATCTCTACGACCTGCTTACTCCCCACTCCACCAACCACTGCCTCCGCTCGATTGGCTCCGGCCTCCTACTTCTCTCTCTTCAGTAGCCTGGGCTTTCAGCCACTACGCCCTGAAGCTTTGGAACTCTCTTCCCCCAATCCCTCCACCTTGCCCCTTCCTTCCCCTCTTTGACTGTGCTTCCAGCAAGAACAAATTACAATTGTGTAGCGCTATTTCACGTCGGGAGGACTTACGGTCACCTCCTCCCTCCCCCAGCTTCCGATCAGACTCCATCACTATTAAGCGCTCTGAGACTCTGCCAGGCGTGAAGGACCCTGTGTAAAAGCAAATTGTTGTTGTTTACCAGCTGGGGACGAGCACTAAAGATCTGCCCAGGAAACGCGGGGGCTGTAAGCACCCTCTGGTGCCCAGTGCTGGGAGCTCCAGACTGAGCAGACACAAGCCGGTGCTGGAGCCTTTGGGGAACGCTGGGAAGAAGGAGGCTTTCCCCAAAGTGGCCTGCGGGGAGCAGCCTGGAGCCGTTGCTCCGGAGCCTGATGTGGGATTGAGCAGCGACACTGACTTCCGGGATATGATCCATGAGACTCAGCAAGTGGCCCTCGCTGGCTCGGTGCTGGGGAACAGGCTCCTTCTCCCTGTGCCCACTCACTCCCAGGCCGGAGGGGAACCCGGGGGGCAGCGGCGGTCACAGCCCAGGCGCAGGGCCAGCCTGGCCAGAGGTGAGCTTCATATCGAGGAAATCCCATTTACGTTTAATACATTTCCCCTACAAAATACACAGTTACTATACAGTATATTCTGAAGCGCTTTGAGATGTCCTGACGACATGAAAAGGCGCTGTATCAAATGCAAGGATTATTATTATTTTCAATATATTTTGAGGCATTCGGAGTTATTATGATTATTAATAGCAGCTGTGAAAGTACCTTGCTCGCTTAACTGAATATGTGAAAAATCAGCACCTTGGGATGTTCTTCCGACGTTAAAGAAGCTATATAAATGTGATTTGTTGTTGAATCGTGTTTACTGTAATTTGAATCACCTAACCTCCCGTCCATCCTGAGCAGTGGAAAATCTCGTCTCCAGCTCTTCGCTGACTGACTGAGGCTCTCGCTGACTGACTGACTGACTGACTGAGGCTCTCGCTGACTGACTGACTGACTGACTGAGGCTCTCGCTGACTGACCGACCGACCGACCTACCTACTGAGGCTCTCGCTGACTGACCGACTGATGCTCTCGCTGACTGTCTGACTGAGGCTCTCACTGACGGACGGATGTTGCTGGTGAAAGCATTGCTGAGAGGACTTGTGTCACACGACAGGTAATGGCCTCCACAAAGCTCCCAGCGACTGCAGGAGAAACGCAGACATGGAGCAGACCTGCTCACAGCCTTTACTGCCCGTCAGTCGGCCCCTGGTGAAAAGGCTGTTCTGTAGCCTGGAGGTGCAGCACTTTCAGCTGCCGGACGAGGAGTACGGGCGGCTCAAACAAGAGAAGCTGCGAGGCCGGGCACCGGGGGTCGGCGAGGCCGGGCCAGGCTGTCCACCGGAGCCCCAGGCCGAGCCCGAGCAGCGGGATCCTGAGCATTTGGAAAAGACGTGTTCGCAGGAAGAGCCGGTGGGGAGGCAAACTTCAGAGGATGTAGAGCAGCCCCGCACAGCAGGTACAGAAACTCGGTCACATGCACACCCCTTACGCAAAGCACACACACAACCCTCACACACACACACTGCGTGCGGGCACACCGCATGCGCGCACAACCACACCCCTCACACACACCCCTCACATACAACCACACCCCTCACACGCACCCCTCACACCCAACCACACCCCTCACACACACAACGACACCCCTCACATGCACCCCTCACACACGCGCGCACAAACGCACATGCAATGCTTCGTGGAGCAACACATTACATTGAGGTTCCGGGATGAGCACTGAACATATTGTGGACTCAGTGAATATGACTGATTGTGCTCTGTACTGACGCCATGCTTCTCTCCTAGAGAGCTGGGAATGCCAACATTTCCTCGGGACCCCAGAGGAGCCGACATGTAACATCCCGCCTTCTGTTCAGCAAACGCAGGGAGAGAGAGCAGCCTATGAGCTGTCCCCCTGTGAGCTGCTGGCCACACCACCCTACATTCTACCTTCACAAAGCACCAGTCAGCCTGTGTGCAGTGTGACCAGCACAGTGTTCCCATCACTTGGCCTCACTCCAGCCCCCGGCTCTCCCCAGTATTCCGGTGGCTTCTCGCAGAGCGAGGCAACGGCCCCACAGAGCACCGGGGTGGGTTCCCAGAGACCAGAGGCCGGAGGCCAGGGCTGTCCTGCCGCATGTCTGGTGAGCAACACGGGAATCCAATGCATAGTGTCTGTCCAGGATCATCCTCACCAGCCTGGAGAGGAGCAGGAATATGCCGGAGAGGAGGCTGGGGAGGAGACGGTGGCTGCTGGCTTTGAGGATGTAACGAGCTCCCACAAAGCAGCCGTGGGACTCCCCGTTGTGGGGCTTCCTGAAGATGACTCAGTGATTGAAGAGGTAAAATAAAAATAATAATAATTCTTGCATTTCAGGTCGGGAGGACGTCCCAAAGCGCCTCACAGAACACTGTAAAGTGAATTGACTGTATATTTGTGGGCGAACGCGGCAGCCAATTGCGCACAGCAATGTCCCACAAACAGTCGTTGATTGAAAATGACCAATTTATTATTGGTTTTGGTTTTGGAGGGATTATTATTAGGCTCTGTGTGGAGTAAGGAAACTTGCCCAAGGTTTCGCCCTCTGCCTGGAATTGAACTCAGGTCTCTCGCTAACAGTGCTCTAACCACTGAGCTACAGTACTCCACTAAAAGCTACTGTGTGCATGTGAGAGAGTCGTAGCTCCTGGTAACGGAGCTGGGAGAGGGGAGTGCGTGGTGTAGGAGCTCAGGCAGGGAGTGGAACCTGATGCTGGGAAATTTGGGGTGACGAGTATTAAGAGTGAGATGTAATACTTTCCGGAATTAGGTAAAGCCGGATGCATCCCTCCAGAGAGAGAGAGAGAGCGCATTCCATTCCAACAACCTTATTTCTGGGATTTTCATGTGTAGGTGGGATGAATGGAATTCTCAGCTTGTTTGGGATACTCTTAAGCATAGTGATAAGTTTCCGCATGTGTCAGATACCCGGCTGACAAAAAAATGGTGAGATCAGATCCAAAAAACTGGAGGAACAGGCTGGATGGGTTGGATGGTCTCCTGTTCCTGTGTAATGTTTTTCGAGCTCCTTTGAAGTGATTTCAGCACAGATTTTCTTGCTGCAGGAAAGTGATTGTGGCCCAAGTTGTGCGGCTGGGAGGCAGCGAGGAGCAGAGGAGCCACTGCGGTTTATGGCTGACATTCCGGTGAGTGTCAGCGGCCTCCAGCCAGCTCTGGGAGGAGAGCTGCTGCTTGTTTCTCTCACGTGAATCACCGTCAATCAACGAACAACCGAGTTCCCACTTACTGCTGGGTAAACAGAGGCATTTAATGCCTGGGACTTAATGAAACGCGTGTGTCTTGCAGAACCCATCCTCCTGTGTGACGGACGTGTGCAGTTTGCTATGGGGGGTGAGCGGGAGCAGCGCTGTGTGTGTCGCCATCGCCTTGGAGTTGACCGTGTCCCTCTGGGCCCCACAGTCTCGCGGCCACTGGGACAACATCCACACCTGGGTCTTCAAGGAGGTGAGAGCGCCCTTGTGTGGTGATCGGCCAGCGGTTCCTTCAGCTCCGGCCCTGAGCCTGAGGCTCGTCTGAGAGTGAGGAGGCATGTCTGACGGTGAGGAGGCATGTCTGACGGTGAGGAGGCATGTCTGACGGTGAGGAGGCATGTCTGACGGTGAGGTGGCATGTCAGTGTGTGACGGTGGTTGTGTACTGAAGCCTCTCGCCCTTTCTGCAGGTTCCTGTAATTCAGCTGGTTCCACTCCCAGGGGCAGAGAATGTGCTGTGTGTGGCGTTCGGAGACCTGGAGATCAGGGAAGTCAGGTAATGACTCCAGTGCGCACTGAGAGACTGTGATGGGGGGTTGGGGGAGGAGTGTGAGCGAGCTAAGCCTGTGGGGGTGGTGGGGGGTAGGGGGAGATGTTTGACACATACTGCCTCTCTGGCTCGATGGCTGATGCTGTTTGTGGGCTGTGTGTGTTCTCAGTGTGCTGTGCTGCGCTGACGGGAGCTACCTGGAGCCCAGCGTGGTACAGGCGGGAGAGATAACCGCAGTGCTGGGCCTGCGGAAACACAGGCTTGTCTGCTCCTGTTGCCCCCTCCAGCAGCAGCGAGTGGAGCTGCTCACCATCAACACAGCAGGCAGGTCAGAGCCCGGGGTGTGGGGGGGTTGGGTGCAGGAGAGTCACATCTGAAGACTCAGTTAAGAAGCCTGGCATGGTCGAGGTGCAGTGTGGGTTGGGGTCAGGGACGCTGTGCTGAAATGGGGGTCTGTTCTGTCCGCAGGCGGGAGGTTGGGGTGCTGTTGCAGTCGCTGCGAGAGGAGATCCTGGCGTTCAGCGAGGTTGAGGGCGAGGAGGAGGTGCTGCTGGGATCTACCAACACGAGTGACGTTGTATTGTGGTGAGTGTGGGGCTGCCAACACCCTCAGCACCGCTCTGCCTCTGACGCTCACAGTCCAGGCTGACGCTCCAGTGAGGTGCCGGGGGGGGGGGGGTGAACCTCATTGTCGCAGGTGCCGTCCTTCAGATGAGACGTTAAACCGAGACCCCATCTGCCTGTTCAGCTGGAGGTTAAAGATCCTGTGGCACTGTTGGAAAAGAGAAGGGAGTTTCTCTCTCCCGGTGTCCAGGCCAACAATCCCTCAAATAAAATTGGTCACTCACTCCATGGCTCCCTCTTTCTCTTGGTATCTGTCTGCTTCCTTCCCTCTCTCCTGCTCTCACTCGCTAGATTTCTTGGCTGAAGAAGGGATGTGCTGTTGTGTTTCATGCCCTGGCACCTCCCTATCGCCAACCTGCTGACTCCCCAACCCACTCAATCGTCCCCTCCGTTTCACCATCGGCGGTCAGGCTTTCAGCCACTACACCCCAAAACTCTAGAACACTCTCCCTTTATTCCTCCAAGTTACCCCTTCCTTGTCCAACTTCAGGTCGTGCCTGAAGAACTTCCTCTTCGGCCGTGCTTACGGTTCCTCCCGCCCCCCCCACCCCGGTTCGGTGTCGTGCTCCGCCATTGCCAAGTGCTCTGGGACCCTGCACTAAACGAGGGGCGCAGTACAAATGCAAGTTGTTGTTGTCCTCCCTCAGGAACGTAAAGACCCGGCAGCTTCTAAAGAGGATTCATCTGAGCGACAGCTTCCCCGGCACTGTCTGCCACAAAGCCTATTCCCAATGTGTAAGCCCCGGCTGTCCACAGTGTCTTTCCTCTGATGAGGGTGGGGGCGGGCGGGCGGGTGGGGGGCGGTTGCCAACCTTCCAGGATTGTCCCGGAGTCTCCAGGGATTAAAGATTGATCTCCTGGATGGACACTGTTGGGAGCGACTGTACGGGAGAACAGTCACAGGGACTATCGAACGGTGGATCAGATTTATCCTGTTCTCAGCTTGTTTCATACAAACCTGGAGACTCTATAATTGAGCCAGGGTTCAAGCAACGTGCGCTCACTCGCCCCTCTTATTGGTCTCCCGGTGCTGTGACTTGTGTTCTCTAACTACCGTGAAATCAGTGTTGCCTCACTGTCCGCTAGAGACCAAACCGAACCCTGGCCCGCAAACAATTGCAATGTGTTGCACTTTCAAAAGGAACGGAAGCAATTTTCGAAATGGATGATTTTTGAGTCGCTCCGTAGTAAATTTGTTTGGGAGTAACTCAGTCCCTAATAGCATCATGTCATGTGTTAAAACCTCCCGCTGTACGTCCAGCCAGAGTTAGGGACCCCAGTGTGTGGGTGAGAGATGCTGCTCAATCCCCACCCTCAGCGTCTCTGTCCCCAGCATGTCTGCGGCCTGTTAGCCAGTGTGTTTGTGCTGGGAGTGGGTGTGATCGCTAACCTTATTTTCCTTCTGTGTAATCAGGGATTGCTGTTTGTTCTGCTGATTCACCGCTACGCCAGGGCCTGCCAGCTCCCCGGCCAAGATCAGCTTTCAGTGTCGACACTGGTTGCCATTAATCCCCTCAGTGGTAAAAGTCGCCCTGTCATGTCCTACTGTCTGCCGCCAGAGTGCAGAGGAAGGTAAAACAACAAATGACATTTACACAGCGCTTTCCAGGTCAGGAGGAAGTCCCAAGGCGTCAGGGATTTGGACCCGAACTGGTGGTTGGGATCAAAAGGGCTGGAGGGCTGGGTGGGTGGGGTAAGGTGACCAAAGGCGAATTCGAAGAGGAGGGTCTTGAAGGAGGCAAGTGGGGAGCAAGGTAAAGGGGGTGGAATTCCAAAGAGTGGAGGCAGAGGCTGAAGGCCCAACTGCTGATGGTTGGGGGACGTGGAGCAGGCCGGAGCCTGCTGGGCGGATGGAGTGGACAGGCTGATATGGAGAGAGCAGGTCACAGAGGTAGAAACATATATGCTATAAGATCATGGCTGATCTGTACCTCAAGTCCATTTATCTGCCCTCGCCCTGTATCCCCTAATACCCTGACTTAACAAATATCAGGTAGGAAGGAGCAAGGCCGTGGAGGGTTTTGAAGGGCCTTGAACTCGCTGTGGCTGAGTCACTTTGCCACAGAGACAGGAGAAATGGTTTGTCTGCTGAAACGAGAATGTTTATTTGTTAAGCAGGTACCTCAATGGGGATGTTAAGGACCGGTTGATCGCGGCAGTTGTGACTCCGGGATCCTTGGCGATATGGGACATGGCCTCCGGCCGGCTTACAGCCATGTTGTCGCACTGCCCTGATGTTTCCTGGTCCCTCTTCCAATGGGCAGAGACAGGCGCCTGCCTCCTGGCGGGGAAGAACGACGGGACTGTGTACATCTACAGATACGCGGGAGTGCCGGATACCGGGACGTCCCTCCAACCCTAGAATTTTATTCAAAGGAAACGTTTAGTGCTCGTTGATTATTTCTATCCCGTTTGCCTCGTTGTGTGCCTTTACCTACTCAGGGAGTAAGAGAGGTTGAAATGCAATACAATATTTGTTAAATAGTTTATACGTTGGTTAAAACTTGTGCTTGTACAAATAATAAAGTTTTCCAAGGTTGGGAATGATGTGCTGGGCTGTTTTGACAGTGTGTGACTTGACCGTTTGGGGTGGGATGGGGCAGTCTCGCCCTCCAAAAATTATTTTGAGAGAAGATTTTATAGGAGTGCCACTTAATGTCCTTATTAATGTCCTCAAAGCGCTTTGAGACGTCTCCTCGACGGGATGTGGCGCTATGTCAAATATGCTGGAGTAGCGCCCCCTGTGGCCGGAGGGGGAGGTGGAGGAGCAGCAGCGCCCCCTGTGGCGGAGGAGCAGCAGCGCCCCCTGTGGTGGAGGAGCAGCAGCGCCCCCTGTGGCGGAGGAGGAGGAGCAGCAGCGCCCCCTGTGGCGGAGGTGGAGGAGCAGCAGCGCCCCCTATGGCCGGTGACGGAGGAGCAGCAGCGCGGCGGGATCTGGCGCGTGCGCAGTGCTCACTACGCGCGGTGCAGGCCGGGATTCTGCCCAGTTCCAAGATGGCGGCGCGTGTCCTCGCTCGCTGTCTCCGCTCGCAGCAACCTTGGAGCGGCCCGCGGGCCGGGCTGGGAGCCGGGGCCTGGCCTCGAGCTGCCGGCACCGTCACCACCAGCTACTGTCAGCGGGTCTGCAGCCGGCGGCCGCCTCTCCCGGGGCTCACAGCCCAGGTACAGGCCGCGCGGGGCCCAAAACCTGCGTGACCTCCCGCCAACCCGCTCCCTGGGGCCCCGGGACCCCCTCAGCCGCGCCCCCTGTGGCCCCGGGACCCCCTCAGCCGCGCTCCCTGTGGCCCCGGGACCCCCTCAGCCGCGCTCTCTGGGGCCCCGGGACCCCCTCAGCCGCGCCCCCTGGGGCCCCGGGACCCCCTCAGCCGCGCCCCCTGGGGGGCCCCTCAGCGGGCGGAGTCTGACCCCGAACCGGGGGGGAGGGGGAGGTGACCGTAAGCACAATCAAAAAGGAAGGTCTTTCAAGGTGGGGTTTGAAGGTGGGGAGGGAGGGAGGGAGGGAGGGGGAACGATTAGGGTAGAGAGTTCCATAGTTTCGGGGTATAATGCCTGAAGGCACGGCCACCGGTGGTGGAGCCGCGGTTCCGAGGGACAAAGAGGAGGCCGGAGCCGGCCCAGGGGTGGCAGCGGGTGTTGGAGTGGGGGGGTGAGCAGGTTGGAGAGGTCGGGAGGTGCGAGGACGTGAAGGGATTTCAAAACGAGTGAGAGGATTTTGAAATTAATCCGTTGGAGCCGGGGGAGGCTGGCAAGGACTGAGGCGATGGGGGGACGGAGATTTCTTCGGGTGAGAATCCGGGCGAAGGAGTTCTTAGTTAGTTGAACGTTGTGTATGATGGAGCTGAGGAGACCAGCGAGGAGGGGATTGGAATACTCCAGCCGGGAAGTGATGAAGGCGAGGATGAGGGTTTCAGCAGCTTTTGTAGTGAGGTATGGACGGGGGCGGGCAATGTGATAATAATAATAATAATAATAATCCTTGCATTTGATATAGCACTTTTCAGGTCGGGAGGACGTCCCAAAGCGCTTCACAGAACACACTGTAAAGTGAATTGACTGTATATTTGTGGGCGAACGCGGCAGCCAATTGCGCACAGCAATGTCCCACAAATAGTCGTAGATTGAAACTGACCAATTTATTATTGTTTTTGGTTTTGGAGGGATTATTATTAGGCTCTGTGTGGAATAAGGAAACTTGCCCAAGGTTTCGCCCTCTGCCTGGAATTGAACTCAGGTCTCTCACTTGCAAAGCGAGTGCTCTAACCACTGAGCTACAGGACTCCACTGGAGGTGGAGGAAGGTGGTCCTGGTCAGGGAACGGATGTGGGGTCGAAAGGAAAGCTGGGGATCGAACCTGATGCCTAATTTGCACACGAGTTTGATGAAAATATCCCCTGTGAAACGCTTTGAGACATCTCAACAACATAATATGGCACTATATCAATTACAAGGATTATTATTATTATATTGTTAAGTGACGACTGCTGGCAAGTGTGCGTGCGAGGGTCTGTGACCTTGTACAGCCCGTCACATAGCATAACATCTCAGAGCACTGGACACAGCGGAACTGTCCCAGTGTGCATTATCACCATGTTCATTTGGTTCTGGTAATGTGTGTAAGTGTTGTGTTTCCCTCCCGTGTCCCAGAGCTACGGGCCAATTGTACAAACCTGTCGCCAGTATTCGGATATGCCGCCCCTCACGTTGGAAAGTATTCAGGAACGAGTCCTCTACGTACTCAAACTGTACGACAAAGTCAATCCTGACAAGGTAGAGCGACAACTTTTTGTTTAATAAAATGTGTTAGTTATTGACACAACCGGTAAACACTTGTTATATATGCGTTTTGCTTTTCTGCAGCTCTGGGGGGGGGGGGGCAATCACTGCATTGTGATGGGGATCACGGTGCTGTCAGCTCCCCTCGGGCGGGGAAGTGGGGAGAGAGTTGCAATTGCTTATTGTCATGGGGCGCAGAGCCTGTGAGCAGATCACTTGCCTTTTGTTGGACAGAGAACTGGAACGGCGGAGACAGAGACCGGGACTTCCCGAACAGAGACGGAATGTCAGGGACAGAGAGCAGTACCTTACAAACAGAGACCGGAACACCGGGAACAGAGAGCGGAATCTCGCAGTCAGAGAGCGGACCTTTGCGGACAGACACTGCGACGTTGGCCACAGAGACCGGAATGTCAGGGACAGAGACCAGAGCTTCACGGCGTGAGACCGCGACACGGTGGACGGAGGCCGGAACCGTGTGGACACTGACTGGAACAGAGACGGGAACGTCGGGAAAAGAGAAGGGAACATTGGAGACAGAGACCGGGACTTCCCGAACGGTGACCAGAACATTGCGGACAGGAACCCGAAAATCAAGACCACGGACAGGAACGTCAGGGACAGAGACACCGGAGACAGAGACCGGAATGTCAGGGACAGAGACACCGGAGACAGAGACCGGAATGTCAGGGACAGAGACACCGGAGACAGAGACCGGAATGTCAGGGACAGAGACACCGGAGACAGAGACCGGAATGTCAGGGACAGAGACACCGGAGACAGAGACCGGAATGTCAGGGACAGAGACCCGACCCTCACGGACAGACACCGGGACACGGTGGACGGCGGTCAGTATGTCGGAGACAGAGAGTGTAACGTCGCAGACGGACACCGGAATCACAGAGACAGAGACTGGAAAATCAGGGACAGAGATGGGAACGTTGTGGACAGAGATGGGAACGTCGGAGACGGAGACGGGAATGTCAGGGACAGAGCGCAGACCGTCACCAACAGAGACGCGACCGATATGGACAGGAACTGGAACGGCGGAGACAGAGACCGGGACTTCCCGAACAGAGACCGGAAAGACGTGGACAGAGACCGGAATGTCGAAGCCAAAGGCTGTAACGTGGCAAACAGTGCCCCGGACACCAGGGACAGCGACCGGTACCTCGGGGGCGGGTGTGGGTGTCACAGGGCCGGAGCCCCGGTCAGCAGCCGGACACAGGGCCACAGCCACCGTCACCATGGAGACCGAGACACCAGAGAGGCCGAGCGCCGGCGTCACGGCGACACCGGGAGGCCCGGGGCCAGGGCCGGTGGTGGAGGATCAGCCCGCGGTGCTGCGAGGTGAGGGCGGGGCCGCTTAGGGGTGTGGCCGAGGACAGGGTCTGGTGTAGGGGGCGGAGCGGAGGGCGGGACTGATGTATGGGGCGGGGCTGGGAGCAGGGGCTGGGGTGGGGGGTGGGGGTCTGGGGGCTGGGGCTGGGGCGGGGTGGGGCGGGGGGCTGGGGGCGGGGCTGGGGGGCGTGACCGGGGCTGAGGGCGGGGCGGGGGCGGGGCTCTGGGGCGGGGGGGGCGGGCTGGAGGCGGGGCTGGGGACTGGGGGCGGGGCTGGGGGCGGGGCTGGGGGCGGGGGCGGGGCTGGGGTAGGGGGCGGGGGCGGGGCAGTGACCGGGGGCTGAGGGGCAGTGACACAGTGACACAGTGGCTGTGTGTTCCCAGGCAGTGTGTGTGTGGCTGTACCTGCGGTGCTGCTCCTGGACAAGCCGCTGTCTCCCACTTTGGGGAATTCTCAATCAGAAAAGCTGCGGAAAGAGCTCACGGCCACGGTGAGGGTCTGCCACAACCTCAGCGGCTCCTCCTCCTGC